AAGGGCTAGGGTATTGGGGGTCTGTGGGGCAATAGGAGCATAGGTGATCATGTCTCCCACCCTTTCATCCTCTCATTGAAGTTAACAAAAGCTTCATGAGCAGGGCTCTGATGGAGGAGGAGGAGAAGGGGGGATGTCTTCTGCTAAGATGCATGTCATACTTGTCATGGATGCAATCAGGGAGGTCAGAGAACAGTAGATTATGCTGCAGCTGTTGCAATGTGGGGAGAATGATGGATGAGATTGGAATAAAGACAGTGCAGGGAGCAGGGAGGAATGATCCATATGCTTCATCAAGTGGGGAGACCAAAACAACCACATAAGACCTTTCTAACCATGTGACAGACCTGAGGTGACCAAAGAACATCCTTATGGAAGTCATACTGATGAGGAGAACACACTGACCAAGCTGCATGGGACAAGACAGGGCTGACAATGATGGGATGAACCAGGGGGCTTCAGGATGGAAGCTGGTGGGAACACCTGGCAGATATGCATAGCCACTGTGTCTGGCAAATGAGACAAGCAAGATGATTGACAAAGAGGGGGCCATTTCTGATGGACTTAGTGAAATGAGTGTCTGATGGATGGAGTGCTGTAGAAACATGTAGGGTGCAAGGATCCTTTCCATATTTGGAAGGCAGAATGGCATGGCTGAGCACTTTAAGCAAGTGTGAGAATGGAGTTGATATCTTTGGAAATGGTGGAGATATGATGAAAACTGGAATGCCATACACAGGTGCTAACAACCTTTAATGCATGCTTAACTTGCATCCTCTTTTCTCTTTAGCACTGATGACTCATTCTTGTGCAAAGGATGACTGCTCATGTCCAGCAGTCCTTCTATGCATGAGGCCTTTAGTCTTCATCTGCATGGCATGGGCATGGGTGCACAACTTGTCAACAAGTTAGGCAGACTGAGAGTCAGCTGTAACCATGTCCACAACACCTTTGGTGTGTGACACCATGCATTTATTTGAAGTCCCCACTCACTCTGCATCAACCCTGCCCACCCTCTATCATTTATAAGCCTTCTCTGCTGTCACACACCAAAGGTGTTGTGGACATGGTTATGGCTGACTCTGCTCAACTTGTCAATGAGTTGCACACCAATGCCATGCAGATAAGGACTAAAGCCCTCATGTGTAGGACTGCTGCATGTGAGCAGTCATCCATCACACAAGAACAAGTTGTCAGTGCTAAAGAAAAAAGAGGAAGCAAGCTAAGCACACATTAAAAGTTTTTAGTGCCCATGTATGGCATTCTGGTTTTCATCATATCTCCACTGTTTCCAAAGATATCAACTCCATTCTCACACTCACTTAAAGTGCTCAGCCATGTGATTCTGCCTTCCAAATTTGGAGAGGATCCTCACACCATATGCATTTCTACAGCACTCCATCCATCAGATGCTCATTTTGCTAATGTCAAAGTCACACAACACACCTGACTTCCTCTTAGGGCAGAGTAGGAGCAGGTTGGGCTGTGGAGTACAGCAGTCAAAGTCCAAAGTGAATCCAACCACTGGGTGGTGAGATAAGCAATGAACAAGGAGTGGAGGAGTATGGAGGGAGGTTTCAGAGACAGGTGTTGGATTTGGAGATCAGAGGTTGGATGAGAGGGTGTTGGGTTCAGCTAGTGTGCTGTCCCCTTGTGTGAGCTCAGCCCTCATATTTCAGAGGTAGAGTGGACTCAGAGGAGTGGAGATGAAACTCTGGAGGGAACTCAGAGGGAGTCAGAAGTGGGGACTTTATTGTCAATATTCATACTGACTACATCAGAGTACTACATGGCCTTATATACAATGTAGGTCAAGGGCAGTGCAGTGTAGAATGCAAACCAATAAATGTATACATAATTCCAAAGGCTTGTTGATGCATGAGTGATAGCAAGTTGGATTTCTGAAGGGCAGTTATGGGACTCTTGAACTTGCAAAACACACACAGATAGTGACTCCAAAAGTGGGTGGTATTTTTCTGACACCAGAGCAGACTTATATAGTACAAGGGATGTAGGTACAAGTCAGAGTAAAGTGGAAAAACTAAAAGACCAGAAAACAAAAGAAAGGATGACAGATGTCAGCAAAATACAGATGCACATGAAATGGTATGGTGAATGGTAAATGAGAGTAAAACAGGACAAAGGTAAGGGGGTATCTTCCAACAGAACAAGGGTATGTGTACAGGTGAGAGGTGGAGCTGGCAGGAAGGTGGAAGCACAGGAGGGCAGAGCTTACTGGCATGAAGACTGGCTTATGGAATTTGGGGTGACAGGGGCAATCAGAGTTTTTTTAGAGGTGACTGGCATGGATGAGTGGTGACATGGCTGGGTGGTGGCTTGGCTACTGAAACTCTGGGCAAATGTGGAATTTCCAGATCAGCTTATTGATAATTGGGTGACATGCTGAAGGTTGGGAGAAACTCCAAAGGCAGAAGGGGTTGGGAGGAAACATGAGGCTATGAGTGGGAAGAATTCCAAAAGCTTAGAGTGATAGGGGTTTGTCACAGAGGCAGCAGAATTTAGTGACAGATTCTTGTTTCAGCCTCAGGGAGTATATGGCTCCCTACACCAGGGGCAGTCTTGGAAGTTTAACTCACACTGCATGAGGAACTCATGGATTTTCTTTGGGTCAGAGCTGTTGAAGGTGTTGGGCTCATGGACTTTGGTTTTCAGAGCAGAGTCCTCAGTGTGCAAACCAGACTGTGCAAGTGCATGAACAGCTCTAGCAAGAGTGACAAGTGGGTCTTCTGGTGGCTCAGCTAGGTCTTTGGGGATACCACCATCATTGCTGTCCCCACCATCAGAACCACCATCAGGATTGGGATCATCATCTTGGTTATGAGGAGATGGAGTATGGAAGATTGTTTGTTGGGTGGAGGTCAGAATGACCAGCTTGTGAAGCACTTTTGCCTTCAGTGCAAGAGCAGTGTCAAGTGGAAAAGGTCTGGAACTGTTCAATGATGGAAGGGGGATGACATGGATTAGCCAGTGCTGCAGTGAGGTTGTCAGTGACCTCTCTTTGGGATTGAGCTCAAGTTCTTATAATGGTGTTAGTTTTTCAGAGGACAGGAAATGAGATCATACAAGTGTGAGTATGAATATACTGTCAAGTCTGGGCCTACTCTGACCAACTCTGACACTAGATAGGGTCTGGGGAGAAGTGCAGAAGCAAGCCTGACACAGATAAATGGAACTCTGACTAGCAGAGGATCAGCAGGAATGAAGTCTGCTGAGACAGAGGTGGAGCAGAGTGAGGGCATCAGGTTTAGCTTGTGTGCTCCCCCCTGGCATGATCTTGGCCCTCATATTTCAGAGGTAGAGACCAGATGGAAGTTTGGAGGTAACTCCAACAGACAACAGATGGAGAGAGAAGGATGTAGGAACTTAGTTGATATTCATACTGAAGAACAGTGGAGTACTGTCCATGCTTTTATACCACTATGGAGGTACATTAACCAGAGATTGGAACTAGTGTATGGAGACTCATAAATTTGCAAGTAAAACTTCCTGGATAAAAAATGAAGGGAAGATGGAGAACACATGATGGGTAACACAGAACAAGCCAAAAGGAAACAGTCCAGGCACTGTACCATAAGGTGTGCACACTGCAGAGTACCTGACTGGATGTCATCAAGGACAAGTCCAAAGGAAGGTCACATGACCCTTTGGAAAACAGCCCATGTGGTCTGACAGTAAGCTGGCACCAAGTCTGACAGTAGTTGGGGCAGAGAAGGTTCATAAATGATAGAGGGTGGGCAGAGTTGATGTGGAGTGAGTGGGGACTTAGGATAAACACACATTCATGACAAAAATGCTCTACAAAAGACCACCTGATCTCTTAAAAATCCGAGTCTGGGGATGTTGTGTCAAGGTCCATGACACCTCTGGCTCCAAGCTAGACATGTGAGCCCAAGATGGACACTGGGTAGGTTTTGACCCTGAGTGCAATGGCCACCACATCTACTGGCCTGACACATGAGCAATTGGAATTGAATGAAGTGTCATTTTTGAGCACCAAGATGTGTCTGTACCTTATGGTGTGCCACTTGAGGGGGAGCAGGGAAATTCTGACACCTCAAAAGGAAATTCTGAAGCTTCACAAAGAAATTCTGAGGCCATGCAGACAGTCAAGTGACCAACAGAAGCAGCTTTGGAAATTCCAAGACCCATTCTAGACCCACTTGGACATAATTTCAAAACACCTCCACCTCAACCTTGTCATTCCACTTGCCAGCACTTTGAATCAGACTATATGAGACACTTACATGCAGGTGAAGGAACTTGCAATGGACACATCCCTCTTGACTTTTTAAAGGAACTCTGAGAGAGTGATAGCAACCCTAACAGCCTGAAATCCTGAGAGAATGCTACCTACATATTTGATGAAAAACTAGCTGCTGATGAAGGCAACACTAACATTGCGTATGCTATGGTAGCAGGGATGGCTGAAGCTGAAGGGCTGGATCCATCACTACATCAATGGTTGGAAACCTTGCTTGATACTGTGGGAAGTCAAACCCTAACCCTAACCCATGTTTGGGGCCCCCAGGAAGATCATTTGCTAGGCCATAGTCCATGCAGAATCCACACTTCAGATGCATGCAAATATACCTTGCCATAAATTTTGCCATTATGTGTGCCCTCATGCAATCAATAAATCAACATTATGATTATGTCTCCAAGTTCATGTGGTTTCTGTGTTGGGAAAGTCTAGATTCTACTAGCAAATACTGTAGGCTTGTTTCGCTAGATGGCATCAGTTGAATACAAGCACGAGTCAAGTGTTGTCTCCGAGTACATTGCCGCATATTGTGCATTATATGTCCTGTGTCGCACATTGTATATTCTGTACCGCGCATACCTCTATGTATTGCGCGCGTTATTTTTTACCCAAACGGAGCGCCATAGATATGAACGCCAAGGGCTTCCCGAGACCAACGGTAGGGACTTGTTTTCTCCCAGGTGGGGTCAACATTCATCAGCCTGTTCTTAACAGCGTATCATCCTAGTCACGAGGTTAGAGAGCAAGCATACTATTAGAACTGACCTAGAATAGAGGAACAGATGAGATCCGGCATCAAACAATATTTGAGCCGCATGAACAAACTGAATAGATCAAGATTTCCGACATCCACATGGTCACCGTCGTGGTGGTGACGGACTGTCTTCTGCTGTATGCTGCCGATTATGGTCGCGCAGGACTGTTGAAGGGCAAACACTAGCAGTTTCTCGACCAAAACTCACCTTTCCGAAGCGCAGACATCCGGGAGCATCCAGGTATGTTCAGAGCATAGAAGCCTCCGGAGTACACGGACAGACAAATTCAGGGGGTCAGGCATCTCACGTGCCGGGCTTACCGAGGACCACTCCAAAGGAATTTCTTCAGAAACTTATCGAGCATCACCGAGATCCCCGTCATCCCGGCCGACTAGGATGATTAGCCCACAGGTGAGAAAAGGAAAAGGAACATCTAGGAACGGGCCGAGATTCCCATCAGTCTATATTTGTTCCTCGTCGAAGGTCAACGTCAGAGATGACCTCCAGTTTTTTTTTTTTTTTTCCCTTGGTGACCCCAGAATACGTTACCAATTTGAAGCTGGGCACAGGACAAACCGATCACTGGACCACGAATTATGAATGTCACCCTGGGCACGGTGACTGAATGTTGACCATCAATTATTCGCCTGAAATGTTTGCGGTATTGGACGTGCATGTGGTACCCCGGCCCCTACACTTTAACCCCATAGTTTCCGGCAGATCAATGACGATGGCACTGATCAAGGTCATCGCAACCCACCAGCTCGAAGTGGTTGGTCTTGCGAGCGCTGCGGCCATGAATTATGGAAGTCATGTGTAGAGAATCCTAAAGCCCGGGTCATGGGTGTCATTGCATTCGGCCAGGCACAGCCCTTATCCCCGTGTTACACAACTATGCCAACAGCAAAACAAGCCAGATGAAACAAGGTGAGTAAATGCATGGCATTCCTCCAGGCTAGTATCAGAGGCCTGTACGTACCGGGCGAGATCACCGGTTGTGGATTTCGACATATTGAATTTCGTGTGTAACAGTTGATCATGCACCTGTTGGAGAGCTGATCTTCGCTCATTGACGGCGGTATATTTGGCTATGACCTGAGCGGAATTCGTGCCGTTCTAGCGTGAAACATTTGGTGATGTACAGAATCCTGAGATCAGGAAGCTCATCGACATCATCCAGACATGGGTCAGCAGGTGGTATTCTGGGTAATGCTGCTGGTACTAGAAGTTAATGCAAGATGTGGGGAATCTCGTTGGCATTGTAGGTGAGACTTACGGACTCTCCGTGCCGCTGGCACCTGGTACCACGACGATAAATGGTATACATCTGATTCACCTATTTTTCCGCCCACCATTCAGCACGTACGGCGGTCCCTTCTTTACTACTTTACCCGACGTGTTCCTCGGCATATCTCCATTGTAGCTCTGCGAACTATGCGGCCTCCGTCCTACGTGGAATGATGTCAAGAGGCCTGAAGGTCTAGATACCACCCGATCTAGGTGTGAATCAAGACTATGCCAAGACCGCCTCTTGCGGTTCGCAGAATTGTTGCATACCTCATGCTTCATCGCACGTACCTGCGATCTCCGTAGATTCTGGACCGTATTACGGGCTGGTCAAAGATCTTCAGAAGATCGTGCATCCGGCGCAACGACTCTGATAGGGGGAGCGCGGAGCAACCATTACATAAGCACGCGTATATCCTTCTCTGGCCAGGTGCTCATCGCACTGGTCGCTCGTGCCGTGCATCAACTCAAGTCGCATGTTCGCAAAGACACAAATGTGAGTCGGTGTGCCACTACAATTACTGGGAAGAGTTGAAAAGTCATGCAAATCCAGTTTGATCAACATCAGAGCCGACCGCCCTTACGCGTAACCTGCTCTACTACGTGACAGCCGTGGTTTGGATGCGGCGGTTGTCGAACGTCCACGGACAAACGATGGTATATCGCAAGGTTGAATCTGAGCCACTGATTGAGGCGGAGTTCGTGAGGCACTACAATGTCAGCATGTTGGAGGATACGCCCAGCATTGCCCTAGGTTCGCAGGGTTGAGAACTCCCAAAACATTGAGCAAAAATAACTCACCGGTCCTGCTGATAATTTACCATGCGTCACGGTGATGCCAAGACACTGCCATCTGGCAGCTTCGGCACTGTAAACGACAAGATCATGCGCGGCCTATGATTCACCCGCCACCGTCGGCGTGCCGCTTACTCTACCATGTGATTCAGTACGCCGCCGTTCCCGCCTCGCGGGATGGAGTCGAGATAGGTACACCGCTCAAACAGCGACGGTTGAAACGTGCTGAACCTGAGTAGTGCTGCTACCGCTCTTGCAGCGTTATGTGAGGCCTCGCTTTGGCCGCACATTCCCTACTAGCCAAGTACGTAACCTTCTTAAGGCGCTATTCATTTGACTCCTGTCAAGCGCCAAGCTGAATTCAGATCTCGCTTTCACGTTGCGTGCATACATGTCAGGATAGCTGGTATTCAACATTCCTCCTAGAGTCCGGGTCCGGGGTGCAGGTCAATCCAGTTCAAACTGGTTCAAATTCTATATTTGTACATCATTGGCAGTTGGCACTGCCTATACTCGCTCCACGCAAGAGTTGTGATGCCGAGTAAACCAATACACTCCGACTAGAAGCCGCATCAATTTATTATAGTGCGCCATTAATTTGACATAACAAATGGTAAGTGCGCACAATCTCTGACGTGACTACCATGCTCGGTTGCACAGATCTTCAGGGTGATGAAGCGGACCGCATTTGACCCGCCGTCACTAGGCTAATGCTGTTTAGTATGAGTCCATGTGCTGAATGGAAGCAACTTATTCCGTTGGCAGGCGATTTGTCTTGGACATTCTGACTCGCAGTGCTCTCACGCCATTAAAGTTCTTCTGCAGTGGTCCGGGGGAACTGGCAGTGCTTAAATCGTTCAAAAGCAGCTGGAGTTAGCGAGGCCCACAACTCTTGTCCCTACTTCTCATCTCCTTGACTCTACCGCTACTACACCATGGTTTACATTCATCCCACCCATGAGCGGGTTGACCCAGTCAACAACCTTAAGAAACGACAACTCGACCTTTCGCGCCACCTCTCGGTGGAAGCTAAGGCCCGCCTCCCCAACCCAATCAAGGCTATTTGGAAGGTCGCACAGGTCAAACCGGGAACTATCAACATGGGTAATGGTACGCAGAAGAGTCAGTCGTATGCAATATCGTATTCAACCAACTGTTTAGGTGACCCACACCATACCTTGTACCCCGTGTGCGAAATGAATTTCATTGTGCCCTCCGTAAGTGAATCGGACCCTGTGCAAGCTTGGAGAGCGGGCACCGGCGATCAGCAGATCATTGCATCGTACAAAGATGAACCGTGTGCGTTGAGCCTGAGGACTGCCCTCGCATACGGCGCTGGTGCCGGCCTCAAGCACGTCCGGGATGCCCTTGCAGAACTCAACGACCGCATTCATGCCCCTCCGAAACACATGGTTTCACTGAGTCTCGGCAACGCCGACGCTTTGACAAAGTGCTACCGACTTCTCGGTGACCCCGGCGACTCTTTTCTTTGCGAAGAGTTTACCTTCTCCGCCATGACCAACGCAGCTCTTCCTTTGGGAATCAAGTGGGTCCCTATTCGGATGGATAAGGATGGTCTTATACCCTCCGATATGGAAAAAATCCTGGCTAATTGGGATGAAACCTTGCAAGGCAAGCGGCCGCATGTTCTATACACAATTCCGTGAGCGCCTTCCTCGTAATAACGTTATCCTACCCCTCTGAACATGGTTCTCCAGATGTTCCCAAAATCCTACTGGAAGCACACTTTCAGCAGAGAGGCGCCGTCAGATATATGATCTCGCGCATGAGTACGATATCATCATCCTAGAAGACGATCCATACTTCTTCCTCCAGTACGATCTCGACATCCAGACGACTACAATCGAGTCGTATGGGTATACACGGGCGATGGCCGATGTCCTGCCTCGTTCATTCTTATCTATGGATTACGACGGCCGTGTGATGCGGCTGGACAGGTATGTCCTACTTATCTCAAACTCGTCCGTCGTCTGACCTTTCTGAAAGCTTCAGCAAAATCCTTGCCCCTGGCATGCGGCTCGGTTGGGTAACCTGCAACGACTTCTTTGCCGAGAAGCTGGATATGTTGACGGATTCGTCTTCTCAACATCCTCATGGTTTAGGCCAAGCCTTCATCTCCGAACTTTTGGGAGGCGAAGGATGGGGCGTCGACGGCTTTATGAAATGGGTTTCGTCTCTCTGTCGCGAGTATCAACGCCGCCGCGACCTATTTATGGACGTGTTCCGACGGGAGGTGGAGAGTTCCGGTTTAGCTTCCGCTGAAACACCCAAGTCCGGCATGTTCGTTTGGATCAAGATTAACGTGGAGCGTCACCCACGATACAGGAAGTCTGAGAAATTGGACAAACCTGGCGCACCGGTCACCAACACTGCGGACTTAATGAATGAACTGTTCCGAAAGCTTCTAGATTGCGGTCTCGTTATGATGCCAGCGTCAACCTTCGCTATTGTGGACCAGACGGGGCGAATTCCCACTGACGGTCACATCACTGATGTACGAGATTAAATTCTCCTCGGGTCCCAGATCACTGATGACGTTTTTTTTCCATAGCGGGTTAACTTCTTCAGGGCGACATTTGTTGGTACGGATGAGGTTATCGAGGACGGCCTCAAGATCTTTGCTCGCGGTCTTGAAGAGTTCTTCTGCTACTAAATTTCCTGTGTTCCTGGTGGTGGGTGTAAGTTAGATTGCAGAAGGTTCCATGGTTTCATTTGTACTTATCAGTCTGGGGTAACGGGAATTAGCCATATGCATACACTACTGTCTTATTTATCTTTGTCATATGTACCGGATATGTGCACTTACTATAGGACTAGTAAATAGATATGACGATTCGTTTATGAAAGTGTTTTTTTCTCTTCACGTTGTTCGCTTAGCTTAAATTTTCTGAAGTCCCTCTAAAGTCCTCGGTAACTGTTAACGTAACTATATTGTTTGCAACTACATACCCAACGCATGCCGTTGCGCTATTCTCATGATACCCAGAACGGACTGTGTTGGAACCAGCTTCCCTGGGAGTGTGTGATGTCGCCATTTGGTCCTCATGGCATTTGTGGTTTCCAAATAAATCGAACGACACTCAACCTTACTCCGACTCGCCGAACATCCGATCATCGTCTGGGGTATGCTTGAACTCGTCTTCGACGCCATCGGCATCTGCACCCGAGGAACACTTCGATGGTTCAACGTGCCCCTATCTTCAACCGGTCAGCGGTCCGATACGCAGACCATCATCACTTACGATTTCCTTACTCCTAGATATGAAGGCCTCCAGGCCCTACGACCACCGATTTGAATTCTTGTTGGGCCTATTCGTGCCTAGCAGTAAGATTACTACTAATGTGATAACGATAACCTCGTCAAGTACTGACCTTGTCCATACAGTTCATCAGAGTTGCCACCCTGAACGTTTTGTGTCCTAACAGAGCCAACCAATTTTATGACCACTCTTTCCCATTAATGTATTGTAGAACGTCGACCACTGAACTCAACTGCTCGCAATTATATACTGTTGTGTAAGTGTGCTCATCATTGAGTCGGTCCGTAGCGAGTCTCATTTGCAGGCGCAATACTGTGCCGACTCTAGTTTTTGGTTTGGGGTGATGTTCCTCAACGTTCAAACCGCTTCTGCACCTGTTGACGTGTCTTGTTCCTCGGGTGCTGGTGGGCGCAACTAACTGATTCGGCTACTTGCAGTGATATATTTAAAATCATGGCTCAAAGTTGGTGCCTACGCCGCCGCCGCCGCCTGCGCCTACAGCAAGACTACCCACAAATTAGCTGTAGGCGTGGGCACCAACTTTGAGCGACCCGATTGAATTCTTCGGAGCTTGAAGCTTTTGCATGGCTCATATGCTATGATCCCTTGTGGATAGGCGGTTCCTCGGCGAATCCCAAGATACTTCAAACCTCTTGAGGGTCCCCCATGAATGTTGCTTGGGGTCAGTAATTACCTCCCCCTATCGCTCCCCTTGCACGCCCCTTGGTGTGCTTGTATCGACATCCTACGCCGTTATTCTTTGGTGACCTCCCTTCTTTAAGGCTAATCACACTGTTATGTTGAGTAGTAACGGGATTGGCAGCGGGTTGCCTTGCGGCCATGGTGACAAACTGATCTCATATATAGTAGGGTTAGGTCAATCATCTACCAGTAAGACTTTGCAGATTGATCCATCCTCGGATCTGAATGATCTGGAATAGCCACAGACCTTGAGTGGGCAGCGAAGTGGGCTTAATAGCCTGCGTACTGATCTCCTGCAGCTCAAGCTTGCATATTGTGATTCGGTTCCAGCGTGCGGATTTCATCACCCCTGATCCTTTTACGGTGGCTCAGAAAGTGCACATGTCTCGTCACGTTCATGCAGAAGTAGCGCAGAACCTCAGTAACTACTCGTGAATGCTGAAGTCATTAACGGTTCACGGTATTTACTGGTCGTGTGACCGCAATTGTGCTGTGTAACCTTGGCGCATCCCAGCCTCGGGCGACCCGCAATTAATTATATGGATCTGTAGGCCCTACGTTGTGTATCGGCTGCGATTTTCATTAACTGCTGCGCTTCCCTGACTTTACCTACTTGACAATTGGTTAGCATTAGGGATGTTGGCAATACTCAAAGTATGCGCTTAAAAGGCCGGTCATTGCCTTTCCCCTCTAAACCCCACCACCAATCTAACTATCAAGTGTACGTACCATCATTGACGTCCATCCCTGAGGCTTAAGGATTAATCAATATATCCAGTGAATGTTTGACTGACAGTGGGATTGAGTATGAATACGTGATTGAAGGGATTGTACACCAGACAGGTACAAAAGGTAGTACATTGTGTACAATGATGCCCATAAAAAAGCATCTCATGGTACGATGACAGATCGGACATGCGCTGCCCGCGTTAAGATTTCCTGCAACGCAGCTCGGACAGCGCCCATATCCCGCATGTCCACAGTTTTAATTGCCTTTGGTCCTTCAAATGCTCCACTGTCGATCTTTGATGACAACTCGTCCAGAAACGCCTTGATCTCGCCCGAGTTGAGGATACTCGACTTCATTCCCTTCATAGTCAACGCTTTCGTGTAGAAAGTACGCATGTTAATGGGGAACAGCCCATCCTTCGCATGCGCAGCCATCACGACGACTCGCCCAGTCCCCACTGGTGTCATGGTAAAGAGAGCATCGTTGAAAGGTGTTTCATAGCCTGCACAGTCTAACAAGACGTCGATCTTATTCTGCAGCCCTTCTTTTGCAATGGCTTCACGGATGGCAGTGCTAGAGGTGAGTTCGATAGGCGTCAGGTAGCTTGGTGGTGTGACGTTTGCGAGTGAGGTGAACGTTCCAAAAATGCGGGCACCCTGGTCCTTGCACAACTGGGCTGCAGCGGAACCAATGCCTCCACGAGCGCCTGCAGAACATTCCAAGGACCTTAATCAGCTAACTATACGTAAGAACGGTTCAGCGGCTTCACCGATGATGATCACATTGTCACCCTTCTTGACATTCGCCAGTGTATCCACTGTTATCCATGCGCAAAGCCACGGGAGCGTCATGCTAGCTGCTTCACAGTGGCTCAGTGTCTTCGGCTTCTGGCTTAGAGCCGTCACGGGTACCTTGACGTACCTATGTGGCAGCATGAGTGTTGAGTTGAAAAGATAGAAGCTTCATTGTTTCAAACTTACTCTGCGAATGTTCCATCAGATGTAAAGCCTCGCTCGCTTCCGGTTCCCCACACATCTGCGCCGACCCATTCCGGGAGGACGACACCTGAGTCATCTAGAGCTTCAACAACTTGTCCTGAGAAGTCTCTTCCAGGTGTGCGTGGCGTAGTTACGAAAGGAAGTATGCCGAGGACGGCTGCCGCATCAGACTGAGTTACGGTCAGCTAAAGCAAGCCATCGGAGCTGAAGTAAAAAGGGAAATCGACGCACACCGTTAATACCCGCAGCTTTAACGCGTACGAGAGCCTCCCCGGGTGCCAGAGGTGGTTTCTCTATGTTGGCCAGCGACAGATTGTCGAGTGAGCCGGTCTTCTCGAACCTTAGTGCTTGCATGGCGAAATTCCGATAGCTAATGTACCTGGGCCCCCAGGTCGAGGCGAGCCTCCAAGACATGGGTCGAACACACTCACCTTGCTGGGCGAAAAGAATGGATTCGCGATGGCAGAAGTCGGTTATCGCAAAAGATAACGAATGAAACGCATGAGACACGCACCAACGCGACCGAACATCATCGCCCCACTTACCAGCGCAAAACCTGGCCCGTGTACCCGGTGACGTTCGTTCTACCAGCGCAATCCGATCTTACGGTAATATGACCACATACTTAGATAGCCGTCCTGTCGTTGGTGCACATGGTTCCTTCACCCAGCACTCTAACCTACTAAGACAATGGCCATAATTTTATTTGTGTCGACATGAGCTCTGATTACACCGAACAGTTCACATGCCCCCTAAATTCCGACCTTGTGTGCGAAATGAACCAGTCACGTGCCCGTGAACCAGTTTGCCACCGCACAGCTGCCATGTCAGTGGATACACATACATACACTGGCCACACGCCATGTCCGTACATTCTCCACTCTGATGCGATGAGGCCGCTCAGGTTGCTTCGTTACTCCTGTGCAGATCCATGCGGAAGCGGACTCAGCAGAGACATACACGGCATCGCATCGGGCTCGGAGCAACTGGTCCCTCACTCCTTTAATTTTACCACTGCCTCTCTGGAAGCCTTACCACCGCTGAAACAATGTAACAACCTGATATCTGACAGTCGACTTGGTGCGTTCGTAATCTCCGACGAGCAGATTGAAGTTTAAAAATCTCACAAACCTGTAAGGGTAATAATGTATTGGTTTCAATATTGCCGTGGCAAGGATAAACTTATCAGCCTGTCGTATTAGATGCAGAAGCCGCATTCAAGATGAACCTTCCATGCCAAGACTAAGTGCCGCTATTCGGGGGCGATACTCACCGTCTAGGTGACATTGACACTGTGCTCGGTTTCAACGCGCATAAGTACTTCTTCAGTGAGTAGCATGTGTATCAATTCCATAATGCCAAGTGCAGAAAGCATCCATGACACTAGATCAGATTCAGAAGTGCCTCCTAGCATCTCCCATCACGCCGATTGCATACGTCACTGGTCGTCGTTCAGATTGTGATTTGTGAATACCTGAGCTTTCCACCGTCTGGATCCCTCGCCATCGGTGGAGAGGCACGCACTTTCGCGGGGATAACCATAGGACATGCGCCATTAAAGCTGCAGTTGCAGCTAAGGTGTTCGTGACGCGCATCATGCCATTGGTGCGTTCACAGAGTGGGCTCAAATCAGTGTGTGTAAAGTTGTAAGGGTACAGATTGCGTGCCTTCGACTCCTATCAGGATATGGATATGTAGGTGGGTAACCTGATAAAGACGGCAAAGCTTACGGGGTGGACGCAGGGTCAAAGTTGCCCTGGTTGCCTAGCGGATCACAGGTGTTTCAGGCGGATAAGCAGGGTGTTAAAAAAAGGTGCACTGCTATACATGAACTGCTCGTGGTAGGATCGGTGAGCTGAATGTGTGCGGAGAATTAGCGGGCCTGATAGCAAACGAACAGTAACCTGAAATCAACCAGATGGAGAAAATGCGGCAACGTTATGTTCCCAGACTCAAGATCGCGTAGATGCGGCTGAAGACACTCCACTACTAATAAGCTAGAAGCACAAGCGAAGTTGACGTGAGGACCCGCTTGCGATGCGAGGACGAACTTTATTGTACTTCGGATAGTCATTCATTGAGATCGCGAGGCAGCTGTCAATCCACCGCTTCGCGCATCAATCAGCTACAGACGTACTCGTTGCAACTCGCAGAAACTAGGGATGAGCTATTGCCGCTTTTCAGTATTGGCACTGAAGTCCCATGTGCATACGCTGGTACGTGGCTATTAAACAATTCCCGGTTCGGTGTTTCGAGGGATCATAGCATAATGATCTAGCCGAAAAGTACCGATATGGATTATGAAATAAATATCAGCGTCGATTAGGCTACAAAGTCTGTTGGGTTACCTCACAGATCCAAATCTATGGCTCCTATTTCGGGTAATGTTGAAACTGCACACAGCCAGCGCCGCGTTGATGATGTGCATTAACCGAGTCAGCATATCCACTCGGTCGATTTACGCCGGTGATTGTATAATACTAACAGTCCAACACTCGCTCAGTTGTTGCAGGCCACAGCCCATATGCTAAGCGGATTGCTGTCGTCCGCCTGCCAAAGGCCGCTGGAGGTCCAGCGTGGCGACCAGTCACTCCCAAGCAGTGCCACGTACCATTATCTTTTTCCCTAATGGTATTTCCAGTGATGGTTTAGTGCAGTGCTCTCACAGGCATGCGAATAAGCGGGTGTGCCATATGCCATATCCCGAAGTGCAGGCTCGTTGCCGTCATTCATCGCCTTAGGGCCAAAGTCGCTGTTTACTCGGCACTCCGTCTCCGCGGCTACCGTATGAAGACATGTTGCAAAATGCCATCCCACCTATAAAAGCTCTCGGACCTCCAAGGACGTCCGAACACAACCCATTAGACAGCCAAAGCACTTTTCCCTTTAGACGTCCCTTTATATTCATCTCTATCTCAATGGCCCCTGTCGCTGTCGCACCTGTTACCTCCACGGATATTATCCGTGACATCAAAGCCTCTGTCGCCCGTACCTCCCCTGACACGCTGCTTGATCTCCTTAGCCAGGCGGCTTCGTGTTACCCAGACCACGAACTTGGCTTCATCACTTCCTCTGCACACGACTCTTCAATTCAGACCAAGACCTTCGCCGAGTTCGCCCAGTATGCTCGTTCCCTTGCTCAGGCTATTCGTGCTTGGGGAAAGCCCACAGGCTCGGTCGTTGTCGTTTATCTGACTGAGCATGAAGAGAACATGGCCGCCGTCTGGGCTTGCCTTCTCGCCGGTCTTGTCCCTTGCCTTCAGCCTGCCCTTAGTGCCCAACAGTCCCATAAGGAGGGACACGTTGGACACGTCAAAGGTCTCTTCGGGTCCGCTACCTGGTTGACCAATGAGACTGGCGCTGAGCAACTCCTTTCCATTCCTGATATCGACATCCATTTGTTCTCTGAGCTGAAGGAATCCGCTGCTACCCAAGATACTTCGGAGTTCAAGGCACACGAGGCAAAGGTTGACGATGAAGCCATCCTATTCTTGACTTCCGGCTCTACCGGTTTCTCAAAAGCTGTCGTCCACACGCACCGGACTATCCTGGCCGCTTGCTACGCCAAGGGCGAAAACTACGGCTTGACCTCCGAAACCAAGATTCTTAACTGTAAGTATTGATTGTAATCTTCGCGGGATCATTTCTGAGATTGGACGCAGGGGTTGGGTTTGACCACGTTGCTGGATCCATCGAAATGCACCTGGCGCCTCTTTTGTACGGCGCCTCCCAACTCCACGTACATCCCTCCGCTATTCTTTCAGACCCCCTTCTCTATCTCCGATTGATCGAGGAGAAGGTTTGTTAATACGACTATTGCTTTCCACTTCCATCACTGATCGCTGTACTTAATAGTCAATTGAAATCGCTTTCGCGCCCAACTTCCTCCTAGCCAAACTCGCACGTGATCTTGAAAAGCGAACTGAGCTTTTCGGCACCTTCAGCCTCTCCTCCCTCCGCCGGATCAACAGCGGTGGTGAAGCTGTCGTCAGCAAGACCGCCCAGACGTTCGCTGCCACCTTGAAAAACCTTGCTAAAGACTTCAACTCGTCCTTCGTCATTGCTGCCGGTTTTGGTATGACCGAGACATGGTTAGTCCACGTGGGATTATTCGCTTCTGCGGTTGCTTATTATGTCCTAGTGCTGGATGCATCTACGATGGTATTGATGTGCTTGCTACGCCTCCGGCCCACGAGTTCCTTGAACTGGGTGCCCCTATTCCCGGGTGTGAGATGCGCATCGTTGACCCCGCAGACGGTGTCACCCTTCGCGCTGATGGTGAGAGCGGTGAACTCCAGGTTCGCGGTCCCATGGTGTTCGTCCGTTACTACAACAACGCCGAGGCGACCTCCTCCAGCTTCGTTGAAGGAGGCTGGTACCGTACCGGTGACATCGGTATCATCGAGAACGGCAAGATGCGTTTGAGCGGTCGTATCAAGGACACCGTCATCGTTCACGGTGTCTCATATGGTATCCCTGAGCTCGAGACTCACCTCCAGAATGTGGATGGTGTTACGCATTCCTTCCTTGCTGCTGCACCATACCGTGCCCCTGGTCAGGACACCGAGGGTTTCGTCGTCTTCTACTCCCCTACTTTCAACCTCAATGATGAGGATGCCGCAGCCAAGCTCTATGCCACCCACCGTGCTCTGCGCGACGTGTCTGTCAAGATGATCACTCTCCCGCCCCAACAAATCATCCCGATCCCTCTCGAGCAGATGGAGAAGACTACCCTCGGAAAGTTGTCAAGAGCCCGCCTACTTAAGCAGTTCAAGGAAGGCCAGCTTGCTCAGCACATCGTCCGTGCCGAAGAATTGCTCGCTGCCGCACGTGGCGCCAGCTTTGTGGCACCCACCACTGAAACGGAAAAGGCTCTGGCTGGCATCTATGCCGGCATCTTCAACAACAATGTCAGCGACGTCTCCGCAGCCGATAACTTCTTCGAGCTCGGTGGCACTTCCATCGATGTCATCAGGTACGTCTATTGTGTGCCTTGATCTAAAAATAGTTACTGAGTTTGGCACTAAGGCTCAAGCGCGAGGGCGAGGCTGCATTCGGTCTCCCTGAGATCCCGACCATTCAAATTCTCAAGCACCCTGTCCTCTCTGACTTGGCCAAATACATCGACGCTTTGTCCTCCAAGGGCGGGTTCCAGGAGGAGTATGATCCTATCGTTCCCCTGCAGCTTACCGGTACCGGTACACCGATTTTCATGGTTCACCCCGGTGTCGGTGAAGTGCTGATCTTCGTCAACCTTGCCAAATACTTCCAAAATGAGCGTCCTTTCTATGCGCTCCGTGCTCGTGGCTTCGAACCCAACCACCCCTTTTTCGGTTCCATGGACGAGATGGTTTCCAGCTATGCTGCCGCTGTTAAGCGCACTCAACCCAAGGGACCTTACGCCATTGCGGGATACTCGTATGGTGGTGTCGTCGCTTTCGAAGTTGCCAAGCGCTTGGAGGCCATGGGCGAAGAAGTCAAGTTCACCGGTCTTATTAACATTCCTCCACACATCGCAGACCGCATGCACGAGATCGACTGGACGAGCGGCATGCTCAACCTCTCATATTTCCTTGGCCTGATTACGAAGCAAGATGCTGTTGACCTTACCAATCCCTTGAGGCGTCTCTCTCGCAATGACCAACTTGAGCTTATCTGGAAGTTGTCCCCACCTGAGCGTCTTGTCGAACTCCAATTGACTCCTCAGAAGCTCGACCACTGGGTCGATATCGCCGGCTCATTGATCGAGTGTGGAAAGGAGTACAACCCATCGGGTTCAGTCCGTAAGTAACCTTTTCATTGTTTTCATCTTACTCGGGTTTACACGACCAATATCAGAATGTGTCGATGTCTTCTACGCCATCCCTCTCCGCGGCAGCAAGGCTGACTGGCTCAACAACCAGCTCAAGCCATGGGCGGGCTTCAGCCGCGGCGAGCCCTCATACACCGATGTCCCCGGACAGCACTACACCCTCATGGACTTCGACCATGTGCCGGGATTCCAAAAGATTTTCCGCTCTCGTCTCGCTGCTCGTGGGCTCTAAGCTACATGCCAGGGGGTTGTCGCACATGGGGATTTTTTTCGCAGGGTCATATACATAATGTCATTTAGGATTTGCTCTCTTATCTAGGATAGTGTCTGCGCGCTGTTTTGTCTTTAATCATGTATCTACTATGATCGCCATTACCCTTTAGATTGCCACAATACATGTACGCCATTTTATTCCAGTTTCTCTTGTCATGTGTCAAGCGCCTTGTGAATAACTCAGAAGAGCTGCAGATTGGCAACATGGTTACACTATCTGGTTACTCTGCAACCAGCATTGATTGTACTTGTGAGGCAGACAAAGGAATTTGGTTTTGCCTAGCTACGAGTAGAGTGGGTGTACATACACGTATCTAATCTTTCCTGCACCGTTTACACCCACTACACTATGGCCCTGAGCAATCACGCATCCTGTTCGAGTGATCTCCGAACTGGCCAATTGTAACCGGTTTTTAAACAAAGCCTAGCATTCCTATTTTTACTACTAACCAGTCAGCTTTTGCCCAACATTATAACGGTTCGGCGCTTCAGCCCGCAGGGGACTGCAATATCACTTCAAGTTTAGAGATACATCGTGGAAGTTAACATTACTCGTTACAGCATTGATCGATTACAGTCAAGAGAGACACGTCATCATGGTGTAATATTGGAAGGTACGCATTATGGAAACTACTGAACTGGGGATTTGCACCCAAAAGACGTCGGAGCACCACTAGTATGGAAGGCATTGACGATTGACTTAATCGCAGAGTACGCCGCTAGAACTGCTGTTGCCACGCATGCAAGCATGAGGATGAAATTCCAGAGGTTAAACAAGACGTGCTTGGACACTGAAGAGGAAGCGACGATCAGTTAAGGATCGTATGATGTCGAACAGGGAACGCACAGGCTCGTCTCCAACGAGACCAGTTCTTCCACGTGTCAACTCTAGAACTGTGTGGGTTGTTGACGTCGTAAGGTTTATCACCAGACAGAGCGGTGTTTTGCATGACAAACCCTAGGAACATGAATGGTGGGAACGTGTAGCTGAATTCTATATTTCAATAGAAAAAAAGGGTTAATTGATGATGAACACATGATGTCCCAGGACGTACGGAAGATGCAAACGGCAGCAACCAATGCGGAGATGTTGGTGAATTGTGGGATAGCGGAGCCAATGGTATATGCGAGGGCCCAGTAGACTATAACAGACACAGCAAACAGGTACTTTCCGGATTTAACAGTGAGGGGCGGAGCGCGGAACAGTTCCACGAAGATGGTGTTATAGATGACCTTCACACCAATGTTACCATACAAGGCAGCTGCGATGAGGCCAGCTGTGAGGGAAGTAGCATTGGTCGCTGTCTGAAGGCTGTAGAGGGAAATACCCTGGTTGGCAATCTAAAGGGAAGCCACGTCAGTTCGATACTTGTCATAAGGCATAAGTAATCCTACGTTGACGACGAACTGCCCTTGATACGAGTAGACGAACAGACCAAAGAACATGTAGACAGTGGTGATGAACAGCTGGGCGAAGGCCATAGCTTTCCAGAAGTCCATGGGACGACGCATCTCAGCCATAAATTCAATAAAAATCATTCTGCAAGTCAATCGTTAACCTTTGTTCGCAGGTGTATGTGACGAGAAAATACTCACGCGCCACCGTAAGAAAAGACCATCTGCATAATTCCGTTGAGTTGTTCCTCGAAGGGTTGATTATTAATGGCCAACGTCTGAACGGGACCGGGTGGAAGGCCGGACCCCTCGTAGTTCGGAGGTGTGTGTGCGACAGCACCCATAGTAATAATTAGAGTGATGATATTGAGCCATACCGCGAAGTCAGCAACCCAGCCAAACTTCCGGAGAGTTCTGATTTGTCCGAGCATCATTCCTGTCGAGAACATTCAGTTCGTGTATGGTCATCGCTCATGGAAGACGAACCACCCAGCATCCAAACCACATTGCAAACGCTGAAACAAAGCTAACATACGCATAGGTAAGTGTCTTAGGCAGCTCAATATGGTCCGACCTTGAACTTTGCCATTTGCGAAAGGCCTTGACCATTCGAGAGGATAATTAGACCGACGTTGAGTATAAGCTGCAGGCTCTGCAAGACGTTGCACACTGTACACAATTGAGAACAGTGCAATGGACAGAACACGTCGCCTACCATGTCGAAACCAGCCGCCGTAAATACGGTAGGCGAGGTCACCGAAAGATCTCAGGGGATGTTTATCTGAGTCCAGTTTCATGAACATGTACCAGAGTAACAGCCCGCTGTAGGCAGCCATAATGGCAAATGCGATGAAGCATGCAACACCCGGACCATAACCGACCTGTGAGAACGCCCATGGAGTAGTGTATGGGCCGAGAATGTCTTGGTGGAAGATCAGTCGTAGATCCTCCTGTGGAAGCAGGTTTACGCGAACCTGTAGTGATAAGGTAGAACACGCTTGCCCATGAAGCGGTTCTCAAAGCGCTCGAAGCAGCCCGATACTCTGCCTCCGAAGCGGACCCAGCGGTGTTTCCTTTCTTGTCATCTGTGAAGTTAGTGGGAATTAACTTTTGATCTCCCTTTCCCCAGAGGATGTTAGCCCAGAAACCTCGCTCCATGTCGTCCGACTTGGATTCCGCAGCTTCTTTCTCTCGCTGCTGCTTAGCAAAGTAGAGATAAGTCTCGAAATTGGGCTCTATCCCATCTGCAAGGATGGGGTGATCTGGATGAAGATCCTTCTCAGGTATGGGGACGCGAGGGTCGTGGCCTTGGATTGCCGCAGGTTTGAATGCCATAGTAGAACAAGAACGGGAGGGCGGGACAACTTCCGTGGAGCCTCCTTTATCTAGGAACGTTGGGGCGATTATGCCCACGTGCTTCTCTCCGAAACTGCCACTCTCGTTATAGGTGACCGCATGCTTCACGTAGCTATTCTCGGCATCCTCACGTATCCATACCACTTGATTGCTGGGAAACACTGAAACAAATGACTGTCAGTACCTGAACATCTGCCGCGAGTTTGATGCCGTTCACAGGGACTTGCCAATGCTGGGGTCTAAGGGGGTCTAGGCGGTAGCGGCAACTGAGAACGGAGAAACTTGAAACGCAGTGATCTATTTGCAATGAGCGAGTGAAAATAAACCATTAACCTCTCTTCAAAAATTTCAGCATCACTTCTTGAGTTCATGGAGCTCAAGGACAAGCTACCTGCATTTGCCATTCATGTGACCATGCAGTTTACCACTCACCTAGGCTGTCATACCCCGCATGGTGTACTATCATTCTGCATTATTACAGGCGGGATCAATCGTCCTGTAACGTCCACCAAGCTATTTTTACTCTCCCCTGTAGAGTAAATGAGTTAGGTAAGCCCCCGCACGAAACTCACACGGCCACCGAGAACGCGTGTGCAGCGACATGTCCCACGCGGTCGCCACCGTTGCCAACGCCGGTTCATAGAAGGGCCATGCCGGAGACATACCTACATGGATTGAGGTTGGGAATGAAGAGAGCAGGGGATCGCCCCTTTACCGGAGGACAAACGAAGTCTGTAAACGCTGAATCCACGCTCGCCTCGTGCAGCACCTCGTAACGGACACACGATTTCGAACCCATGTTCTTATCAAATGTTATGCAGCGTCAAAAATATCGAGCTTCAGCCCAATGCTCTCACGGTATTTCAGTGAAGTGAGTAACTCACTAGGCAGGTGGGAGAAACGCGTAAACAGTTAAACACTTGTCGATGAGTAGCTGGGAATAATCCCTGCTGACTCCTAGCTTGAGTGCACTGACGCAGTTGACACTACGGCATGAAGTGCAGTAGCTCGAACAGCTACAGATGACCTGGCAACCACCGTCAATTTTCATGCCCCGTCATGCTGGTAATAGTAGGTGAACAACTCCTCTGCATGAAGAACAGAACTAAGGCAGGCCCAGGGGCGCCAACACAATCTGACTCATTATAATTCCTGTTGGCCCCTATAAATAAGCGTGTGTGGCTGCAACACGTAGCCCGCCATGCTTCCCAAGGATAGGACGTGGTATTAATTAGTATGGCAAAAAATTGGATCTACCTCTGCACGTCCAAAATGCTGTACATGAGTCACTGCTACACGTACGCGATGCAGGAACACAGCTTAGCATATGCAAGCAAAGTCCCACTAGTGGGTAATGCGATTAGTACGCGAGTGAGACAGCGACCGACGGCGCGTCTGCCAAATCCATTGAGCTCTACATTGGTCGACCGCTGGTGGGAACCCCAACTCAGTGGCTTACACGCCACCCACCATAACTTCCACACAACGCAGTTATTGGCGACTGTCATACCGCGCAGCCCGACAGCGATCCCACTGTCATGACTACGACCGACGCCCTCGTATCTACTGGAGAGCCGCTGCTAGTTGCCAGCCGGATCTTTCACATTCCTGAGCTGCTTCACCTCATATTCAGTTTTCTGGACAAGAAGTCGAACGTGTCAAGCGCTTGTGTCTGCAAGTTTTGGTCAGACATTGCCCTGGATGCCGTCTGGAGGGAGGTAGACGATCTGATTCAGTTGCTCTCTATACTCAATCCCGTTTTCATGAGCGTGGCTGGCGCATACGTGAGTTGTGGCATCCCTTAGGAGTACCTCGTTCGCTGAAATTAGCCCATCACACAGCAATTCGAGGATATCCCAGGGGTATCGGATTGGAGCAGGTTCCACAAATATGCGCGTCGCGTTCGATGTCTGCGTTTCGATTCCAGTTCCATAGAAGGCGAGGTGGAAGTTGTGCTTGACGACGTTGCCAGGACAAGAACAGTCTTTCGAAATACTTCCCAACTTGCGTGAACTGGTATGGACGTGTCGCGCTCTCAGCGACTTACAACGCTGCCTCTTGTTCCTGCATGGCCGGCTCAAGTATCTCACCGTGTCCCTTTGGTCGCATCTTGGAGAACCTGGCCCTCTTCTCACCGATATCTGCGCTCGAGCACCTAATCTCCATACGCTGAAACTGCACATCAAGGACCCCAACATGCAGATGTTAGGCCAGATACAAGTCGTCGTCCGAAACTTACATCACCTTAGGAAGATAGTACTTCCGGAATTTCGTTTCACCTCTGAAGTAATCCAGGAACTTTCACGCATGCCGAACCTTGGCGTTATCGAGTTCCAGCACGATCTAGCAATGGGTGCTGGTAATCCCAAGAACGTAGAACGCTTTGTTCCGGTCCTCACAGCTGGTGCCTTCCCTGCCCTCTACGATCTCAACCTGACCGCTGGGATTGATGATTTGGAGAAGTTTTTCCAAAGCTCTTTCGCTCCCATCAACATCACCACACTCTACGTTAACTCATATGCGAAACACAGTCCTGCCGAAGTACGATCGTTTCTCCTAACCCTCTCGCAAGAATGCAAGCATCTTTCCCGTTTGCATGTCATCCTACTCGACAAAGATATCAATCAAACCACGTGTATCGAGGACGAACAGCTGTCCCTTTGCACTCTGCAGCCTCTGTTCTCCATTCCTAATTTAACGTGGTTCGAGGTGATTCATAAGTACCCACTCAGAATAACGCAAAACGAAATCGAGGAGCTTGCAAGTCGGTTGCCGTCGCTCGAAGCCTTGGAACTCAATCCAGAGCCGCTTCTCACTAGTAAATCCACTCTTGATCTCGAAGCCCTCCTTCCCTTTGCAAATCACTGCCCAAAGCTACGTTATCTCGGTCTCTTCATGCGTGCAACAGGGTTTGAAGTACCCCTGGCGCGTGCCTCATTCAAGCCTTTCCACGCTCTTCAGGTTCTGAACGTCGGAACATCCAAGGTCGAGAGTCCGAAAGCCGTTGCTGCGTTTTTGAGTCTCTTCTTTCCGCCGTGGTGCAGGTTACAGTTCGGTATAACGTGGACGGGCAGAGGTACCATGGAACATCGTTCTCTCGATCTAAACATTTTATTGGAGTTGTCCCAAGGGGTGGATCCATGGGAAGAAATAAGTACGCTGCTACCTGCCTTAATTCAGGTCAGAAGGGAGGAGTGGGAGAGAACGAGAGCCTTGAAGGAGGAGGTGGAGGATCTTCGGATTCGAACTCGTCTTGTTAGGGATACGGCAGGTAGGGTGCCACGGGACTCATGCGTAGTTAGCTGAGAACTGCAATTTCGCCCTTGTATTAGTACCACTCACCAGAATCCAAACGCACGTGTTTGTATTTGCATAGCCAGCTGGTGGATGTATTGCTTGTTGTCTATTTCATTTGCAGTGTCGACAGGACCCGTGATTGTTAACCTCTTTGCAGTAACACATTCACTACCGTGATTCGATGCCGAGCTAACGTGTCTCACTAGCACTATTGAACACAGATCAAGCCTGAGGTGCCCTGGTTCGACGAAGGCAAAGAACTCAATTCCTCAGGCAAGTCTTTGAGCTTCGTGCCGCAGGGCCTTGTAGTGGAACGAAAGACTGTCCATGCCAACTGGACGTCCACTTAACAAGGAATTGAAAACCCCCTCTCGGGTTGTCGTATGCTCTTAGTGACCATGCCGGGTCACTCTTAGACCTTTCCTCCTCCTGTGCGCACCGCTGGCGAATTCTTTCCGATAGTCATGATACAAGAGCTCCTGTGAAGTTTCTTTCTCCCAAGACGGTCCCTATCTTCATGACCGGAAGTTTCAGTTGCGCATGTAATTTTCCCCGCCCAAGATATGCCCCCCAGAACATCTGTATATCGATGGGATATGCTGCAAAAGTGATGTTCTGACCTTCACAGACCTCAATATTCTCGAGTTCTTGTTCGCCTTGCCGATGTTATGACCTCGGAAATCTCATCCTCACTTGAACACTCCCCTCCAACCACTCTGGTGATGCACAAGTTCAAAACCTGAGAACAATATTTTCCATCTTCCACTTCTCGAGATGTTCAAGCTCGAGGTCAACGACAGGGGTCATTTCTCGTGGGCGATTGTGGCGCTGATACTGATCTCCATTGATAAGTAACCAAGGCTCTATGTAAAGCCCGTCAATCGCAGCGGGGTCCTAGAGATGAAACGCGAAATGTGTGATATCACCACAGTATTGTAGTTACCTCTCTTGCTACATGTTGTAGTATATATGTAGTCAAAGTTGCCGTCAGCGTCCGAGACAGTAAAGAGTTTGGTTTCACATCCATTGTAACGTCTTCACAGTCACGTATCGCCCATCTACAAGGCCAGCAGTATCCGTTCAGATGGCCTACCCACGACGATCTCCAGATGACCACTACGTTACTGATACCTCCGATTTGCAGTCAGAGACAGAATCAATCCTTCACAAGCATCTACCAACGAACCCAGAGTCTCCGCCCCCGCTGCAGAGAAACCAGCACCTTCAGTTTCTCGTCAAGAGCCTTGTGCAGGGATTCCCATCGCGTTACACCAGTCAAGATGCCAGCCAGCCTTGGCTCCTCTTCTGGACTTTACAAAGCTTCAGCGTGTTAGGTGTTGCTTTGGATCCTGACAACAAGCAGAAGTGCGGGCTCATCTTGTCGACGGGCTCGTATGCGTCCTAAGGGTCGTCTGTTTGTAGGGCCATCGATACTATCATGACATGGCAGCACCCTGATGGTGGGTTCGGTGGTGGTCCTGGTCAGCAAGCACATCTACTACCGACCTACGCGTCGGTGTGTGCACTCGCCATCGTTGGGCGACCCGGGCCAGGAGGCGGTTGGGATCAGATCAATAGGTGAGCCCTCGACATTGCTTATGCCTTAGATTGGGGAGATAATCTACTTAGGGAGAAGACGAACGAGTTCTTTATGTCCCTGAAGCAGCCGGATGGATCTTTCCTTGTTTCTCATGATGCTGAAGTTGATGTCCGGTACGTACGCTACTAGAGTATCTTACCATTAACTTATGCATGCCATTACAGAGGGATATACTGTCTGCTCGTGGTAGCTCATCTCCTGGATATACTAACACCTGAACTTCTGGATGGTACACCAGCTTTCATCGCATCTTGTCAAACCTATGAAGGTGGATTCTCCTGTGCATCACAACCATACTTCAGCGCCGAGGCAGATGAATTAACGATAGTGCTCGATGCTATTCGTCCGCCTCTAGGTGAGGCGCACGGCGGATACACGTTCTGCGCACTCGCCTCGTGGCTAATGCTCCAGCCATACCTGAAATTGCACGGACGAACGGAACCGCAGCCAACCATCAATTACCGCAAATTGATGCGGTGGCTCGTGCACTTGCAAGGAAATGAAATTGAACTTGGTGGATTCCGCGGCCGCACGAACAAGCTGGTAGATGGTTGTTACTCGTGGTGGGTCGGTGGTTGTTTTGCCCTCCTTGCATCCCAAGGAATAGGTGGCGGTTATGGTAGGGATGTTGAGCCGTCTACTGAAGCACATGACGAGGGAGATTGGGACGACGTTGATGGTAAGATTGATATCAGCCCAGGCATTCCATTACTAAGATCCTACACCTGATGCAGAGTCAGTATGGAGCAAACTTTGGTTACAGAGATACATTTTATGTGCTGCTCAGCACCCATCTGGAGGCTTGAGGGACAAACCTCCCAAGTATGCCTGTCCGATATCGAGATCGCAACTCTTAGCCGACTGATACCATTTCAGGGCTGCGGACTCTTACCACACCTTGTACTGTCTGGTCGGTCTTTCGATAGCTCAGCATAACGTATATCCTTCGCCAGCGAGGCGAGCCCACATTGCTGCACAGTGGCAATCTCCGTCAGGTTCGTTGACCTGTGGCCGTACAATACCTACTACTGAGTCGCATGCAAGGTTATGCAAATGAAGAGTTCCGTAAGGCATCCTTCTTGGAGGTTCTTTCCTGGGCCGAAGAGGAGGGTGGATCGCACGTGTTGGGCGGCTTGGCGAACAGGGTGGTGCGTATGGTTTGGCCTGAAAGTTGGCACGATTCATGACTAAGTTTTCCCAGAATGCGACTCATCCTATCTTCACCCTCACAATGACGCACACAGAGGCCTTTATGTCACATTTCTACGATCAAGCGATCTCGAGGAGCAAGTAGACACTTGCGTGTAATGTGGGAAAGGGGTAACGATGCGTATGATTCCAGCAGTACACAGAGTGTAAATTACATCGTCTTCTTCGGGTTTCAGGCTGCAGCTTCCATTCAAGTTAATAACCGCCACCAAACATTACTCAGCGCTCATTCTTGTTTCGTTGGATTGTCTAGCAGACTGCGCGCGCGCGCATACTGCGAAGTCGTGTTTCCTAGAGGTTCTTGGTGCAATTCTGTTCTCTCCTTGGCCTTCAAGCCAGATCGAGAGGCCTCCACGGTAACTGCTAATAACACACATATTTATTTGACAGGTAGTCACAGTTAGTCCGAGGTCATTTCTATTCCAAGTCGTTCTTCACTTCATGGGAATTCCGTTGGTTTGATCACAGTACTCGCTCTACAAGACCCAATCCTTCACTCTCTAAAATGGCTCTGATCGGCTCACAGATCTCCTTCGTGTATGGCGCGAGAACTCCGGGCGTGTTAATGACACCATCCAGCACCAGCTGGGTAGCAATACCGCAAGGAACACCAACTGTGACAGCCATAGCAGAGTGTCCGCCCGGGCTGCCGTACTTCTCCAGCGTCGAAGTAAGAATTTGCTGGCAGGGCGGCAAATTAGACTTATCCCACGCGGGCATTCATACTCGCGATATATAGTACCCACCTGATTTCCATCCTGCCACTCCACCACGAACTTGTGCTGCAGCATGACGAGGTCACGTTCGCCGGGTTCGTACTTCATCAGCGTTTCCAGCTGTGCACAAAGCGTATCCAGCAAGTTCTTTCCCCTCGGCTTGACGTTCTCCGAAGAGAATAGCCCGATCCAGCGGAAGCCAGATATGATCCGGGTACTTTCACTCTCGTTCGGGAACTTGCAAACAGTCTTGATATGAGCAACGAGGGTCCTATGCGGTTAAATTAGCAACTGATGATCCGCAGTAAATCTGATTTACCTTTCAGAGGCATCATTAGCGCCGATTGCCCTCTGGGTCACCTCAGCCCACGTGAGATCTTCTGTTAGCCACGCCTTCTCGGTAGCATCGAGCCAACCCAGATCGACCAGCGCCTTGATGAACTCTGGGAATCCTTGGTATCTCAGTGTACCGCGAACAATTGTTTCGGCCTCTGGGATGTTGTAAAACTCCCGGAACGGCACCGAGTTGCGGTTAGGGTATGCAACGAAAGCATATGCGGGAGAGATGAAGTAAGGGTTGGCATATCCCATGAGGTCGCTACCCGTAATGTCGACCTGCTTCCCTTCTGAAAGATAAGACGCCGAGTTCAAAAGAGCGAGAAGAACACCGCGGGATGACCAAGAAAACTTGTATCCCAGCGGATTCTCTGAGCATTCAGGTGCGGGAAGACCACCACAGTATGATAAGAACTGCTTGATCTGTTCGGTTTTGATTACTACGTCGCCCGAGAAGAGGCAGCTCCGGACTCCATACCTTTCCACCTTTCTCATGGACCTCTGAAATAGTCTTGACAGCGTACAGGTGATCGATACCGGGATCTAGACCGATCTCATTCATGACTACTATTCCGGCCTTCTTAGCTTGCTCATCAAGCTCTCTCATTGCCGGAGAGACATAGCTAGTCGTCACAACATGAGTTTTGCCTTTGATCGCGGACTTGATGACTGCAGCATGGTAAGTGTAAGGAATCAAAGAGATAACCAGATCATGCGCAGCGACCTGCGCGTCAAGAGCTTCCGTCGAATTGACGTCCAATGAGATGGCTGTCGCATTCGGAAGGCCATCGGCGAGCGCTGTGGCATTGCTAAGCGTTCGGCACGCTGAGACAATCATTAGTTCACGTAAACAACTACGGTTCCCGAAAACTTACCGATAGTCAATTCGTTGATCGGATCACGTGCGACGTATTCCGCACATGGTCTCGCGACAAAGCCGGATCCTAGAAGAAGGATTTTACGGGTCTTCTTTCCCTCTTCGGGGACTTTCGCAGCTGCAGCCGCTCTCCCAAACAAGGGGCGGAGATCCCTTCCTTCGGCGAGAATAGTGTGGGCAAATTCGGGGAGGACGAAGGCACAGCGATGGATATTTTCATTGTAGTATCGGGTCCCGGGTACCTTGCGCAGTGGCTCTCTAAGGTTCCTTGATGGGTCCTTAGAGCACACCATAAATCCGATTTGACCCGAAGGGTAAGTTGGTATCGTCGTGTACGCGTATTGGGCAACGGGGAATATTTCGGAGGTCATATTGCGCAGCTGCAAAATGAGCGGGAGGTGCAACCACAGACACTCTCCCTGAGTGGAAATGTGGCCACCAGGTGTAAGGGCGTCATGCAAGAGCTGAAAGTACGGTTTTTGGAAGAGGGATTCCGCGGGACCCACAGGGTCGGAGGAGTCCGTGATGATGACATCGTATGTTGCTTCGTTATCGGCGAGGAACTTGAAGCCGTCACCGACGAACACCCTGACCTTTGGAGATTCCAAAAGGGCAGACATGTGAGGAAGGTATGTCTTTGACACCCTTATAACTGCCTGACACAAGATGAGCTATATCATTCACTGATTCACCATTGTACGAGGGCGTACCTCGTCTATGTCGCAAAGAACGACTTCTTCGACACTTTCATGCTTCAACACCTCCCGAACAACGCCTCCGTCCCCGCCACCAATGACCAGCACTCTTTTGGGGTTCGGGTGGCTTGCCAGAGGAAGATGAGCAATCATCTCCTGGTACCTGTGTGCTTTATTACAGAACACTCTCCAGTTTCTCAGAAGGATTGTAACTTACGAGAATTCATCGCGTTCGGTGCACTGGATAACACCATCCAACACCAAGACGTTGCCGTAGGTCTCTGATTCAAAGACCAGTACATCTTGATAGAGCGATTTCTCCACATGCAGAATTTTGTTGACTTTGAGTGTCATTGCCTGGCCAGGCCATTGAGAGGAGATCTCCCGGAACCAGCCATCTGTTCAGGGATGAGTCGTTTGCGGCGATTGCCAACGGTGTCAGTTGCGAATGCAAACGTACCTTGGATAGAGGGATGAGACAGAGGTGCCATTTTTTTGTGTGAGGAATGATCTGGCGTTGCAGTGACAGACAAACTTGTATCGGCGATATCCTCCAGACGGATGGAGTTTTTTAGCGCAATCTTATCTGAAAGAGATCTAATCAAGACATGTACCCATCAGTACCCTGCACAGCCCTTGGGTCTGCGGCGCCTGCATTGTTTACCCCCACCCATCATTAGGTCTAGTAGCAACATTGTATTCTGTGCTGAAACAAAGACCGAGTCTCGACCTCTTTCGACACATCGGGTTGACACCACATCAGTAAGCAAATAGATGATTTAAACCTGTCACTGCCTGGTCGCGACCGTGATTCCACCGTTCCCTGTCCCCCTGATGCATCCTAAGACATATGACAGCACTCGAGGGTACCAGGCTATTACATAAACACGTAGTTAGAACATTGGAGAGAGCACGAATTGCGGCCGGTTCCAATGTCCTCTAATACATGTTTTCTGAGCTGCTGAAGGGATGCGGGAACCGACTGACGTCGGCGAGGGTGCCGAGACTGTCGGAGTTGGTGGACAATGAGCGGAGTGCCACCTTTCTTGACTCAGCGAGTGTCCGCAACTTAGCAAAGTCCATCTTACCGCTCATGCGGAGCACGCCAGGTTGATCAGCCATCATATCCATATATGATATCAAAGAACTCCCCGCCGTATTAGGTACGGATATCCGCTGTTATGCCAGATGGCAGCTCAGTTTTTTCTTTTCTTTTTCAGACAGCAACTGTTTATGTTGTCTGGTGGCTGGTTGCTGCTATCGCCCTGACCTGAGAAGTTACTGCGGCAAGGCTCATTGACTTGCGGTTATCATCGACGTTGATTTAGGTGGAGTTTATTCAAAGGTGTCTTTGTATCTTCTACCGATCCGAGCCACGCGTCCGGATGCATTTCTCCTTTCATAGCACCGCCTTCCTTGTTCACCAAAGTATTCGGTGGACGCCCTCACGTCTTTACGACGACCACCCACTCCATTTTGTAGGCCTCTCCCTCCATGACCCAGAGGAACAGTCTCAGCGACGTCTGCGACGTCTATATTTCGCGCCGCAAGAACGATCAGTCCAGCACTGGGCGTGGTCTGATATCTGACCTCCGGTCGTCGTGGGGTCACCTTTTGCTCTCTCGCCCAGACCAGAATGGCCCCCGACTACCACTTCCCGAGCCCGGATGTGGTAGCTCCCCGAACACAGTAACATTGCCAAAGTTCTCGAGATATGGACAGTCTCTCCGCATCCCTCGCCCACGGAACGCCTTTATTCTCTTCCGCTGCGATTTTGTTCACCAAAGAAAATTGAACCCGACAGAAAACGAAGATAACAACATCTCTCGCGTGGCCGGGCAGCGCTGGAGCCAAATGACATTATTACAAAAGCAGCCATGGTTAAGGATGGCTCAGAACGAAAGAGAACGTCATGCATTCTTGTATCCCAACTACAAATATACGCCGAACCCCCTCAACTTTAAGCTAAGAAAGACAAAGATTAGAGGATATAATCCCCATCTTCCTAAAGCAGTGGAATCTTCTGCCTTGGGTCCAACGCTTCTCGCTAATTCCCAACCTCAACCACGACTTACTCGCACCAACGAGCAAATAAATTCGCATCCCCTCGACACTCGTCGACACCCTCACCCTCCTGAAAGACGTCCATCTTCGTGCCCACCCATTGGAGCTACACCCGTCCCAGATCTACGAGCCTTAGAATCGTGGCTACCGCCGTTGGTTTCGCAAGACGATCTCCGCCGTCGTCCCAGTCAAACTGTCATGTATCAGTCCACGCCCACCCTTAATACCATTGAACCGACGTCCAATGATCATCTTCCCCTCCTACAGAAGAACGATTCTTGGTTGGGTGTTCCACAGCCTTACCCATGGGGGCTTGCTGGGAACGAGCAGCTCATCCAGCATAACCCTGTTGACTCTGAATTTCCTGTTGCATCTGCACCGATGGACAGTGACCCGGTATGCGTTCACTTTTCTATCCGAAGATATATCTTAACGGGCTTTTGTTACCGTAAACAGACTTGCGCAGCTTTTTCGAAGCAACTCGACGCCCTGAGCGACATAGAATTTCTCAGTCTGGAACCCACCTTCGTCGACCCCTTCCGGTTTTCCCTAGAACCCACCGACTGCTATCCTTTCCAGGCCTCCAACATACCACCTTTTCTCACATGTGCTGATCTGGGACTCCCCAGCAGTACGCTATCCCCTCCGAGTGGTCCTTCTTTGTTGTCCGAGCGACGTGGGGGTTTTTCCATTCCCTCCCCATCGACCTTCGTTGAAGACGGATAAGTGTACGGGTGTACGTTCACTTTAGAAGTATTGTCATAACGATGGACGCACGCTGCACGCTAGCATTGTGATACTGTAAGTCATTGTAGCACCAATACAATATTCCCCTATAGCACCTGCATGTTGGTACCTTATGCATTTTTACACACACATTAGCTGAAGTCATCATATGCACATGCTCATTGGGACTAGGTTTTTATCGAGTCTGTTTATGCTTGTAAGATTGTAGCACTCCTGTCGGCCTCATATGCTTCCGACGCTAACCATCCGAACACACACTCGACTTGCCTTACAGGCCAACACCTTCAGGACATTTGGAGGAAACCGTGCAGTCAGTACCACATCATCACAGCGTGGAATGGGCAAGAACAACAAGAAAAAGAGCAGTCTTCCAGACGAGAAGCACCTTCTTCTACCGCTTCACAGCACTACAGCGACCACACCCGTCGTAGACACGCATACCCATCTTTTGGCAACGTATTCATGGTACAGGAGCAAGTATAGTACGGCAAAGTTCAACGATATCTACGAGTTCGTTCGCGGCCTCTATGTCGGCCGGAACGTCAAGGCGATCGTGGATGTGTGGTGCGAGCCGCCTGTGCCACGCATCTGGAAGGAACTGGCAGATTCAGCGATATCGTCTCAGGATCGTGCGGCAAAGTGGGGAGGTGTGGACTACTGGTTTGTGATGGGTGAGTTCCTCTGTCGTATCACTGGGTGGGGGTCGAGATCCCTGGCTAACGACTCGTTCCATCTGTCAGGGGTACATCCGTACGCTGCCTTTCACCGATTTGTGTACAGCAGGGTCTGATCGACTTTTTGCAGTCACGAAGCAAAGCATTACAATGACGAGGTGGAAAAGACTCTGTGAGTGAAGGGAATACCATATCATGACTGTCAAGAAGGTGCTCAAGTTCATCTTCGTTAGTATAGAAGCCATGGGACATCCTCGGTGCGTTGGTTGGGGAGAAATAGGACTCGACTACCATTACGACCACTCGCCACGTCAACTTCAACAGCAGATATTTACTAGACAACTACGAAAAGCGGTTGCACTAAAAAAGCCTCTTACAATACACACGAGAGAGGCCGAAGAAGACACAGAACGCATACTGAAGGCAGAAGTACCGGTCGATCATCCTGTGCGTCGTCAGCCGTCCATCAACTTTGAAATTTGCCGATAGCTGATGTTTGGGTATCAAAAGATCCATATCCATTGTTTTACCGATTCCCCAGAGTTAGCGCAACGACTACTAGACCACTTCCCCAACCTGCATATTGGTGTCACCGGCGTCATCTCGTATTCCACTAATCTTAATACCTCCGCCACTGTGCGACATATGGCCTCGCGGCCGGAGGGACCGCGATTCCTTCTAGAGACAGATGCGCCGTACATGGTCCCTGCTAACATCTATGACTCGCTGTCAGATGTCAAGGGACGACTCCCGCTTTGTCATACTGCTATGATCCCATGGGTGGCGGATTTTGCCGCTGCCAGTGGGGTGGACGGATGGGACACAACTAGGATTATGCAGCGCGCCAACGAGAACGCTTGCAAAGTGTATGGCATAACGATTAGTTAATTCATTGTACGTCCACAATTTGGACAACTTGAGGTTTTACTGAAAGACTGCAGGATGAGCTTATATATGGAAAATCGTGGAGGTAAAAGCGACATCGATTGTATGGCGACCCCGGAAAGATGAAGGAAGAGTTAACAAGTACGAAGAGCACGGGAGCTGAAGTGCTCGAGCGCACCGACAATGTCTTAGAAAGCCGAGGAAAGGTGGTTCGGAATGAGCTACATAACCTGCCGCCTTCTGGTCTTGTAGATATAAGACTGCACCTGGTTCGGTATATTACCCCGGCCAATGGTCCAGATTCAACATCGGAGCATCATCATTCTCAGGTCGTAAAGCTTGAGTTGCACGTGCCTCATCTACGCTGCATCTCAAATTCACGGTCTCTGTGCTGGGAGCTCGAACACACTCGAATGCCTTCAACAGGACCAAGAAACAGGCTCAGACTATATGATTAAGTGACGTAGAGAATCGTTAAGTGGATAGCATTCCCGCCGCTTGTTACACCTTCTGATCGGCGGACCCGGAATTGTGGGTACCATGGTCTAGTTCTTGTTGTTGCCTTTCAATGAACGCTTCACGTACTTCAAGGCTGACGGCACCAAAGATAATGTCCATTTCTTCCAAGCTGCGCCCCTTGGTTTCCGGAAGGAAGCTACAGGAATGGTTAGTGGAGGGAAGGACGACAAGATAATCGACTTCACAGTGAAAAAGTGACTATGCCGCCAATGTTTATTGCGCCAAACATGAAGAAGAGTTTGTAACCCAGGTCCGCGACTAACGTAGGTGTCACCTTAGAGACAACGAAGTCTGCCACACGTATCAGCATTGAGACGTATCTAGACAAATTAAGCACGTACTGAATAGCCATTGTGTTCCAGAGGCAACTGCCAGACCATAATGCCGCGTACGAGTGGGAAATATATCCGACACGTACACCCATGGAATGGGACCCACACCCATTGAATAGAAGCACACAAAAATGTAAAGCATAACAGCCATTGCCTTAGATGCTGGTGGTGGCGGTTGTCCAGCCTGAATTTCGTCCACAGGGTGGGTCTTGAGGATTGCACCGACTATGAAAAACATGATACCCATTCCAACCGCTGAGATAAACAAGGATATCTTGCGACCGAGAGAGTCGACGAAGAAAAAAATGAAAACAGTAGTGGCCAATACTTTGACAACTCCATAGATGCCAGAAGCGAGAAGGGAGTTCGTTGTTCCTGTAAAACCAATCTTATGCTTCCCGTGAGTCGACGAGATCGTGACATGCATACTAAGGAGTATCTCACCGAGGTAAAGATCTGAGGGGCATAGTAACCAACGGAATTCTGTCCACTCCATTGCTGGCATACGAAGATGGCGAAGGCTATAACAAAGCGAATAGAGTTTCCATATCCGAAAAACGCTTCTCTGAGACCGAGGCCCTTGCGAGCTTCCTGTTCCTCTCGAATTGTTGCTTTAATCTCTACCATTTCTTGTTGTATGGCTGGGGAGTCAGGTTGCTCTTTACGGAAGTAGGCGAGATTTCCAATCGCCTCTTGGACACGACCCTTGGAAGCCAGCCAACGTGGTGATTCCTGTGCTTCGTCAGTTTATTTCTGGAGAGTCCTTCCAAGCTCGGGGTACCTTGACCGTAAGTAGTCCCAGAGACATTAAACCGGCGGGAACAAGTTGCAATCCAAAAGGAACTCTCCAAACCATATCGCTATTTGCCAGATGGAGTCCAACCCCAACTGTGGGAGAAACAACAAAGTTAGCGTCGGGGGTACCCAAGAGAAACGGGAAAATACTCACGATTAACAAAGTACGAAATCATGACGCCAATAGCAATCATGAGCTGGAATAGACCAGTCATACGACCACGTACACGCTTTGGGGAGCACTCCGACACATAAGCAGGCGCAACTGCCGAGATACCACCTATCCCAACACCGGATACAACACGACCTCCATATATGTACCCAATTCCTCTGCTGCCCCCTGCTACCGTGGTGAGCACCTATGAGTATCAGTCACACGGGGATATAGTTTCTAAATTGTGTAAGATGCTCACAGCTCCTACTAAAAACACGACTGTGAATGCGACAAGCGTCCACCGACGTCCAAGCCAAGCTGTTACGGTTAAGAAGAGATGGATCAAACTTTTGAGGACACAGAAGCCACAATCATGTACCAGAAATTGGTGCGCTCCCTAGAGCGCCGAAGAAAGCCCCCGCCTGTAATACCGAGACTACATTGGAAGAGACTTCCGTATCTTTGCCCTTGTCAACCGTTCCATTCGGGTTCACGAGGCCAAAGTGTGTTTCAAAGTAAGGTTGTGAAACTACGCCCCCGGCGATACCACTGGTAGCGTATCAGAACTAACCCACCATCATTGAACGCGAACACTATAGCTCACCTGTCGTAACCGAACAAGAAAGCACCCCAGTACACGACAAAAGCCAGCCCTGAGCGATATTCAGGGAAAACGTGAGGTCAGCGTGGATACTACAGAGCTTACAGTAAACCCTGATGTTCTTGAAGTTATCGCCCTCCAGCATGATGGTAGACGCCTGGAGAGGGAGAAGCGTGAGGTATTAAGTATAGCAGAGCGGCTTCCGGGAGAAGCGTCCGGCGGATTTATTTGACCTCCAGATGAACGTCAGGGTGATACCCTGTTAAAAGGCGTTTGCTCCAGCCAGGGACACACTTCACACAAAGTGGAAGTTCAGGTCGACTGAGGTTCAGTTGACCCACCAGATGACAAAGAATATGCCACGTCCGTACAACTGCTTGTCACATCGAAGATGAGAGATGCGGATGACTGGTCCCGCGGGATCAATGACGGTGTTAGTCAAATGCTTCTCCACGGCCCTTTATTTGTTCAGGTTATAACTAAATCAAATATCAACGTATCTGCTTTAGTAGTGGGACCTTGGAATACCGCTTGAGGAACTTGATCACGATGAAGTAGTATATTCCGCCATTCGGTTGGCTACATACCATGATGTGCAGACGTCGATGGACGCGGCCTACGGGTCACGGATGAATCCATGAGCAGTGAGAGGCAGACTCACCGGTACAGCTGGTAACCGGCCGTGAGTGACAGCCAAGGGTGGGTATCCCAATGGACAATCACGATACACTACTACTCATCTTGGAAGTGCATTATGTAGAATCGTGGTGCATGTGCACAGATACATAGCTTAATAGTCGATAAAACACTTGTGATGTCCCAATGAGGATGGCAGCAAGTAAACACCCTGTGAGAAGCATCATCAAAAATGAGAATGGTAATGCGGCAGCTAGGCCAGGCCTCCAGAGAAGAATGGGAGAAAAGAATACCATATGACATTGTGTCTACAGAAAGGGGAAAAACGCAAATGCATGGTGAAACACGTAGTCGAAACAAACAGAAAAACTTGACCGTGGCTGAACGTCGCTATGCAGAGATATACATACATGGTCAAAACGGGCCACGGGGTTGGTGTGTAGGTATCTAGGAGAGCCTGCATTTCCTCGATACGATCGTTTAGACGAGCGTGGATGGAGAGCTTTAATAAGTCAGAAGCATGTCCATTCGTGCCGAGAAGGTGTGGTGGCGCGTAGCACATAGAACCAAACTTGGTGGGAGCGACCGGTACTGGCTGCCCTCGCGATGGTGGCCGATGTTGAGTCGCCGGATGCCAAAACCAGGATAAGTAGAGGCTCAGACCATATAATTGGGTAACGTGGAGTCGTAGTGAGATGGCATTCCCGCTGCGTTCTACATCTTCTGATTAGTTTCCTTTGCCGATACCCGGTCGTAGATTTCATGGGGCTGGGATGGGCAAGTGCCTTACTCGCCCTCATTCACTGCGGAAACGAGATTTTAGCAGGGGGCATAACCGGATTCTCCAAATGTAGATAATCCGACCTTGATTTTTTTTTGTAAGATATAGCTATTAGTCTGAGTAAAGTCCGACTCAACGATATTTGAGTAACATATCCAAACAATCCGACGTAGGCAAGATCCGAATATAGGCAATACACCAATAGCCTGACCTCTCGCACGTGCATTTCCCCACCCCGACTATGCTCGACTCCATTGGCCATAGTCCAACTATAATATCATCGGAAGAGTGGCTCTTGCCACCCTTGCACCCCTCAGAAAAAATAATGGACTTTACGAAAATTTTCCTTGGTCTCCAAGTTCACTGGTTTGCCATGTACACCATGAGCCAACCCAAGGTATGTCGTACTCAAGTCCTCCAGCCTATCTACTCACCTCCAAAAGTTCCATATTGATGCTAACCAGGTGGTTCCAACCTCACAAGCCGACGAAACTGAGTTTGTTGGTCCCCCAACAGTCATCAAACGTAGGCCACACATCCTTTGACTTCATGTCCCAACCAGCGTCCAAAACGTTATGCTCTCTTTCGAGCCAAACTCCCAAGGCCCTGTGGTACGTGTGGCTAATTACTGTTCATGTGTCTTCCACTCACAGCCATACACCAGACCATAGAAACCTCCCTAACAACGATGTCACCAGAGCTTGGCAATGATACCTTTTGTGCAACTCAAGTGTGTGTTGTCGACTTCAGTGCTAATGTTGGTACTGGTGGGGTTAAGTTGGAGGTGGAAGTATGTTTTCGTGCAATCTTTCATTATTTGGAGGTCGAAAGACTTGTCGGGTATGGTTTTTAATTGGAGCTGTTCCCTCTGGCTCTATTGCATGTTGGGTGAGTGCTTGCAATTCTCATATTATTCACGCGCTACCAGATGATACCTTTTCATTATTAAAGACACGCTCGGCGACTTCTTTAATGAACATGTCATTCAGTTTGTTGTCTATGTTGCCAAGCCAGTTGGGGTGCCAAAGACGTGTGCTGTCACTCATCGATATGAAAGGTTCATTGTTCTTGAGTGGTTTGATAGCAGCAAGGGCTGCGATGCGGTTTCTTTTTGTCCCTTCACACTCGATTCCACACATGTGAGAGAAGAGCAGCTGGATAATAGACTGGTGCCTGGTGAGTGCGCACTCTGATACTGAACAATAGCATAATGTACCTTGAGAACAGAATGGTCATTTGAATTTGTTCTCGACAAAGTATGCTTCTGTTGATCCACACATTTCTCCTGCAGTTCTCTAAGCATTTGCTCGACAGTTTCAAGGCATGAAACGAGAGATTCAGTTGCCTCCCTGATGCTGGTAAGCTGTTCTTCCATGCTGGTGTTGGCCTCACTGAGGTGTTTGACATGAGCCATGAGCTGTGCAACTGTAGCATGCAAGCTAAGCTGGTCTCCTTGGTAAGATCCAGTTTGAGAGCGGGATGCTAAATATAAAGTCTGATAGTCTTCCATTGGTGTTGTCACACACCAAAGGTGTTTGGTGAGGTGGACATGGATGTAGCTGATGAATGGAGGTGAAGACCATAGCCCTCATGCGAAGAAGGACAGCCAGCAATGTTGGCAGTCATCCCTCACACAAGAACAGGTTGTCAGTGCCAAAGAAAAAGGAGGAGGCAAGTTAAGCGCCAATAAAATTCTTAAGCGCCCATGTACGGCATTCCGGTTTTCAACATATCTCCGCCAGTTCTGCAGACATTGAAACCATTCCCACACTCGCTTGTAGTGCTCAGCCACACGATCCTACCTTCCAAGATTGGAAAGGATTTGCACACTCCACATGTTTCTACAGCACTCCCTCCAAAAGATGCTCATTTCACTAATTCTTCTGATATGGCTGCCTCCACATCAGTCATTTCGCTTGTCCCCTTTGCTAGGGACCATGGCTACATATATCTGCCAGGAGTTCCTACCAGCTTCCATCCTGAAGCATCCTGGTACATCCCACCCTCATCTGTGCCCTCTCAGCCCATCCAGCTTGGACAGTGTGTTCTTTTTGTCAGTATGACCTCCAGGAGGACATTCTTTGGTCACCTCAGGTCTGTCATTCGCTTGGAAAGGTCTTATGTGGTCATTTCAGTCTCTCCAGTCCAAGAAGCATATGGATCCTTCCTCCCTGCCACCTGCAACGTCTTCATACCGGTCTCATCCATCATTCTTCCAAAATTGCGACAGCTACAGTATAATCTACTGTTCTCCACTCTCCCTGATTGCATCCATGACGAGTATGATGCACATCTTGCCTCCTTGTTGCAAGATACAGCAGAAGACACTCCCCCTTCATCCTCTCTTCCAACAGAGCCTCATTCATGAAGTTTTTATTTGCTTCACTGAGAGGATGGTTTGGGGGGGAAAGTTGCAATCCCCTATGCTCCTGTCACCCCACAGACCCCCAAAGCTTGACCCCTGTTGACATCTGACTCACCCTGTCCACTTTTGGATGTACTATATCACCATCAGATCAGCACTGCCTCTCTGTCATCCCACTCTGGCCTAGAAACGATCTCTTCAAGATGTGACATGCACAGCCTCCCCCTAATGTGATTCCAGTGCACTTTCCCAGTTCCTGACATTACTTGACTCATACTTTGACATTCTGACTGTCTTTGACTCACCTATTGCCAATACTTACCAATCTTTTGACTTTGCTTACTGATTCTTCGCTTTTTGGCTTACTTATCCTTACCAATGCTTACCAATGCTTTCCAAGACGATTACCCATCGCTTACATTCCTTACTCATCAGTTACCAATCACTTACCAAGTGTTTGCACCTTGTTTTCCATAGGCAACGCCCCTGTACTGTATATAAGTCACTGTACTTAGGTAGCAAAAAAAGAAGACATCAGAGAGCCCCTCTTGCTCGCAATTTATCATCTCTCAGTAAATCATTCATCAGCTTCGATAGTTGAGACTTTATTAAGGGTCTAGCTATCATCTACTTCACTTATCATCATCTATCATCCATATACTTCACTCCAAGCCCTCCCTGAGCTCAGTACAGCTTAGGACATCGAATTAAGTCACCATCCATCCTTCTGTAGGCTGACAGCAGTCTACCCTATCGCTTTCTATCACATTCTTGCTCCCTCTTCATCAGGAGCATCCCCAACCCTCAGCACTCATCTTTGAGTGTTGTAGCTTGCAAAAACCCTCCCAAAGAACAGGTTCTACCATCTAGGTACCACATAGGCACACCACCACTCACTTTCATTGTCTTTTGTGTTGGTTTTGGTTGGTTTTCACCACTGAACCACACTTTGACTCACAGTGTCTCACTACATCCTCTGCCATTCAACTGACTATGGGAAGGTCTTCCAGCATATGAGAAGGATGTTTCATCACGACCGTTGACACCCCCATGGTAAGGAGTGAAGCCAAGATGTTGGCTTGGTTGGTTTCCTTGGTGTGGATAGGATACCTCATCCTGCAATCCCTGCGAATCGATGGCACCAGTCAGCTCCATCATATCAAAGGAGAACTCGGGTGACAAGAGCTTGGCAGATAGGGTGAGTTGATCGACTGACAACAACAATTAGTAGTGACTGACCGATGGTCCACCGTGGTCTCTTCGCTGAGCAGGGCCAGGGCCAAATGGATCATCTAGGCCTGGCGCAGAAGGGAGGCAAGTGCCCTGTGGGGTGTTTGAGGGCACCATGTTCATCTGTGGTATGTGATGTCCACACGCGATGCTATTAATATTCTGGCTCAACAACTGGGATCCAGGTATCACTCCACCACTCAGAAGTCTTTGGCGTTGAAGGTGCAAGGAGCTGGAGGGCGTCATGTGTGTCTGGGTCTGTGGTACATGACGACCGTGATGAGTTCCCTCCTGGCTCATCAACTGGGACCCAGGTGTCAGCAGTGGGGCACCACCTGTGAGCCTCTGTGAATGCATCATATCCTGCCATTCACCAAGGAGGGGAGCAAGCAAACGTGGGTGATTTTTTTGCATGGCTGGGGGTGCTGGGTAGGCATTTTGGAAGTACACATTGTACTAGGCACTCATCGAATATAATCTGATCTTGTTATCCTGAAAAACACGACTGAAGGCGGGAGGATCAATTGCATTTATACGATTTAACTTGGTGTACATAGCTCATAGTCACATTCAAATCTGATCTGATTATTGTCACGAAGGTAAAAATCATCATGGTGATAGGCATGCAAATCCAACCAGATTATGCTCCGAAACGAGAACACTTCAGCACTATATTCAGACATATTATTAGGAGTAGCTACCCTCGGGATATACAACGGTTATTGTCATTGACCCGACTATCTCCGGACCTGATTAAAAACCCGTTTCCGCAGTGATTGTGACAATGTACTTGACATATACTGATCCTGTCCTGCCTGACTAAGCACGGAGTGGCTGTGCTTCCTCCTCCTATCCCCCGATCCCTCTGTTCCAGCGCAATTCTCGTCGTTGCCTTGCGATGAATGCTTCACGTGCTTCAAGGCTGACTGTACCAAATATAATGTCCATTTCTTCCAAACTGCGTCCCTTGGTTTCGGGAAGGGGACTATAGGGAATGATTAGCAGTGTGAAGGATGACATGATCAGCGGCTTACAGTGAAAAGGTGGTCATACCGCCGATGTTTATAGCACCGAACATGAAGAAGATTTGGTAACCGAGGTCGGCGACTAAGGTTGGTGTCACCTTAGAGACCACAAAGTTTGTCATACATATCAGTGATGGGACGTATTCAGATAACGTGAGCATGGATGTACTGAATAGCCATTGTGTCCCTGAGGCAATCGCCAGACCATAATGTCGTGTATGGGTGGGGAATATCTCTGACACATACACTGTAGGAGGGGGACCCCAACCCATCGAATAGAAGCACACATAAATGTAAAGCATGGCAGCCATTGCCTTAGATGCTGCTGGGGGTTGTTGACCAGCTTGAATGTTATCCACAGGGTTGGTCCCGAGGATTGCACCGACTGTGAAAAACGTGATACCCATTCCAACCGCTGAGATAAACAAGGATATCTTGCGGCCAAGTGAGTCGACGAAGAAAAAAATGAAAATCATAGTGGCCAATACTTTGACAACTCCATAGATACCAGAAGCGAGAAGGGAGTTCGTTGTTCCTGTAAAACCAATCTTATGCTTCCCATGAGTCGACGAGATCGTGACATGCATACTAAGGAATATCTCACCGAGGTAAAGATTTGAGGGGCATAGTAACTGACAGAATTTTGTCCACCCCATTGCTGGAGTACGAAGATGGCGAAGACTATAATAAATCGAATGAAGTTTCCATCTCCAAAAAATGATTTCTTGAGACCAAAGCCCTCGCGAGCTTCCTGTTCCTCTCGGATCGCTGCCTTGATTTCTGCTATTTCGTGCTGTACGGCTCGGGAGTCAGGTTGCTCTTTACGGAGGTACGCGAGGTTTCCAATTGCTTCCTGGACATGACCCTTGGAAGCCAGCCAACGTGGCGATTCCTGTGCTTTGTCAGCTAATTCCTTGAGAGTTCAGCCAGACTGAGGTACCTTAACCATAAGTAGTCCCCAGCACATCAAACCTGCAGGGACAAGTTGCAATCCGAAAGGAACTTTCCAAACCATATCGCTGTTTGCCAGATGGAGTCCCACTCCAACTATGGGGAGACACACCCAGTTGACATTAGTGTGCATAAGTGGACAAAACTCACGATTAACAAAGTACGAAACCATAACACCGATGGCAACCATGATCTGAGCAAGACCAGTGATGCGACCACGTACACCCTTGGGTGAGCATTCCGACACACAGGCAGGCGCGACTGCTGAGATACCACCTATCCCAACACCGGATACAGCACGACCTCCATAAATGTACCCAATTCCTCTGCTGCCCCCTGCTACCGTGGTGAGTACCTATGAGTGTCAGTCACACGGAGACAGTAGTTTCTAAATTGCGCAGGATGCTCACGGCCCCTACTGAAAACACGATTGTGAATGCGATGAGCGTCCACCGACGTCCAAGCCAAGCTGTTAGAGTTAGGAAGAGCTGGGTCAAAGTTTTGAGGACGCAGAAGTCACATATACCAGAAATTGGTGCACTGCCAAGGGCGCTGAAGAAAGCCCCCGCCTGTAACACGGAGACTACATTGGAAGAAACTTGTGTGTATTTGGCCTCGTCAACCGTTCCGCTGGGGTTCACGAGACCGAAATGTATTTGAAAGTAAGGCTGCGAGACCATGCCTCCGGCGATACCACTACAGCGCGTCAAAATTAACCTACTCTCACGGAACGCACGAACATGACTTACGCGTCATAACCAAACAAGAAAATACCCCAGTACACGACGAAAGCTAACCCTAAGTGATATTCAGTCCGGAGTGCGCATAGGGTGGATACTGCACTTACAGTAAACCCTGATGTTCTTGAAGTTATCGCCCACCATCATGGTGGCAGATGCCCAGAGGGGGAGAAGCAGTGGGTACGTAGCACGCGCATGGTGTGCTTCGAAGATGCGAGATGCGGAAGACTCAGGACTGATGCTGCTGGATGAACTCATTAGCCAAGTATCGAGTCTCCACTTCGGTAGTAATTAATTGAGTACCGGACTACCGGATTAAGAAATACCTACCACAGGAGGAACTTGGTCACGTTAGAGATTCGAGTACCGGCCCGACAGCCTAGAAGTGGTACATTCCACCACTCAGGTGCATACCGTCGATGTGCAGGCGTCGATGGACACGCATCCGAGTGGAAGCAAAATTGGTCAGAGACTAACGGGCTGGTGACCGGTAACGAGGTCAAAGGCAGGTGTCCGAGGGACAATCATGATACATTACTACTCGTCTTGGAGGTGCATTATGTAGAGTCGTGGTGCGTGCGTGTGGGTACATAGCTCTGAAGCGTCGATGGTCGATAAAATGTTCGTGATGTGTCAATGGGGATGACAACAAGCAAACACCCTGCAAAAAGCATCAACAAAAATGAAAATGGTAATGCGGCGGGTAGGTCAGGCCTCCAAAGAAGAACAACAAGGGAAGAGTACGATGTGACGTTGTGTCTACACAAAGGGGAAAAAAAACACAAATGCACGGTGAAACGTGGTTGAAACAAATAGAAAAACTTGTCCGTGGTTGCACGTCGCTATGCAGAGAAATAATTAAGACTGGATTTGTGCGTAGGTATCTAGGAGAGCCTGCATTTCCTTGATACAATCATTTAGACGGGCGTGGACTTCCTTCGCGTTCTCGAGTAGTGGTTTAATGTTCTCAGGAGTCATAGAGAGCTTAAAGTCAGAAGCCTGTCCATCCGCATCGAGCGGTTGCGGTGGCGCCGAGCGCACGGAACCAGACTTGATAGCAGCAACTGGCACTGGCTGCCCTCGTGATGGTGGCCGATGTTGACTCGCCTTTGGTAGCCAAGACCTATTACTAGCCTTCGACCTGGGTCGCACTTGACGTTGTTCGTCTTCGGCTTCCTCGACGTTCGACAGACGTATAGATCGCATAGGTCTGATAGACCGGGGAGAAGCCTCGACCCTCAGTGATAGTTGTGACGACTCCGGGCCGCGAACTGGGGTGACGGGGCGCAAACTAGCGCGCTGCACCAACGGATACGGCACATGCATCTTCTTCCCCTTTATGGTCGCAGTCCCGTCGATTCCTAATGAATGTGCAGCAACATCAAGATCGATAGCGGAGTCAATTCGATCCCAGTCATCTTCGCCGGTCATATTACTACCTCGGCTTACGCTTCGTGCTTCGCTGTGACCGTCTCGAGAGGACTCGCCAGTCGAAGATGTGCTCTTGTTCTTTTGGCCAATGCGAAATATGGATGCGAGCGAAGGACGTCGAGGAGAAGGCTTGTGATTCAATGGAGGACTGCCGTACGGCGAATTCTGCTGATCCCGCACAGACCGTATTGAGTCTGGACCTGTGCTCGTCTTAGATGCCTCGCCGAGGGACCTGGCCGTGCGGATAGTGGTGCTGACTGTAATTTCCCAACGACGATTCGGTACTTCAGTGATGTCGTAGATGGTGGCACGGGGGGCAGAAGCGGCGGAGGTGGAGGTGGAGGTGGAGGCGGTCGTTCCGAATGACTCCGTTTGAGCATTCGCAACATATCTCGTAGCCGACTCATCCTCCGTTTTTTGCCTTCCGTCGAGCCGGCCGCCGAGTCTTCGGAGGGCAGTGTGACTGTACTACTCATTGCGTCACCCCACCGCCATTGCCGGTTCACGCCCGTATCTTCAGGCAGAATGTAATCAGGCGTAGAATCTGCGTTATTGAGCATATCGCGCAACAAGACCAGTTGACGTTGACTCAAATCATGCCGACCAGTAGAAGCACGCCAAGATGGATTGGGAGGTCTAGAGGAGGAACCCCCAACAAGTGTTGATGGCGGTTTAGACTCCTCGCCCGACAGTGTTATCGCACGCTCGCGACCCTTGCGAATGTCACCATCACCCTGCAATGGCGGAGACGACAGGTTCGAGCTTGGGGGATTCGCCACGGACCGCGACCCGTTACCCAATTCGATAAGGAGTTCGGCACATTCCCATGGTATTTTGTACTTGTCATTAAGGACCTGGAGAGAAGTAACAAACTGTTTGTGTTCCGACACTGCAGAGTCAGGATTCGTGTTCGAGCGTAGCCGAGAACGGGTCCTGGCAAGGCTTAGGATAGTGGGGGAGGTGGCGCGTGAGGGTGGTGGATTTTCTGCCATGGAATTTGCCTCAGATAGGAGTTGCTCATATGTCAGACGTAGCTCCCTGAGCTCTACACAAATGCAATAAATCGCTATAAACTCGAACATTTGCAAATAATCACTCACTGTCAACACTAGCAGCAAATTCCCTGACCATGCCGAGATCGCGTTTTAATCCAATCTGAGCTTGGCTGATTCGTGCAGGAATCTTCAGATCGCCCAATGAATTTCGTCGAGGGACGGATGCGTTCGGAGTAGGGGCCTGGGAGGTACGACCTAGCGAGGCTGACTGTGGTGGAGAAGATGGAGATTTTGGAGAAGTGCGACTAGTAGTCATGGGACTAGAACGGGGGGTAAACGAAGTAGGAAGGCTGCTGGAGGGGATGATAAACGATTCCAAACCATCGCTAATGCTTTGGGGTTGAAGCTGCGAACCAGCTTTTCCGTTGATCGTTTGAGGAGGCGAGGGCGGTTGTAGCTCTATTGGTGGCAGAAGACCTGGTATTCGTGTATCACCCTGCTGAGACTGAGTCCGCTCATTCTGAGGATGTGAACTAGTCGGTAAAGGAGGCAACGGAATAATGTCTGCTGTGCTTTTCTTCTTCTTGTGCTTCCTCGGGCCGACTAAGCTGATCTTCCGCACATTTCCCATGAAATTTCGACTACCTTCCTGAGGCTGAACGTTGAGTTCCTCCGAACTTTCCGTTGGTGTTGGCGTTGAAAACACCCTCGCTGATGCTCGTCCAGTTGAAGACCCATATGATGCGTGTCTGGTCCCTGTCCCAGACGAGGCTGGGAACTTGCCATTCGGAACTTGCATAGACGTGGGCCTCCTTGCGTTCACCGATAGTGATGGTTTCGCTGAAGATGACTCGGCCATCTCGCTGCTACTATTCGGGTCAAAAGTCCGGCCCAGTTTCTTCCGCGATAATTTGCTGCTCGGCGTGGATGGTACGGACGTGTCCATTCCGGACCCTGAGCTGGACACTGTGAGGAGATTTTCCGAGCTCTTCTCGTACTTGAGTGCGGCTGGGGCCGGCGACGGCGGCGACCCTGACCCGAGGGCGCCGCCAGGACGAAAAAACCAACCCGACCTGGCATTAGTACTGCTGCTAGTGGAAGCCACCGCGGCAGGTGGAATAGACGTGCTGGGTGGGCGAGGAGTGCCTTCTTGTTCGTAATTACCACCAAGGTCGTGAACCATAACCTCCGCAGGACCTGTGCTGGCTCGTTTCCTTCTAACACCCCATTTTTTCACAGACCCGATGCGAGAAAGGAGAGGTGTTTTATTGCTGCTGGGAGTCGCTTCCGCGGCTGGTGGAGGAGGTGGAGAGGAACGTTCCGGGGTTGAGGGCGGTAAGGGTGGTGTGGAATCTCGCTGCTCTTCCATCAGTTCGAAGACATTGTTGTCTAAATTAGGAGGCCGAGACTTCTTCCTGAGTCTTCGCCGTTCACGGTGTATAGGAGGACTTGGAGGGAGCATCGCTAACGACGGACCAGATACGGTGGGTTTAAGTGCTAGGTGGGAGGTGGACATATATCCGACGGAATTCCGACCGCTCGTCGTAGGTATCGAGAAGACAGAAATACTGGGAGATCGGGGAAATGGCTCTACCGTGTTGTGCAGCCCCTGTGGGAGGGCGGGAACAGGGGGCGGTGGTGGCGACTGGCGGCGCACAAAAGAGCGACTTCTGGTAGTAACAGTCCTGTCTTCTTCTTTGTCCCCAAAGCCGAACTCCCCTTCATCGTCAGAAGAATCAACATAAGCATCTTGCCGAGACCGTTTGGATATTGGTGTGTTATTTTTCTCGGCATATTCGAACTCTTCATCCCAGTTTTCATGGTCAGCCGGTGCTTTAGGGCGAGAGGGAGTGTGGTATGAATGGCGCGTTTTCTGAGAGGTGGATTGGCGTTGAGTTGGTGAGTCCATCTTGTCCTCGAAATCGTCGTCCCAATTCTCAGCCCGTGTTACGAAGCGCTTGGTTGGTGTTGAGGGACCCGTCTCCGCCCAATTCTGGAGTTGGTTGTGTAGACCTGCTTCAGGCGGGTGTTTCCCATCTCCTAGTAGAGTCATAACGCTTGGTTTTGCAACTGACGGGCATTCCACATCCCAATCCTCTGAAAAGTGGGAACTGGTGACCGACAAACGGGGTTCGCTAAGGGCACGCGCAATCTGCGTAGCTTGTCTTCTGCTGGTCTGGGAGAATTCAAAATCATCGTCCCAGTTTTCAGCGGAGGCTGCGAAAAAGGATTGAATCAGATATGTAAAAACGCGCAGATGTTGGTGTATAGACTATAGAAATAAAGCTGGAATACCTGATGGGTAATTTCGTGAGCTCATGCGCGTTCGAGGACGGGCAGGAGCTCCTCAAAGCTGTTCGTTTGGTCGTCGATACGTTGACAAGTAGAGTCTTTCAGTTGTAGAAGCAAACTTATTGGATGCGTTGATGTTGATATTTCGCGTGTGTAATTAGTCAAGCCACTTGTTGGCTGGGCATTTATGTTTGCCGTTGCTTTGCTATGCTACCACTAAGTAATCAAAGCAACTTACTCACGGCACCAGGAACGTGGTAGTTGGTACGACTGCTATACAGAACTCTCCACGGCACCCTCCAAAGCGCAGAGCAGGCTATGCGTGCGGCAGGTTTTTGGCGTAGCCATTGTGTATGACTCAAAAGAGCACCAACGCTGCCCAAAGAATACAGATTAGGGTCACTGCCATGGGGCCGCCGCTGCGGTGGAGGTAGAGCGTCGGATGCCTGATCCCGCCGTCACCGAGAACTATCAAAAGCTCCCGACTTTGCTTTCGACGTCACCGGCCCCTGCCAAAAGGACAGTGTTGGGACGAAGGTGCCAGCTCAGCCTTCCACGCCACCATATACTTGTTTTATCCATGCAGGGTGCAATGCCCCACTTGCATGCTTCTTCAGGGACTAGATCGCCGCCGGTTATCAAGTCGCTTGCGGAGTGCCATGTCAATTAATCTCATCTGGAGGGGTTCCAAATTTTATGATAGACCACAGCTAGAGTCCTATAAGATGCTTAGCGCCGTTTCACTCCTAAGTATGAAGCGGGGATTAAATAGACCCATCCTGGAGTAGCGTACGTTAAAATCAGGGGACCTTGATCTCTCTTTTGAGGTGTTCTTAGAAAACATGCAATGATCGTGGGGCATGTGAAAATAATATGCTTACATATTGAAAAGAGTAGAAATGACTCCATTGAAGACTTCGCGAGGTTTGAGACACGTATCTAAACCTGGGGAATGCAGCACTGGCGCTACCGACGGCACCTTCGACGATACGCGAGACGGGAACAATGCTATCGAATTCTTTTACTGCGTACTCCACTTTCGGCGCTCGCGCGGATTCTGGTTCCGGTTTGGCGATTGACTTTTCAGCCTGTCCGACAGTCACCTTTTCATCGCAGTAGCTGAGCGTCACAGATCACATACGTCCTTGATCCCAGCTGCTTATGATCTCTATTGTTGCCCTCGAGCCTCGCCACTGGTGCCTGTGGCGGTAACCTGCTCAACGAATCACTCAGCAACACAGAAAGCAATTAGACGCGGAAGGTCCTGACTTGACTTAGAGCTGTTTGGGACCGTTCATATTGCTCCTGAGCCATTCCACTGGCCCTTGCAGGGTATCGCGCAATGCCAAGATAGATAAAGAACCTTGGTACAATCAATGGGAGAGAAGCGATCGCCGGGCATAGAGTTGGACGGCTTCGCAAATCCCGAGAAAACGCGTTACTTTGACCGTCTTCTGGCCATCAATACTGATGGATGAGTAATTGAGTATTTCATGCAAAGTTTTTTATGCAGGGCTTCGAGGTGGATGACTACCATGTCATGCTTGCATCCTTCGTGTCGTCAACCACTGACTTGTTCAGGTATTAGCAATACTAACCCAGAGCACACGAAACCTTTGGCTGTTTTGTTTAGACTCAATAAACCATGGAAGTGTGCCCCACTAGAGCGTTGTGGGCCACGCGTAGTAGTGTCCGACGTACTACTTATGGCCAACGTACTTATGGTCTGGGTCTTGCATGTATGGTACAAGCCAATCGTGTCACATTACTTGACAAAAGCAAGAAGCAACATACGGAAGTGAAACGGCCGTCTGGCTTTCTCCTTAGACAGGCCAACCACGTATGCGCTGTTCCTTACTTGGGGTTGCAGGGTATTACCCCCGTGAATATGGAGAGGCCACGACAACGGGAGCCTGGCCGTGGATGGAAATCACCGAAGGCGTATGTATTTACGACTGTGGCTTTTGACGCCAGCCCTCTGTCGAAGGCAATATTTGGTGTGTTCGAAATTCCCACCTAATCCCTCAGTGACGACTGACCCTGATGCCGCCCGTAAGAACAGTGCGTACCCCAAACCCACGTCCCTGAGCTGCCAAGACACTAAGGCCGGAAGCTGTATTAGCAATGGACGCGCCTCATCCGTTTCGTCGCTGCAGAGACAGCACAAGTCCACATTGGACAGCCTGCCGACCCCACCCTTGATGGTGAGACATCTTATCACCGTCGGTTTTTGCTGAACTTTGCGCAGTCGGGCTTGCCGCTTGGAACAAGCAAGTCATCAGGGTACACGAAATCTTGGGGTCCACACTTGACCCCGCCGCGCAGCTTACGAATACCGTGCTCACGGTTAAAGAGTTGCTATCCCCCCTGTCTCAAGAGGAGGTGAAGACTGTTCGCTGCCTTGGCCTTAACTACTCTGATCATGCTGTGGGAATACTTGTTATTTTTGAATGCGAGTTATACTAATACTTCTCACTAGGCAGAGGCGAAAATGGCGAAGCCTCCGTGAGTGATTAAACTCACGCCTTTTGTTAGTGTGCGGACTCGGATGCGTATGCAGTGTGCCGGTTCTTTTCTATAAGCCTTTGACATCCATGATTGGTCCCAACGTTCCTATCTGCATTCCAAAAATTGCGCAACCGGTTGAGGATCACCTTCCAGATTATGAGGTCGAGTTGACCATTGTCATCGGGAGAGCAGCTAAAGGTGTTTCCGAGGCTGATGCCCTTGATTACGTTCTTGGCTATACAGGGGCAAATGATGTGAGTGACAACCTACTTGCTTGCTGTGGTGTAGAGTTCACAAACCTCGCCAGGTCTCTTTCCGAAAACATCAGATGACGACGTCGCAGTGGGACTTTTCCAAGAGTTTTGGTCAGTTAACCTTGTGTCATTCCAACTTCTTTTTAATATTTATACTCCCAACAGATAACACTACACCTCTTGGCCCTTGTATCATCTCAAACAACGCGGTTCCTGATCCTCAGGCGATACCCCTCACTTGCAGTCTCAATGGAAAAGTTCTTCAAAATGGGAATACCAAGTCAGTTAATATTGTACACATGCATTTTCCCATCTCCTATTTACTCGTTGTGCAGGGATCAGATCTTTGATGTTCGCAAAACAGTTGCTTTTCTTTCACAGGCGACGACTCTTGAACCTGGCTCTGTTATTTTGACCGGAACCCCGGCTGGAGTTGGATACGCACGGAAGCCCCCGGTTGTTTTGAGGACAGGAGATGTCGTACAAGCTTGGCTTGGCCACGGTGTAGGCACACTTGTAAACCCTGTTGTTGAGGAGGTAGAACGTGGTAAGCTGTAACTTCTTTACTTGCAGAGCACTCCTTCGGAGTATTGCGGAATGTACGTATAGCCAGAGAATCACAAATTTCTTGAGACGTCCATGAGTAAGGAAGGAAACGCCCGTGTGCGCTGTGGACTCGCAGTTCTGAACCAGTTCACGGACGTCCGATTTGACGACCGAGAGGATCCCGCAGCCGGGAGCTGCGGCAAGTCGCCTGCGTATGACTAGGATATTGCTTTGACTGTGGAATTCAGCGAGCGTCTGTAGGGTACCAGAGGCTCAGTCGACACAACACTTGTTGGACTTACGTCTGTTTAGATCCCCACAACCTTGTTTTGGGTGCAGCAATTGTTTTACCGCAATATGGTTACGGCTTTGACCTGCGATTGTTCGAAGTCTATACAAATACAGCAATAGAAATACAAAACGTGTTATGAGCCCATAAGCCTAACTAAATCCTGGAGTGTTATCAGGGGCGCTTCAAGGCGCCCTTAATGTGGGGGCGGCGCAAAGGTGCCGCTCATCTATGTAGTCGAATCCTGACTGTGACTTGACGACGAGGTGTGGTGATAATTATGGATCCGAGAAACGTTCGTCGACGATGATGCATTGGAAAAATCATTAAACTGATTTGCCGAGCATAGCGAGGTGTGCGAGGTGCTATGCTGAGGGGCTCGGACGGTACCCCCGGGCCCGATCGAGGCCAGCTCTGAACAGGATTGCACAGTATAGACCTGTGAAGGTCTATCGGACCGGCGAGTGCAGCCCGGCACTGCAGAGGACTTGCCGTGCTCACTGCACATGGGCAGCGGCGTTGCTTCTCCACAAGCCTAATTGTTTTTAGTAACGCGGCCAGACACAGATGATGGAGGCAGGCAAATACAAACCCCGGAATCAGCAACGAGAGGATCACAGTACCGTGACCAAGACAATCCGTCCAGGTCACTGAATTCTGTCTTGACTGACTCGAAAGTTGCCAACAACAGTTGGTCCCAAGCCTTAGCCAGCAGCGTGAGGGGCATGGGGGCGCAAAATGGTGCGCCACATACCTCGGGCATGACGAGGGCTTCTTGCTCCCATTGCTGCTGTTCGAGCTCTATTTGCCTGAGGCGTTCCATACGCAGTTTGTTACGGTCCGAGGTTTGGACAGGGTGCGTGAGGTTGTGCATGACAGCGGGCGCGGGGTACACAAAATAACGGCGAAGAGAAAGAAAAAAACAAAACAAAACGGGTTGCTGGCCTGCCACTGTTAACGGCGTCGCCAACGAAACGGTCGAGCCACTTGTTGGATGGGATTAGCATTAATATTGTATTTTGTCACTTGTACCCTCGATCAAGCCGCGTGAGAGCGTGACACACAGACGCGTGACCCAGTGTGACCATACGCGATGAAACTCCGATTGAAATGCCGCGGGTACGCGTCCAACGCGTCCTTTCTTCGTTACACTTACGACCATGTTTGAGGCAAAGCTACAGGAAGCTGCCCTGCTAAAACGACTCCTTGATTGTAAGTCCAGGGAGTTTCCTGTGCAGCGGGTAGGCTTTCTTAGACAAGTATTACAGCCATCAAGGAGCTTGTCACTGATGCCAACTTCGAATGCAATGAAGAGGGCATTGTGAGTGTCTGTCCCCATGTACACCTGCGGATATGCTCACAGTTGCACAGAACCTCCAGGCGATGGACAACTCACACGTTGCCCTCGTTGCCGTCAAACTTGACGCAGAAGGTTTCAAGAAGTACCGCTGCGACCGTCCCATCCCACTTGGTGTCAACCTCACATCTCTTACCAAAGTTCTAAAATGCGCCAAGGATGACGATATTATCACCATTAAAGCCAACGACGACGCAGACATTCTCAATCTCATATATGAGGCGCGACGTATGTCTTTTGTTCTCTATATTCCGCGCACCAATTTAAATGCCAATAGATTCGGATAGAATTGCAGAATACGACATGAAGTTGATGGACATCGACGTTGAAAATTTGAGTATTCCAGAGACCGAGTATGATGCACGCGTCACTATGCCTTCATCCGAGTTTACACGCATCGTACGCGACCTCTCCGTCCTGGGTGAGTCTGTAAAGATCGAAGTGTCCAAGGAAGGAGTACGCTTTTCCAGCGAAGGGGAGGCTGCCAATGCGAATATTCTCCTGAAACAAACGGAAGGAGCTCGTCGGAAGTACGCAAATTATGGCAAGGATGGGAACGAGCCCAAGAGGGAAGAGGATGATGATGATGATGATGACGTAGAGGAGGGGAGCAGTAAAAAGAATAAGAAGTCCAAGGTGAAGAGGGAAGATAAGGACGTTGACATGGACGCCGAAGAGGAAAACGGAGGAGATGATGATGGAGAGTTCAAGGCAGATTCCGACAACGATGGCGAGGATGAAGTAGAAGCCAAAGGCGAGGAAGACGAAGAGGAGTCCTCAAGCAAAAAGCGGAAGAAGGCTCCTGCAAAGGTGGGTTCTTCAACCCCCCAACATGTCCTTTTCACCTCATTCCCCCTCCAGAACGGCAAACCTACTAAGAAGGCCAAAAAGGCAGACGATGTCCCTTCGGACGGCGGTGTCATGATTGAGATGAATCAGCACGTCGCACTAACATTCAGTCTGAAGTACCTGGTGAACTTCTCAAAAAGCTCGGCCTTGTCAGACACCGTGCAGGTCATGATGAGCAATGAGGTTCCTCTACTGGTCTCCTACAGATTCGGACAAGGCGACATTAGGTACTACTTGGCACCCAAGATCGGGGAAGAATAACAGCTTCAGCTGCTTCTGTATCTTTGTAACCCTCGCATTTCAGTTATCTATCAGCAATTCATCTGTGTATCATCCCGAACTCGAAAAGCAACAGATACAAAAGCGAACAAAATACTTCACGCGGGTATTTGAAGATCATAACCTCTGGAACACTGATCTCGATTCACCTAAGTTGGAGTGGGCTTCCAGCCGTCTCTATCTGTCCTTGCCTCGCTTCTGCTAGGTCTCTTGGATGACGTACAAACTTGATAGGGGATTACCATACATAGCATACTTGCTCAGAGCACACTCAAGCCAAATCATCTTCAGTGTGCACTGACTAGCAGCGGTCGGTGGCGGCGGCATACTCAGTACGTCCCGGGCGGCCAGAGGAACACCTCGTCCGTTTTGAATGTTCTAGCCATCACAAACATCCTCTGTATTCCGATAAGCGTCAGCCATGGCGACAACCTTTTCTGCGTCCGGTGAAGAAGCGATCAAACACCATGTAGACCTGGAATCCTGCCCTTCAGCACAGCGTCCGAGGTGTTCAGATATTCTGGAATTCTTTGAGATCGAACAGACAGCCAAGGAGATCAGGGATGGTGATTACAAGCGGGTAAGTTTATCCTCACAAACTATACTACGATTTCATGGATCGCTCAAAAGAATATATCCTTGCTTCGTATACTTAGATAGCATTGCAATTTCCGGACGAACTCCTGCACGAGTCTGTCCCCATATATCGGCTGCTAAAGCAACGAGTCGATGAGGGACAAGAGATGTATGTTCTGGCCGACACGTCGTACGGCAGGTGGGTTTTACTGCTTCCGACATTGGTTCCCTATCAATGATCGTTAGTTGCTGCGTGGACGAGGTAGCTGCGCAACATGTGGATGCAGACTTCATAGTCCATTACGGCCATGCGTGTCTAAGCCAGTCAGTGGTGAGATTCTAATTGATGTAGTGCATAATCTAACGTGCGCATATACCAGAACGTCAAGACTACCTGTCATCTACGTCTTCGGAAGGAAGCCAATCGACGTCCACTCATGCGTTAAGCAGATTGTAGATGTGATCACTTCCAATGCCAAGGACGTTTCATCTGTGCTCATCCGTCACGATGTCGCTTATTCATATCGAGCGGGTATGGGAATAAGACACTTGTGATGACGACAGAACACATGACTATTCTTCACAGGAGAGATAGTCAAAGAACTTCGAGACAAAATAGCTGCAACAACGACACGAATTGTGTATCATAATGTCCCGACGAAGATGGAGCCTTCGTCACTTCAGTCACAATCAGATTCAAGCCCAATAACGAGCAGGCATGAAGACAACGATGCACCACAACCGAAATACAGCGCAGGTTTGGTAGAGGACGACAGCATCATAATTTATATCGGCGGCGAGGGCCTTGCTCTCACAAACATCCTTATGACTCACTCCTCGAACGAGGTAAAAACCCTTTGATCCGATATACGTGCCTTTAGCAGACTTTCGTGAACGTGTTCAATAGGTGTACTCATACAACCCTGCAACGAATGTTGTACGACTGGAATCGGGGCGCACAAACAAGCTCCTGATGCGTCGCTTTGCCGTAGTCCAAAAGGCGCGGGACGCAGACGTGTTTGGGATTCTTGTCGGTACGCTTGGTGTCGGTGGGTCTCCTCGTTCTTTCTCAAGCGAGTTCAGAGGGTAAAACCTGAGTTGTTGGATGAACATAGCCTCGTACCTCTCCGTGATAACCCACCTTCGCAATCTTCTCTCTCGTGCTAAGAAGAAGAGCTACACAATTAGCGTCGGGAAGCTGAACCCAGCTAAGCTTGCCAATTTCATGGAGATCGAGTGTTTTGTGCTGGCAGCTTGTCCCGAAAATAGCCTCATCGACTCAAAAGCAAGTCCCGCTTGTTGGGTGTGCCATGCAGGTTGGAGCTAACGCGTTGCGGGACCCAGGACTTCTTTAAACCCATCGTCACACCTCACGAGCTTAAGGTAGCTCTGCAGCCTGAGGGTACTTGGCTGGGACGATATGTCCTCGACTTTGGCCACCTGATCACGGAAAATGAATGTGAGTTGTTGTCCGGGTTTTTATCATATCAGTTCTGTTTACGAATCTGGTCGTGCTGCATACATAGTAGACACGGCTCCGCCCACGAATGAAGCAGTCAAGGATACAGAAGGTGAAGAAGCAGACCTTGACCGACCCTCTTTCTCTCTCGTTTCGGGGAAGTACAGACAAGCTCGACGATTTGGAGTCGAAAGTATGTCGTGGTTCGTGCGGTACTTGATCGCGTATGATAACCCCTTGCTCTACCTTGGCGTGTAGAAGACAGGGCCGGTGTTAGTGACAGCAGAGATGCCTCCGCAGTAGTTATTCGAAATCAGGAGACCTCGGTAGCAGAAATCTCGGATAGTGCTGCTGGTGCGTCGTTTACATATCTTAATATCTGCCACCTCGTAGTAATAATTCATAATGTTGCACGTATAGCTCTGTTCTTGCAATCGCGGACGTACCGCGGTCTCGATGCAAGAGTTGGCGAGGACATACCGAGCGTGTTAGAGCAGGGAAGGAGCGGGACTGCTCGTGGTTATACTAACGAACTCCCTCCCCCGAGCGTGTAGGGCCTGCCTTTCCTTGTGCTCTGCATTAAATGCTTGCATTCTAGGTAGCGGGAACCTTTATTTTCGACAGCATTCTCGACCCACGTACAGAAAAAATAGAAATACAGCAACCAAGAAGTCGTGAACCCGTGAAATGTGACACTCCTCACGAATCGCTCTCATACCTTTTACTTTCCCTCGTGTACGAGGGAGACGAGCCGCTCATCATCCGGAGAGACGTCCCATCCAAAAAGGATGAAGGACGACCTGTGTCAGCAAGTTATCAACCACACCACATGGATTCAAACAGGACAGGGAACACCCACCAACGCCATCTATCTGGTCTTAGAATATGGAATGTCACAATCCAAATCACTGTTCAAAGCAAGTCATCAGGCACCGCTCTCGCAGACGGTTCAATATGTAATAGGGGTATGATTGACACGCACTGAGTTCCATATATGTAAAGAAACCCAAAGCACCACCTTGTGCACCACGCTTGATGAACCGGATAATGTCCACCCAAAGTTTCATGTCCTTAGCCGTTGGTCGGGTTGTCGGATCAAGGAGGAATGTGAGGAGGATCCGGGTGTCTGACAGGGTATCAGGTACCAAAGCCATTACACTTGAAAACGGTGCTCACATATTCCTATGTGGCTAGTTGACGAGACGATAGGTCGCAATTGCATGAGTGAGCACTTGTCCACCTCGGAAAGGAAAGCTCACAAATGACCAACTGTCCCAATAGCATTCAAATACGCCGAGTTCGTAAGAAGCACGGACCAATCTTCCGTAGAGAAGTTTTGTAAGTAAAGACGTGGCCGCTAGTCAGCCTTGTCAGTACCTGCACGGTTCCATTTTAGGTTCGACCAAAAGCTTGCCTCGTAGTCCTTTGGGAAAAGCTCCTGCGGGAGGAAACTCAAGCTTGGACGTTTATACCCCGTGGCTAGAATGACAACGTCCGCCTTAAACTCCACGTGCCCTTCGGACTCCGGGGCTGCCCCACTTCTTTCTGAATCTGATCCAGTAGGACGAATGCATTCGTGAACACCTTTGCCGATTCCGAGCGGCGATCCGCATTCAATAGACTCGCGAACGTCGACGACGATACCGTTGGTCGTGAGGCGGACTACATCCCCACGGACAGTACTATACACTTCCCTGAGCGCACATGATTCAAAAAGTCGTCGTTCACCACCTGCATCAGAAATGCACCATTCCGGTCAGCCCGTTGGGAACATGGGGAGAATAGAATGGTCTTACTGGAGTAGAGACAAAAAGTCCCCTCCTTGGCACAAGATCTTCCACGCCGTGATATTGCCAGAGCGCAAGGAATTGCTCCCACGCCACGCTAATGATCGGAGGGGATTGACGAATTAGCGAGAGAGGAAAGTACAAATGTTTATCATTTTCAGATACGTCAAGGACGTTCAGATCGCGCACCTAAATGGCATCTCGCGCCCAAAAGGTTGAGCACTCAAGAAAACGTCAAAAATCACGTTTCTAGGTGCAAGATAAAATTGGTTTACGTCAATTGATAACGTACAAAGGAAACGGTACCTCGGAATGATCCACTATGCAACTTGGTCGGTCTCAATGAACCGGAAGGCGGAAGGAAATACCTCACCTTATCTTGCCTAGCAAACATAATGCACCTGTCTACGCCCCGTGCTAAGACGGTCTCAACTGCCTCGACACCGGATGCACCACTCCCTATAACAGCCACAGTCTTGTTGTGCAGCACCTCCGGTGTTGCGTAGTCAAGTTGCGATGAATGAAGAACGGGACCCTGGTAGGTCCACTGTTCATGTTTTTCGACCAGCCCCTGCTTTTTGAGCCTTACGCCCATTTTTCTTGCCTGCACGCTTGCCTTGCGAGTTGCTAGTTATAGGACCCGCAGGCTCTGTCAGGTACTTTTAGAATACCTATAAAGTGGAGGGAAAAGACGGAAGTTACCCCTGTGCCCATTATCAAATCTCCCTGCCTTCGAGGGCATTCCTTCAAATCCTACCCATCTCGGTTCTCCCAGTTGTACCAATGGCCACGATAAGTGCATCGAACGGGCCATCTTCCCCAGCGTTAATGTACCATTGAGACGGGAGACCGGACGTGAGCTGTTCCAGGGGGCTAGGGATCGAATGTTGCACATGCAAGGGCTACAAAGGACTTACCTTGACATTCATCGTCCGGAGACGCGCGCTTGACCTGCTTGACTTGCCTCACCGGTGTCTGTGATTATACATTCTCGAAACATCACCTTGAGGTCAGGAAGTGCTGGTACTAACGTTGAGACGGGTCCTTTCTTCGAGCCTGTATTCCTTCCACACCTTCTCGATTTCTGACCACCAGAAACCAGGTTATATCACACTGACATACAGGATACCTGAGAAAACAAAAAAAAAAACCAACCTCCTAAAATTTCATCCCTTTGTGGAAAGGCCTTCTTCCAACACACAGCGGGATGGAAGCGGTACAGGAGTGAATTGAGTTGCAACCCCGACGTTTTGTTTTCGTGCGCCCATATACCACCAATGCGGTCGGCGGCTTCGTAAAGGACTACCTCAAAGCCATGTGATACGGCGTGGCTAGCAAAAGTCAGAAGTAGATACTATGATGGCAACAACAAGATACTTACGCTGCCGAAGATACGCCTGTCAAGCCTCCTCCTATAACAGCAATACGTGCATATGGGTGTTTGATCTTTTCCGGAGGGGGACGAGGCTTGAACATCCTTATAAAAATCCCCTGGACAAAGACGTATAGACTATGCAGGATGAAATAAACAGGCAACGTCAAGTAGCCAAGTACAGATTTGAAACAGGCAACAAACGCCGCGATGACAGGATTGGTCCTGGCCACGACATGGTACTCAGCATGCCATGCAGCATGTGGGCGTCCTTCGTGGGTCTCTGGCATGCTTGAAAAAAAATGACTGGAGAGGGAGAGACCTGAAGGTGTGAAGGACAATTCAAGTTCAACAGAGTACAGACCGAACCAATGACGTCAGTGACGGCGATGAACGTCAGCGGCAACAGCGGCCGGTCCGCAATGAGAACCGGCTCGATCTGATAAAAGACATCGGCCTTCTAGCCAACCCTTGCATTGAAATTTCGATTTGTACGTCTCCCCTCCCAAGCTTTCGAAGGAAAAGATGCGCCACTTAGCCCGCGCAACGTCCGGGAAAGTGAACACCATCTATATGACTGTCCAATCTCTTGTCTTGAAGAAACTAAGTGAGCCAGCGTTTACCTAAGAGGGTGTTCCATGATTCTGATATATGTGTTCGGTATAAAAAGGCCTGGGTAAGGGAAGAAATGGCCCATGCCGGTCGTCGTGACTTTCTTCGAAATACCAGGTTTCTCACGCTCGTGGGTCAAGAAAGTCAGCTATTCGGGACCAAACGTACTAAGATGTAACAAATATCGGAAAAGAAAATACATGACTTGCATAGCATGACGGTGGATAGTAGTGTTTTGTGTGGATGGAAGAAAAAAATGACCAGCAGCATCACGTAACTACACAGTAGCTCTGCACCTGCCTGTGCCGGAGGGAATGTACCGCCGAGTGCTTTCCTTTTCGCGCGAAGAGAGTGCTTTGACTCTCGCATCTAAAGCAGAAAAGGTCACTGGTGTGGTGCACGAAGTTCAAGAGTCCTTACCACCTCCTAGTCCACCGGCAATTTGTCCTGGCTCCAATTTGTGCATTAGTTTGAAACCCGACAACGTTCGATCGTTTCCACAACTTGAGACATAGAAGGCCGCAAAGACGGTGTGGTGTTCCAGCACAAACAGCATAGTTCCCACCACTGGTCCGTCATGCGTAGCAATGTACAGTCATCAGAGGGACGGTGAGGTAACAGACCCTTCAGGATACGACTAAAGACGTGTATGCGATAGAGGGTCTCATGGAATGGATCTTTCCGAGTAAATAATTCCTGAAAATTACGGGTGTGATCAGCAGGTGTCATTTGTACAGTACGCGGAGCGTACAAGTGTTGTCATGCCGAATGACCACACGTCTCTTGCGGGTGTCACCTCAACGTTACCTTCCGTGTTCAACACCTCGGGGGGCATCCAGTTAAGTGAGCCTCCACATCGCTGCTGGCCACTCATGCTGAAGGACGAATTAACAAGGTAGGAGAGGCCGAAGTCGGTAAGAAGGGCATGTCCCTCGTCGGATATTAGGACATTGAGCTATCTCCTGCGTGTCAAAGAGGTGGATACTCCGGATCAGAACACTCACGCCTTTTAGGTCACCGTGATAGACCGGGTTTGGGAAACGGCTATGAAGGTAATCTAAGCCTCGAGCGATCCCCAAAAGCTGACAGAATTATCCAGCTCCCGCCAAGTAGTGGAGTCGCCCGACGTACCAGGGGACGGGGATCTATCTCTGGATTCTGCACATAATCATGCGCATTACCGTTGGACATCCACTTTGATATGATGGATATAGTGCTATCGAATTTGGTGGTGATCCCGAGTAATGGCAGAACATTGGGATGTATGAGTTTGGACCAAAGATGAGTTTCACGTAAGAAATTCTTGACAAATCGATCAGAATGATGGTCTAGTAATCGTAACAAGATAAAGAAACCTTGAGCACTTCACGGTCAGACTTATGTCCAAAACGATACGTTTTCACGGCCACTGATGTCCCCCCTGGCGAAAGCCTCCCCCTGTAGACAATGGCATCTCCACCTGTCGAGTATTTCGTTGTGTCTCGCTCAACCCGGTCATCCAGGTTAATAGCAAAACGAGATGCTCGCTCCGAAAGCTGTTTGAGGAAATGCTGGAAGTCCGAGCTATCCTGCGGGAAGTCCATCTGGGTTTGACAGTCTCATAATATTGTCAAGACGTACGTTCTCCCTGTCATTATCACGTAATGTCGTCAATCCGGGTGGTGGCCCTTGGTGAGTAGAGTCCATTCCAGCCGTGGTGTTCGAAGGAAGGGTTGGTCTGCTCGAGTGAGCTCAAACCAGGCGAGAGGAAGAATTGACCACGTGTGGCTGACCCACAACCCTTTGCCACAAGTTGGCCAGGTAAATTACCTCCCCTCAATCTCTCATATGCCTTCCAATTCCAACACGCCGGCGCCAATCACGAAGACCTGCACGAAGCGTGGTTCCGCTTGGCCTATAAGCTATGTTGTATTTCAATGGCATCTCGGTCGACAGGCAAAAATACCGCGAACGAGACATTCCAAGTGACCCTACACGACAAGTTGCCGAAGACAACGGCTGCAACATCGAGGGCGTGTAATCAACGAGTCGAAACTGACAGCTAGCTAGTCTGTTCTCGACCAACATGAGTCCCCACACTCACCGTCGTCGATAGTGGCATCTGTCACATGCATATGCAACCAAACCCCAGTGGGGAAGAAAGGTCTTAGTCGGCAGGACTGGGAGGGACCGATCGCGGTAGTGGTATAATCGTCTTGTGAATGTTAATGGGCAAGACCTTTTTTTCTAGTTCGTACAAAGAATGGTAGGCCCTCCAAATCGCGCAGCTTTCGCTGGCTGACCGGGGGTACAACGTCGCGGCATGGTAAACCAGAACCAGACAACACATAGGCTTCCCACAGCACGTGGCAGAAGCACTCACAGGGAATGGTACCTTCGGAACTCTTTTGGTCAGCTGACGTTTCGCGCGCGGTTGAAAATTCGAGTATAGGCAACCAGGTAGCCACTTTCAGTCGCTCAGTCACAACTGTTCCACGTACTGTAAATCACAGTGAATGCACTGAAGATTTTAGCTGCATCCTACATGCCATTGGCTGGGAGTTACTCACCAGAGGTTCCACGAAAAGTTTCCAGTCTACACTCCGACGTCAACGTTGTTTTATTAGGTAATCAATTAGGTAAGTAAGGGAAGCTCATTGTTCGACCCGCGGTACAACTTGAAACCCGAGTCAGACACAGCACGAATGCTAGCAATGTGTATGATGCAGTCGTCAGCTGTCTAGTGAATGAAATATTCGTATTTAATTCCGATTCGTACGTCTTCCTTCTCAAGGTTTCGATCGTTGGCATAGAAAAGATGATCACCATTTGGCCCGCGCAGCTTCCATTCATGCTGACCGTCTGAGGCCTCGGACCTCAACATCTCGACAACTCAGAAAATAAATTAACCAGCGTTTACTCAGGAGGGTGTTCCGTCATTATTAAACACGTGTAGAAAGGCCTGGACAGAAGGAGAAAACGAAACGAAACGATATAATCGGAGATGCAGCAATACACTGGCCACTGGGGGGTTTCATTGATCCATAGAGAGAAGATTGGCACTGCACTTCAGTCGGAGGCCAAAGAAGACACTCATTCACCAGCAGCGCTAACTACTGGATGACTGTGCACATGCCTGCCTCGGAGGCGGAATGAACTAAGAGTGTGCTTTCCATTTTGCACGGAAGGAATGCATTGGATCTCGCATCTAAAGCAGAAGAGGTCACTGGTGTGGTGCACTAGTAAGTTCAAGAGTCCTTACCACCTCCTGATATAATTCTAGTCCGCCGGTAATTTGTCCTAACCCAATTCTTGCATTACTTTGGAATGCGGCAATATTCTTGACGCGAGTGGCAGCCTCCGCCAAAACCCCCGCTGCGTTGAGGAGCACAAACCACCAATCTATGAGCAAATTCATGCCATCAATGGCCGGCACCAGTGTGTCGGTAACTCTGTGCAGGTGCATCATTGCATCATGCCGCGCTTTTACCTTTCCACCAAAACGAGCCAATATTCCATCGGCCTTGGCGTGGTTCACCAGTTCCCACGTCATATTCTTACATTGGCTCAACACCTTTTACTGTCAATCGTCGTTCTCAAGTCAAGTAAACTGATACTGACCGTTTCCAAGCCCATTTGCGCATCTCTCAAATTTCCACGGATAGCCTTGAAGAGGTGTTGATAATTCTTCGTAAGCACTTGCAGTTCTGTTTCGTTCTCGGTCTCCAATATGGATCTAGCCAACAGCACTCCCTGCTCGGCGCCTCTGATGCTACTTTCCACGGCGCGAGCAAGAATAGCGAGACCAGACCGCATACGGTCTGATATATGCGGGGAAACCAACCTGCGATCTCCCGATCTTGCCCAAAGTATGAGTACATCTGCGTATTGGAACATTCCAGTGTAATACATACGAGACAAATTCATGAAGCCTGACACAATCAAATATAAAATTGGGACGAGGTGGAGAGAATGGAACAATTTGAACGGATGTGGCTGGCCGGTTGTCACTGATTACTATGAGCTTGATGAAGCACTTACTTGAAGAGGGGTACTCACATAGAAATGGTGTCATTCAGCTGGAGATCAGTCAGTGTCACGTCCTTCATCACTGTTCCGACATACCGGAATTTGTTTAACCTGGCTGGCGATATCCAGCATATTCGGCCGCAACGAGGGATCATGTTCCCAGCACGAACGACATATTTTCCACCAACTGTCCGTCATCCGAAAGCACGTGGAATCGCTACTTGGACGGGATGGCATACGTCCTTCAGCTATTTGGGACATAACCCTTGAACATTGCTTGATGTCGTGGAACGGCGGTTGCCTTGTGAACAATTCCTGCCGACGCTCACTAAACAAGTTGTATGTTTAGTGACTGCATAAGTAACATACCAGCGCTGTCATCCCAAAGGCCCATACATCCATCTCAGCGGTTAAGCTTGGCTGGTCAAATCCTTCGGGAGCTGTCCAGTTCATCGAGCTTTGGTTGGTGGCATTTGTACCCATGGTGAACACCAGACTGATGAGGAAAGGAAGACCGAAATCAGTCAGCAGGGCGCGACCGTCATCAGAGATAAGGACATTGCTCTGCCACCATATTAAATCCCCAATGGTCAGTCGTGCACTGATGAGCACTCACGCCTTTTAAATCACCATGGTAAATAGGTGGATGATGGTTATGGAGGTATTGGAGGCCGTTCGCTATGTCTACTAGCTTGGCCGTGTTAGTGAAACGGGACACTCACGATGTCTGTCAAAACCTACTAGTGGGCGTGGATCGACAGCTGTGTCTTGGACAAAATCATGGACGTTTCCCTTTTCCATCCACGGAAATACCAAAGATATGGTAAAATCAAACTTGAACGTGATTCCTAGTAATGAACGAATGTTTTCGTGATTGAGTTTGGACCACGTATCAACTTCGCGAAGGACACGCTAAGTATGAAATATATATCAATCAGAACATAACTCAGCGACAATGCTCATTGTTTGAAATACCCTGATAGCCCAATCTTGTGCTGGGGGACTTGACCGGACGGACTTGATCGCCACATTGATTCCCTTGGAAGGAATAACGCCGCGAAATACAGTGGCATAACGACCACGCAAGACAGGTCCATCCAGGTGCTCTTCAATTTCCTCAAACACACTAATATCGAACTGAGACACTTGTTGAATTACTTTCGTAAGCGGCGACTGGTGTTTCTCCGGTAAACAGTAGGGCTTTACGAATCAATCATCCCACGTACAGTGGCTCGTTGGGCTGGACCACCGAGTGTACCAGCGACAGATTCGGAAGTAGTCTGACGAGAGAATGGAGTCAGAAGGATAGAGGGTTCGATTAGTGACATGCCTGTTCGATCATGTCCACAACTTGAGACATAGGAGGCCGCAAAGACGGTGTGGTGTTCCAGCACAAACAACATAGATTCCACCACTCGTCCGTCATGCGCGACCACGTACAATCATCAGAAGGACGACAGGGTAACCGACGATTCAGGATACGAACTAACACGCGTATGTGATGGCCGGTCTCATGGAATGGCTTTTTCCGAGTAAATAATTCCTGAAAATTACAGGTGTGATCAGCAGGTGTCATTTGTATAGTACGATGAGCGTACAAGTGCTGTCATGCCGAATGACCACACGTCCCCTGCGGGTGTCATCACAGCGTTACCTTCTGTGTCCAACAACTCAGGGGCCATCCAGTTGAGTGAGCCTCCGCATCGCTCATGGTCAGCCATGCTGAAGGAGGAATTAACAAGGTAGGAGAGGCCGAAGTCAGTAAGAAGGGCATGCCCCTCATCAGATATTAGGACATTGAGCTATCACATGGGTGTTCAAAAAGTGGATATGCCAGATCGGAAAACTTACGCCTTTCAGGTCACCGTGATACACAGGGCATGGGGAACGGTTATGAAGGTAATCTAAACCTCGAGCGATCCCCAAAAGCTGAGAAAATTATACAGCGCCTCCTCAAGTAGTGGACACACTCGACGTACCAGGGGACGGGGATCTACCTTTGGATCCTGCACATAATCATGTGCATTACCATTGGACATCCATTTCGATATGATGGATATAGTACTATCGAGTTTGGTAGTGATTCCGAGTAATGGCAGAACATTGGGATGCATGAGCTTGGACCACACATGGACCTCACGTAAGATAGTCTTGACAAGTTGGTCAGCATAATGATCTGGTGATCGCGACAAGATGCAAGAAACCTTGGGCACTGTACTGTCACCCCTATGTGCGAAACGAAATGTTTTCACGGCCACAAATGTTCCCTCTGGTCGGAGCCTCCCCTTGTAGACAATGGCATCTCCACCTATGAAATATTCCTTTGTGTCTCGATCAACCTGGCCATTCAGGTCAATGGCAAAACGAGATGCTCGCTCCGAAAGCTGTTGGAGATGATGCTCGAAGTCTGGGTTATCCTGCAAGCGTCCATCATGGTTCGGCAATCTCATGGTAGTGCCAAGACGTACATTTTCCTTCCAGTCGTTGCTACATAGAGTCATCGACCTGGATGGTGGCCCTTCGTAAGTAGAGTCTATTCCAATCATACTACTCGAAGGAAGGCTGATCTACTTGAGTGAGCTCAAACCAGGCGAGAGGAAGAATCGACCACGTGTGATTGGCTCGACAACCCTTTGCCGCAAGTTGGCCAGGCAAAACACCTCCCCTCAATCTCCCACATAGCTTTTAGTTCTAACACACCGGCGGACATCATAAAGACCTGCGCGAAGCATGATTCTACTTGGCCTACAAGCTATGTTCTGCTTTGATGGCACCGTGATCGGCAGTCCAAAATATAGGCAAACGGGACACTCGAAGTAGTCCTACATGGACCTGTTGCCATGAATAACAGCTGAAAGGTGACATCGAGGGCGTGCAATCAACGAGTCGAAACTGATGGACAGGTCTATTTTCGACCAGTATTGGTCGTATGCAACCACACCCCAGCGGGCGAAATGCATGTGTAATGCGATCACCCGTCACGGGCTGAACTGGGGTTTTCTGTGTATGTGCATGGACGGTGCAAGCTTAGTCGTATAAGTCCTCAGTCGGCGGGACTGAGAGGGACCAGACGCGGGAACGCTACAATCATCTTGTGAACGTTGATGGGGAAGAACGTGTGAAGTCAAACCCTTATAAATGAGGACGGTAATATGGCCTCGTGGCTTTTGCTGGCCGACTGGGAGTGCGACGTTGTGGGACGGTAAACCAAAACCGGACAACATTCAGTGGCATATAGCCTAGCTTCGCAAAGCGCCGGCAGAATTCGCAGGGAAAGGCACCGATGTATAAGAAGTTTTTTAGGTCAGTGGCTGACTTTTCACGTGCAGTTGAAAAAATCGAGTGGGCGGAAGTCTAGTTCGACCGCAATTATGATACATATTCAATCTCACCGTCCAGAAAAATAGAGATTACTACATCCTTGGCGCCTGTCGGAAAGGGATGTCGTTTCTGGTTGTATACCCTTGTGGATAACTTCGCCGGCGCCAAGTTCATCAGCAAAGCTGACGCCCGCGAAGTCCAGTCCGCACTCGGCATGTATTGACCATACCCTGCGGGAACTGCTGCCGTAGGAAGGTCCACGGCTAAAGAACAGTTCCCTAAATCAGGCCATTGATAAATGGTGAATGCCTTGCTTTCGACTCCATCACCATGACTCTGCGGTTACTTGAAATTTGATTTTAGAATCGGACCCAACTTGTACAGATTCATGGTTTGTAAACAGCCGTGATATGAGGGGACCACAAATCTAGAAAGGACCATTGAGGAGCCCAAAGAAAGCAAAGACGAGGAGTGTACTTGGGAAACCTATATCCACAGCGCTGGTGAGATCAAGTAAGAGGGGCGGGGAGGGGGAGAAGAACTAGCGTGAGTGATATAATACTAGTGTGTAGCTCAGGTCAATAGCGCAGAGTGCACCGGCTTCTCCGGCCTGAATCTCACTGAGCATTGTAGTACAGTGGTAAGCGCAGCTCGTCTATTTGAATGCAGGCGAGAGTATCCGCAAGCAATCAATCAAAACAAAGACCAGCGCATACGACCACACCACGATGCGAGATTTCAGGCGGCAAGCCACGGCATTGGCCACTCAGGCTCTTCCATTCCCAAGTATTCTATGAAAGGCGGATAGAAGCCTGAGTGACTCCAGTCAACAAGCTATAAAGGTCCGCTCGAATCTAGAATCATATTTCGCGTGCTAGGTCTTGATTTGTCAGAACGTGTTTGCGAGGTGGAGAGAGCAAAAGTTGTAGGGAGGGTAGGCAGTTGGACGGCCGGGCTTTCATGAGCCACCAGTTCGAGATAGTCGCAGAAAAGAGAAGGCGAAGCGTGTGGTATAGGGTCCATTGACCCCTTGGATCCATTCCAAGCGTATCTAGCCGGAGTGTAAGCTTCCAGTTGTCTGCAAAGCGACGGAGCGCAGAACAGATACGAACGACCTGAGCTGCCACGCGATGCCCGCAGTCCGAGATGCGGCCATAGCTGCTCCAGGGTCTCTCCATGTATACGTTCCATGACTGATGAAGTGGTCCTCTTCTCGAAGGCGTACTATACGGTGTATGGCGGGCACGTTGACACCAATTGAGCGTGTCTTCTCCATCGTGTCGGTTTCGTCGCGGTAAATCCTCGGGTCATGGAACTAACTTTGCCGCCAGGTGATGTGAAAGAACACGGTTTAATTCCACGCGTGTGGTGGTGAGATAAAGTGACCGGTCAAAATGATACATATACGACTTCTTCGTCAGTATATGTGTCGAGCAAGGCTTCGTTGAACTTCGAGTCTGGCTTGGAAGATGCCATGCTGGTAGCGATACCTGGTTAGTGCACGAAGAAATGAAGGACACTAGACCAGAAATTGATAGTGTTTGCTTTTTTTGGGTGGCTTGTTAGTCTCGTACATACTGTCGTTCGTTGCGGAGTTCTCACCATTGTAACGGACCGAGTAACAGCAGGACGTAGCCGCAGCATTATGCGAGCAAATTTTTCGCAAGCCTGCTACTCTACAATCCACCCCCCTACCAGACTATTGTGGTGGAAAGAATGAACGCAGGATAATCTACATGTCACACAACTAGTTCTCCGCAGTGTTCGGGGATATCAGTTCAGGGTGTCTCTTTCGCCATTCGTCGAGGCCCTTTTCAAATAGTTTGTTATCTACACCCAGTCCTTCGGGTACAAGAATGAACGTTACACCTTGATGCGATGAAGATGGTCTGCAAGTCAGAAAGTTGTTAAAACACAGGAAACTGACGCACCGAGTGTTTCAACATTCCGGTTCCTCCTCTCATCGTCGAAGAAAAGCTACAAGCAGATTCATGTCAGCATAGCTTGTCAAACTCAGACATAACTTTGCCCACACCCGAATTCATGGAAGAGGGAAGATGCATGTGGGAATGAGCATTATCAGAGAGACACGCACCATCTCACTGTATGGTAAACCAGTCTTCTTGTGCAGCGCCTCGAAATGCACCTTCTTATCGGTAGGGTATATTTCAAGCTGGTCAAAAAATTTGATGGCAGGCGTCGTCGTCGATTTCCAACTCGGAGTATCACTCGACCCATTGCGTGCAGTAGGTGGTAGGGTATCGGTATCCATGCCATTGGGTATCCTGATGAGCCTCAAAGCCTCCATTGCCCTAAGATTATTACAGCGTCAATTAATTGCGTCTTTAGGCTTATGACATTCGTGGTATGGAACCAGCCGATAGTCAGACAGGAGCGCAAAAATGGCACCTACAATTTGGGAACAGGCGTCCGCGAACACGCTGCAACTGTGACGCCTGCATTTCTTAATTTTCGCAAAATCCCCGGCACATCCCGATAGAACTCAATGGTATTTGGGCTGGTCCTCCTGCCGTAGTAGATGTCGGCGGTGGAGCTGTCGTAAACAGTTCCCGTAGCAGGATCCTGTCGGATGGGTGGTGTAATGTGAAAGTCAACCCAGAAGTCCCATAGCGTGTAACTGCGGAGGCACTCAGTCAAATCTATTGTCTGTCAGAATAGCAACTCACTCTAGATCAAAGGCGATGAGCTTGGGTAGACGTGATCCTGCACTCATCTGTGCACCGGCTCCAACAGCTTGACGCCGTGCAGGTTAAGCAGTCTTTTGATTATGTCATCCATTTGCCCCAGAGCTTGATCAGCCCAGAGGCGGTACCGAGGATGCCGTTGGCCTTGATACTACCGAGCTCACGCACGCTCACGTTTCGTAGGCCCGGTCATGATCATACGAGTAAATGCACATGAAATGCAAAGAAATCAAGTCCTGCCGCAGTTTGTTAATCCACCTCTGCGGCAATGACATCACCAACCACCCCCTGGCACCAGTGCATCCATAAATTCACATGCAAGGGGCACACCAAACTTCTCCCAGTCACATTTTCGATTCTCGAAGATGGAAAACCCAGAGCAAGACCTCCCTAGAATCGTGCATTTACTCACTTCCTCCAAAGCTGCAGTTGTTCTCCATGAGACTATCAAGCGGTACTACACTCCAGACGCGTCCCTCCGCCACCCGCTCAGCATTGTTGAGTCTGGTCCAACCTCCCGAGATAAGGTGTTGGGCGTGTACGAGTGGTATCGTGTCATGAGTCCTGGAACAGTAGCTACGATCAATGAGTTCGGTGAGTACATGATGCTTGTATCTTCATGTCTCGTCTCTTCATACCTGCACTATAATCGACTCTACACCGTAGTATATGACAAGGAAAGCAAAATTGCGTATCTTGATGTTTCTCAAACCTTCAAGCTTCGGCTCGTTCCCTCCCCGGTCAGACCCTCTCGGTGGGTTCCGATATGTATCATGTCACAAAGAATCCGCTGACTCTGGTAACTAGACTCGTAACCCGCCTCAAACTCGTAGAACAGGACAAACTTCTGTATATCAAGGACCAAGAGGACTTCTTCCATCCAGATGTATGCATACGTTGGTCAGGTTCTCTGAACGATATTCACATATACGACCTTGACAGGATATGATGAAATACACTTTTCCATCATTGGCCCCTATCGTCACACTCTCCCTTCGATCCGCAGCAATTGGAGCGTGGTTGGCATCAAAACTCTATCTCAGAATCAGTATGGCATGGCTCGCCATATTCGGAATTAGTAATGATGTGCAAGAAGGACACATGACGGAGGCCATGTCCGAAGCACAGCATGTTCTCACCACAAATAACAACGACGAGAGGCTCAAAGGTGTATACTATGGACGGTGGTAGTCGGGGAGGCCTAGGACAGTCGGGCATGTATGTGACCTGCGCGGTCTGTTCACCGCTATCTAGTGGCTTGACGCATAAATTAAATAAATAGTGTTAAGTCTACAATACAGAATGTCTAGCTACTATAAAGTCTATTCCTCAGACAAAGAACTGTCTGATTGCATTATGTAGACCCAGGGGCTTGATATGTGTACCCTAATTCTGTCCCTGACACGATCTGTACAGGGTCGCTGCCGAAAGGCTCTAGCGCACTAACAGTCGTGCTAACGAAAAATCTGGTTATTCCCCCAGCACTATCGGTCTGTTCGAGAATGGGTGATGGCTGGGTATAATTCCACGTGAAGGGAACGAAGTCTGTATGAGAACAGCCGGACATTTGTGCTTCGGTAACGGTGGAGTTTATCTGCGAAACCGACAGGAGGTTGCTGTTTGTGCCTGCATAAATAGTGTAGGGTTCGAATCCGGTATTGCGCGACTCAGCACGCCCAAGGTAGAAGGAATTATAGACTTGGTTGGCAGCTAAGATAAGATCAACATGCTTTCAGATAGAGACGGGTCTCTTACCGCTTGTGTCCGGGGCACGGGAACTCTCGTAGATGAACGAGTCTGTATATTGCGTTCCCACGGAGCGGAAGTTGAGTATCGCATAGCTGACCGCAAGGGATTGCACGGGCTTCGTCGCGAACATGTGCGATAGTATAGATCGCGCGAGAAGTGGCACGTTTTCACCCCATGGGAATTGCACCGAGCCTATATTACTAACCAGAAGAGTCAGCAGAAGTGGTTGGAATGAACAACGAATTCCTCACCTGCGACCACGCGTCACTGGTATATTAGAATATAGATTTTTGGTCAACTGCCCGGAGACCCCGCCTGCGTATGGCGAGAAACTATCTAGCATTATCCTGGAGTCGATATAGTCAATTTTGGGGAGGAAGGGTCAGAGTAATGACGCTACGTACGATTCGGTTGCGATTGATGCGGTTAATCCGTTTAAGTTCAGGGATGTGTTAAACCAGGTTCTACTATCGTCCCACGTGAGGGTATTCTGTCCGATCGAAATTGAATACAGTGGGGAATCGGTAAAAGCGAGTATTTGCCCCGTGATACGTGTATCATACGTCGTTCCATTATCGAACGCGGCGGAAAACTCGAATGTGGCATTAGAAGGTTTAGATGAATGAGAAGCAGGGTCGCCTTGTATCCACCGCAGGTTCAACAGAACACCCGTCTGGTAAAGTGTTAGGTCCCACCGCTCCCAACCAACCGATCCACCAGAACTAATCTTGGGGAGTGTGTCTGTAGCGGCACCCGTGGGTCGCGAAGTAAGTGTCCCAGAGCAATTGTTGTAAACTTGAGTGGTGGTCGACCCAAAGCTACCTTGGGATACGGGCTGGGCGAAAGCCGGGAGGGATAAGATCAGAGCCGGCACTAGCAATAGAGAGAGCATTTTGATACAGCGGTGGATTCGTGAGCTCTAGAAAAAGTGAATGTGCGACATGCAATTGTTGCCTGCATTTATGTATCATTCAGAAAGCTGGTTACGCACTGGACGGATAATTAAGTTATCATTCCTGAAGCCCTCTTGACATCGCTTTGCGCCCCAGGAACTCGAAATCGTCCCTGGCATGAGTAAAAGAACCTATAGTACCGGCGGAGACAGCACTTCGGCACACAAGTCGTCATTTGGATTACAGAATCCGGCAATGACACGCGACCGCGGAGGCAGAGTTCCTACATGTGCATAGCACCCATCCCGTATCCCGGAGACCAAACCGGGTGAGGGAGACAGTCCATTGCAGCAAGCACAGAACGACCGCCGGCGGTGCGTGTCAAGACCTGTCAAGACCCCTGAGCATCAGTGGCCAGGCCAGCATGGTTCCTTAGGCAGGACCACTTTTCCACGGCTGTTCAATTGTGGCGAAGGGGTCAGCAAGCAATTTAATCAATCACGCTGAAACGAGCATATGCAATACCCCCCTGGTGACCTGCTGGACGGGATGACAGATAGATGGTCCTTCAAGCTGTGAAACTAGCCGAGGGGAATACCAATCCATACCAACCTCCATTTGGAAGTGACTGGTCGTAGGGCTCCCTCCGCGCTCGCCAAGGCACTCATTGGCGGCTAATGAGAGGGCTCGCTCACGCGCAGAAGAGCAAATTCGTTGTATAGTGGTTCTTCAGCTTTGTCCGTCGATTGCCCTGACCGCGTGCAACCGGCTGCAGTCAGTTCGGGAATCGGCACATGACAACATGACAACACGCAGGAACGCACAGTTCAGCGGCGCGATATTACGTAATGAACTGTCACTGACGCACATGTACTACAAATTCCCACTTTAGGACTGCTTGCCTGTGGTAGGTAGCCGACCAGGGAATAAGATGCGGGTGTGAAACAAATGGATACAATTGTTGAAACGACGGTGCAACTGGGCCAGCGATGCGATGCACTGTCGGGCTTAGGGAAAGTTCTAGCTGCAAATCCGAGGATTCATCAGTCTCCGGAGCAACAGCCAACCGGCATATGAGATGTATCTTGCGCGACAAGGGCCCGACAGTAGTGGGTGTTGCGGACAGTGCGGTAATTTAGCAGGGCGCGGGAACTGTCCTGCACCCCTATTCAAACTGATTCGGAGACCAGACAAGACAACGGTACCTGTCTTTTGAGTACAGACTTCCGGTGAGATGGCTATCACGGCAACTTGTGCTGGACCTGTTTCGATGCCCTTGATACTCCCGGCGGTCTTGGCGGAGCGACTACTGCACAGTGCAGTGGGGATTGTGAGTCACTGAAGGAACAAGACACGCAATCCGGCACTCTATCCCGGTCTACCTGTCCTTGAGATTGCAAATGGTTCAGTTGAGGGCGCATCACCTTATTAATGTGAGAGGAACAAAAAAAAAAAAAATAGGAAAAAGAAACTGAATGCCCAAAAGGGTTTCGGGCTCGAGACGGCTGGTGTCGTTGGGCGATTCATGATCAGGAAGCAAACAACGAACGTGATATAAAACCGGAGGCGATACCTTCGGAAGCAAACGCACAGTCGTCTGCAAGCGATGCTAGCACAGCAGCCTGTGTTGCAACTCCTTGATACTCACAGAGCCACCGTCGCACAACGCCGACGGAAGACTGCGGTAGCCAGGAGGAGCCGAAGAGATAGGTGGGTGAAGACGTGCACACAACACACCTCTAAGTAAAGGGAGGTAGTGATGGCGAAGAGTAACAAGGCGGCCATTGGAGGCTGAGCAGCATATGTAGATAAACTGAACCAGAACTGCGGGTACATGTAAGTAAAACGTCAGGGCCCCAAGGGGCACGTATCGAACTCACCTCAGCGTTGACGTCGAGGGACAACGACTGAAGTTGAAGTACTGAAGTGTAAACAAGTGTAAAGTATCGTACAAGTGCACCGTGAACACAGCACGTGACCGTTGTATGGTATGAGTGTATCATATATTCCGGGACATCAGGGGGACAAGGAATGGTGGAATCACGATCACGACCAGTCAGTGACAGGTTTAAACCATCTATTCGCTTACTGATGGAGGCGTGAACGGGAGATGGAAATAGATGGAAATAAATAGGCATGCCATTGTGCTTTCGTATGGAACACAGGGCCTGCAGCCCGTGGGTCATGCTCCGACCAAGATTTCTGGGTCACTAATTCAGTGAACCCTGGAGGGGTGGAAGAAGCGAGCAAAATATCTCTGTGAATGTCCCACACACTCCTAATTCAGTGTCTATAAACCGGCCACTCTGTGGGTAACAGGCACATTTAACGGAATCATGCCCAACATGCGTGCGGCGACCCGGCTTTTGGTCTCCTACGCCAGACCCGATCGATGGTAGCACACGTTGCGGTCCCACCTACACCACCACACACGAGGAGGAACGTCTAACATGAATGAAGACTCCTTGCGCAGGCGAGAAGCTGCCTCCACTACTGAGTTTCTCGTGGGACTGCGCTAGAGTTGTGCCTGTGAATATCCTACACACACCTAGTCCAGTTGGCGACTCTGCGGGTTACAGCCGCATATAATGCAACCATGCTCGACATGCGTGCAGCGACCCGGCTTTTTCTTTCCTACGCCAGAGCCGATCGATGGTAGGACGCATTGCGGTCCCACCTACACCACCATGCACGAAGAAGAACGTTAAACATGAACGAGGGTTTCTTGCGCAGACGAGACGCTGCCTCCATCACTGAGTTTCTCGCGTGGATGGGCTAGAGCCCTCCTGCTAAAGATGAGAGTATCGCGACGAGATTGTGCGTATCTGTTGTCTAATGAGGGATATCCGCCATTTGCAGTGTGCACTGATATAGGGTTGGATTGAAGCTGTAAGCATGGAGAGAAACTGCCGCGCGTCTACTTCTGAGGCGTAAGCATGACGAAAGCACTGTGCGTGTGCGTGAAGGAGTCCTGGCGCAAACCTTGAATTACGTGCTGCTGCTTGCAGCTTGAATCTTATCTTTGAATCCTGTAACGTTGTAATGAAACTTTAAAGGAGTTTGGGCTGAACGATAGACCCTTTACCCTGAGAGGTGCATGGTACGACGTTCATCCGCGAACCCTGCGGCGTTTGTACTGTGTCCACGGGGTGGAACGATGGACAAGCGCAAGAACATAAACGCCGTGAATCTCGATGTTGCAGGGAGCATAAACTTGCTGGAGGTTGTGATGGTCTTGATGAGATCAGAGTTGCGTACGTGAATCGAATGCTCCGTCCGTCTGTAAAGCCAATATCGTGCTCCGATTGAAGGCAAAAGGCGGAAGGACGAGCCGATAGCAAAATTCACGCACGAAAGTGATTAGCCCCTGATCGAACGTTCCGGACGAACATGATACACAGTCGTTGACTCAGGTTAAGAGTCCGCAAGTGTGAATGACTCCACGATCGTATCTTGACGCGGACACTATCAGCAAACCATTCACCGTACTCCCAGCGCGCAGCAGAAGAGAGCTTTCGCGATTGGTTCGGCGGCTTGTCATATTGAACTTTCCTACCTGCACTACACCGCCGATTTGTTCGTGACTGAGCTCTGATATGAAAGATAGTGTTATCGTGGACTGTAAATATTCTTTTCGGATTGACGTGTGGGGAGATGCGCGTTTAGAGGAGATTGTATTACCCGGGCTAGATGCGGCTCCTAGCTAAACGGAGATACCTCCCAGTGATCGTAAGCGGCTCACTGGGTTTATCTGGGCCTTAGAACTTGCAGGTCGGACGACCGAGGACATACGATGGGAGGACATCTGGCGATCCGTGATTGGGAGAGCAATGTAGTCTTGCACAAACAATCATCTAATTTCTTGAGAGAATCAGCGGCGAGGGCGATCTCATCAAACACCTTCTGATTCATGTTCGGCACTGGGTGGACTTGCGGATAGAAGGTTCCAAGCACTTTCTTCAGGGGCTAAATCAGACGGACGTTAAGACTGTGACCGATCAGTTCTTAGTGAGGAGCAAAACAAAGCTTCGCCTAAGAGTCCGGGCAGCAATCCTATTGGAGGAAGAAGCATTCATGGAAGGGAAAAGCCGAAATGACGCGAGTGAATCCAGGATAACGTATGACGAGAAGATAACCACTAGCAAACTGTGAGCGTTATGATATTCGGAAAGGGCAGGGAATGGAATGATATGGAATCTGGATGAAACAGGTCGATGGATGGGGAATAACGGGACTGCGCCAACCGGTATCGTACGTGCTCGAGGGCAGGGCATGTGAGGGGGACATAAAGCCCTTGAGTTGAGGATGGTAAGCCAGTAACCAACAGATTCCCTCCCACCGACTTACACGCACCTACCCTGCTCGAAAACGTACCCTTTCTCGAACTTAGAGACGACATGCCCGCACCCAAGAAACAGGTAAAGACCGGTTCGTCATTTCCATTTGCCGCGTTGGCCATCCAAGATTAACGGGGGTCGACATTTTGTGCCCGTTGCATCCGTAGGCGCACCTGCTGTCAACGGTGCCAAGGCAGTACCACCAGCTAAGGCCGCATCGCCACCCACCGTATGTGATTGTGTCTAGAACCTTCAATGAAGCTGACGCCCGACTCCTTGGAAGACCACCACCACACCCGCGGCTGGTGCACCCAAGTCGAAGGTAGCTTCCGGTGCCGGTGGTGCCAAGGCACCCAAGAAGAAGTGAGCTCCTCACTCAACACGAATTCCGGGCTCGGGAGGATGCCAGAGGTGTTCTAAAGATTTCTTCGACTAAGCATTAAAGGGATGTCACGATCACTTTTTTTGTTCGTATTGGTATGTTACTGCAAATTCTGTCACTGATGTGGGGTATCACTGTTTGAAACTGTAATATGGCTGAAGCAAACGTACTAATACCTTCTTCCTGTCATGACTGCCAGTCTCCAGTTGTTGATTTAGCGGATCTAAAACTTCAGAGGTCCTCTGAGGGAGAGACGGTAGTGTGAGTAGACATCCCTTCCCAGGAAGAGCTTCAACATGTCCAGATCTACTGGTGGTGACATGCATCCGACTCCTCCGCCGAGCTAGGACGAGGCAAGGGTGACAGTGAAAGCGAGTCAAGGTCACTCAAGAGAGAACCCGCACATCCGGTACTTACAAAAGCGAATTGCGACGTGGGTGAGGAAGGTCGCATTAATGTTAGTAACCGGTGGTTCAGGAGTTCCAAGAAGGGAGCCGCCTGTCGAAATGCGACCTTTCCGGGGACTTCGGAGTGTCACCGCGTCACCGTCCAGCGGCATCGGTGGCCCACTAGGTCAACCTAGTTCTTGTATCCGGCTACCATATGTACAACTTGCCACGTTTTTTCGTAGTTGCACGCTGTCGAAGAAGGTGGCACACCCACCATTCTCCTCAAATGTAGGCAAATTTGTCGTGCAATAGAGTACCTACTCCTGTAGTCAGAGCCGTTCAAGGCTGAGGGTAGGTTCGGAGAGACATTTGCATTGTTGGGCGGTGTTCGTTTGCTAACCCACGGTGTTACAAATGAGCAAACCTACCCGCGTATGATCGAAGGTACCCCGTCGTCTCGTAGTAGCAGGGTGATATGCCGTTAAGCAATGAGTAACTGCTGGGAGCACACCAAGTATACATGATCACGGTGTAGTGCATTGGTTGGGGTGCGATGACACGTGTCGTACAGCCTAACGATTCTTGAAGTAATCCATGAGAAGGACGTGCAAACCCTCACTCTAGTCCTTAACGACGACACAGGAGCACCCGACGACCTTGCGTGGGTTTCCCTCCTTGTCGATCTTGCACAGACCGACCCAAGTACCGAGGGTCTTGGCGTCACCAACTTTAATCAAGTTGATCTTTTGTGCTTCAGAGCTGCATTAGTACTTCGATCTCCGACTCGGGACCCCCCGGTTTCCTTGGCGCTTTCCGGTGAATTGCTTACATAATGGAATATTTGATGCACAAGGCAAGCGGCCCAATCTAGTCTACATTCAGAGACAAGGCGTCTCTTTCCTCTCTCCCTCACCAAACGCTGGCCCAGTCGCTGGCCCTTTATACCCGCTCAGAATTTTTCCCTTTTTCTTACGCAGGTGTCCACTAGGATATATAGCCGCGAGGGTCGACCCGACCTTACATTAGTCCAAACAACTCATACCCCCTACTACCGTACCATAATGGCACCGACATGTCCATCCTCGAACACGCAATCTGTCGATCAGAGCAGCTTTTGGAGCTCAGGGAACACAAACTGGGATGCCCATAGGATTGGTTGGGCAGTTGCAGGCGGCTGCGCGGCGGTGGTACGTCGTCAACCCTTTTTCGCGTGCTGGACTGGCTGCCTGCATATATGACCCGTTTCCCTACTGATTGTCCGTTTGGCTGTCACATCGACGTGTAGACGCTGATCATTTCCTGTGTGTCTATTTTGCAACACTGTCGGTGAGTGGTGCCCGTGTTTTCTGCGTGGATGGAAGACGACGGTCGTATTACGTAGCAACTACAATAAACCGAGCGAACAGCGCCAAGTGTAAGTGATATCCTGTAGCTTTCAAGGGACACATCGGTTATCCGGCTTGCATACCAGCCTACGGGTGTTATACATGCCTCTGGTTTACGCAATCATCTCGTTCTTTTCCTATCGGTACTTCCGCAGTTATACATATTACAGCCTCGTGGAGTCAGGTTTGTTGCAATGGTCTTTTAATGGGCTTTAGTTGATGTTTGTTTGCAGCATACGAGGTAAGAATGCTGGTGCAGCGTGTACATATGGTGTTGACTTGCCGCAGGCAGTTACCCTTAGTGCTTTCCTGTACGTATACGTTCTTCTTGTCATCATCAAGTTGATTGATCATTCACTTTTGAGGCTGTTGTTGATCGAGTATGTCGCGGACACAGCATCGGGCCGTGACGCATTGAAGGCTATGGAACGCAAAGACAAACGGCCATTGCCATTCCCAGTGAGTTCATTGCACGAATATGACACGTGCAGCAAGGTTTCACGTGGTTGCATAGTTCTGTTGTTGGAGATTCCGTCCGACAAAGGTTGACACAATTTTACTCGCACATTGCTGACTTGAGTCTGACTACATTTTTAATAGCCCTATTTCATGTACACAGTCAAGGTGCGCACCGCTAGGTCCTACGTCTAGTTACTCGCTTAGCTCTCTGTAGTGGTCCGTTCTGCAATATGTGATAATACGTCCAGGTAATTTTGGGAGATTTGCATTCCCATTACGCTTACAGACGCGGGCGGGTAGCATGTTCTATTGCTGGCATAATTTGCGAAGCATTCAATGTCCTCTGCGAGTCGGCGGGGTACAGCATCTACTACGCGAATGTCTACTTGGAAGTGATCGACTTCATCAGCATAAGGTATTCTTACTGTCCTTCAGATGTCCTGCAACTTCATTTCCGCGCTCGCCAGCGTCGCCCTTTACGGCCTGATCCTCTTCTATGCGCTTACCAAGGACGAGCTCGCTGGTCGACGGCCCCTCTCAAAGTTTTTAGCAATCAAGCTGATCGTGATGTTCACGTTCTACCAATCATTTGTTGTGAGCATTTATAAGAATTCGTTCTACCACTTTCTCAGTCCACTTCACAGATTAGCTGGCTCGAAGGAAGCGTGATTAAGGGTGAGTCGTCGCCTTTAGCATTGCTGCAACCCTTGAATTCACCTCTATATTAGCAACTGAGTATTGGACCGAGACGAACATTGCCGATGGTCTAAATGCACTGGCAATATGCATTGAGGTAGCGTGGATGATGCGCGCGTTTCCCGTGATTTCAATCCTTCGTTTGCAGATGGTCTTCTTTTCCGCATTCATGATGTGGGCGTACACTGCCAACGAGTACAAGATCGAGGGTGCGCCAAAGACCAGAATATGGCGACCTTTATGGGATAGGTATGGGTTACTCTCCATTCATATTTAGTTATTGCACTGACACTTTTCTGCCAGTATCAACTATAGTGCGTATTGCAGAATTCCAATGAATGGTCTGGCTAAATTTTCAACAGAGGACTTCGCCGTTGAAATCGTAGGCTCTCTCAAGTTCTTCGTCGACTACATCCGTGGGAAGCCTTCGACACACTCGGGGCGCCGCGCTGATGCCGAGTTCGTGAACAACCACAACAAAAGGATGGACTTCGGTCAGGCGTTCGGTGTGGAGGGTAGCACTTACCCACGGCAACCTAGGAAGTCGACCGCGGGCGGAGGCGGAGACGGTGAGTCTCGCGCTATCCGTCCTCGATCGAGCTACGACGAAGAGGTCCGTCTAGCACCATACCCCATCAGCAGCGACTCAAACCTCAGTGATCACCCGAATCAGGTTGGTGTGTGAGTTGTGGATGTTTCCTTACCCCTCATGGACTTGGCTACTAGGTCATCGATGGAGAGCTGTAGGTGTAGTATACAGTCCAAGGGCGAGCGTTTCTTCTTGTTGCATGACGTTTTTGGAATTTCTCCATGTGGCCATACTCATACCACACTCGGGCACTGCAATATTGTTGCCCATGTGTAATTTTTTATGTGATCTGTTTATGTTTATGTTGACGTTGAGAGAAACGAAGGCTAAAAGTTGTTAGCGCTCATTTCCCAAGCGTTCTATCCAAGGCGGCCGAAGAGAACAGCTTTAGCATTGACTTTTTGGCGTAACTTGGCACTTGTTTGTGATCGTCCATTGTACTCGGACGACGACTATTTCCGTCAAAAGCGGGGGGTAGTGATCGATCGACTGCTCAATTTCACCTTGTAAATCGAGAGGTTCCTTGTTCGCGATGACTGTACCAAGGTTCACACGTACCAATAGTTGTTCCTTGAAGGGTTTAGCTAGTATCACAGTGGGATTCGCTTAGACCCATAAGCTGTCACGACCGCCAAAAAAAACAAGTATTTTTATGTAAGGATATGTAAGCTTGCTACGGGGGACACAGCTGTTTTGAAGAGGTTAAGTTCTACACACCTTGCTAAACCATCTGAACCTGTTCTACTGTGTTGCTTGAAGTTCGCCCTAGCGTCCTTGTTGAACTTCAACAAAGGTATGGTACGTATGTAGTGAAGAGCACGGCCCCCAATTGTCGACATCGACATCATCGGATCTTTGGACAGAGTTGGGCTGCTCACTGCCAATGCATAAATACCAGCCATTGGGACACCGGTGAGTCACAATTTGAATCCTCTATCCTACTCTATCCGATCGACAAATGACTTCTACCTCTAAGACACTGCTTATTTTCTGCGATGGTTCCGGTGAAGACGGTACTCTGACGAACTGGAATGGTACACCTCCTCTCCTTGTTGACTCTCTTCACCTTCACTTCGTCTAAATCTTCAACTATTGCTAGGATGGCCAAACTATACAGCTCCTCAGACTGCCACGAATGTTCTCCGCTTGTGTAAGTGAGAGCTTGACTGCCATCGGATGGTGGATGTCCGTCTCACCCTTGGTATGCAGCGCGGGCAGTACGACAGTATACTACTAGGTATGTCGTCAGGCTGCAAGACCAAGATTGACATTCATAAATACTGATGTGTTCGTGTGTGTGTGTGTGTGTGTTAGCGGAAGCAATCGCAAGCAGCAGCTCGTCCTCTACATGAGCGGCGTAGGTTCGGAAGCAGACTTCGAAGGCAATCTGGTTGGGTCGATTCAGTGTTGAGTACCCTCCAACAACTGGAATTTGCACAAACTAACATCATCATCGTAATGATCCTTGTAGTGTTGACCGGTACTGCTGTTGGTTAGTTTTTGTTTGTACTTAATCTCCTTTGTTGGAAACGCTGAACAAAATCCTCAGCAAGCAAGATTCGGGATGCGTATGCATTCCTTGCCCAGAACTTTGAGGAGGGAGATGAGATATGCCTTTTCGGGTAAGATACCGTTCGATCTCACACGTCTCTCTCGTGTTGACGGATCCGTCTAGGTTCTCCAGGTATTCATGTTCGTTTCTATGTGTCCATCGGATTATCGAGCGCCTTTCACAGGGGAGCCTATACGGTCAGGAAATTGGCTGGTCTAATTGTCAGTTGTCTTTCTCCTGCAAGATCGTTGCGTTGTATAACTTGAAGGCATTTATTGAAGGACCGCATTGGACTGCTGACAAGAGAGAACCTCGGAAACTTGTTCACGATCTGGAGCCAACTCGTCAGACATCAAACACCTACAATTCCGGCTGACATACGCAAGACTAGGATCAAGTGAGTACACGGGTTCTTAGTATCGCCACGTCGCTGATGTATAAACATGTTTCAATAAAGATGCGTGGGTGTTTGGGATACTGTCGGGGCCATTCTTAATACCGTGGACGCACTTGGCATCAAGGATACCAGTCTTCCGCCTACGGTCGACATTGCGCTTCATGCGGTGTCGTTGCAAGATAACAGAGACATGTTCCTACCCACCCTATGGGAAACGCCGGCGGATGGTCTGCCCGCAAACCAGATCTTGAAACAGGGATGTTGATATCATTTGCCACTGCAATATCAATTTCAAAAACAACTAATATGATGGCAATCTTACAGGTGTGGTTCCCTGGCGCCCATTCTGACGTTGGCGGGGGATACAAAAAGCAGCACCTCTCTGATCTGGCTTTGTTTTGGATGGTGGTGCGTAATAATGAATTTGGGATAGGTTTCAAGGATCTTGTAACCTAACGAACGATGGTGCACAGGGAGAGATCAAGTCGTTCATCGAGGTCGACACCGATCTCATCGCGAAAGGCATGCATCCGAGAGTCGATCCATGGGGAACGTCGCAGCCCCATAATGCATACCGCCTGCTCAATCCCAAAGCGAAGAGCATGGTTCGCCCAATGGCTCGCTTACATGGTCCTCATTGGCAGATCATCCGGGATGGTGTATTCCACGAGAGCCTTAAACATGCACCTGCGGACCTCGAACATCCAGAACATATGATCACTCCAAAATGTCTCAAGGATCGCTTCGGTGAATCGTGGGAGCCGAGTTATGCTCCGCTCAATGAATTCGAGAGGCATTGCAGGGATAACTGGGTCAGCCTTAGGTACAGTACGTATCGTGTCTACCACTCCTTTCCTTATATTGGCGTGGTTGACGTTCCCTTTCTATTCGAAGGATCCTGCTATCGATGAAGCGAGTCCGACCGTTTCGTTTAAGGGCCTATCTGATCTATTTGCTTCGGTAAGGTGAAATCTCACTGGCCTTCTGGAACTGCTCATCGCCAGTTGCTATACAGTGGAAATCAGAAGCTGTCGTTTCGAGTATCATTGCTCTTCGCTCGCTTGACGGAAAATACATGAAGGTCTCCACTGACGAAGGCAGCATTGCATTCCACGACCAGCATGTCGACGATAATGCCAAATTTGCGTTGATAAACTTGGACAACGGAAAAATAAGTTTGAAAGGTAGATGGATCGGATGACTTTTGAGCTTGCACTTTGTTTAACGTCATGCCACTTGTGCAGGTCCCAACGGGAAACTCCTGAACATGTCCCATCCTAACGACCACGTCATGTGCATTGGGACTGAGGGAGGCGTTGAATTTGAAGTCGTCCATCTGGGTGCAAATTGTATCGCTCTGACCATCCCCACATACCACGAAGGGGGTGCAAAAACCAGATTTTTGTCGAGCGGCGTCGGGCGCGAACCTTGCAGTGGTTCGCTCGTCGTCACGGATGACATGGAGGGTCCTTCTTGCTGCTTTGTTGTCCAGACTTTGGCCTGAGGAGTCCTTGTCCACCCCTATCCCGACGTCTCTAACTACATACATATGGACTTACCGCTGGTTGGTATATTACAGGCGGCTGAATATTTCGCTGGAGGTAGTTTGGCCTAATTGACACTTCCATAGTAATACTGGTTGCTAGACGTCTGCACGCCCAAATATGGATATGAATTGACAGCGAGCACAGCGAAACGAAACGTGCTGCGGAGGACTGACAGGGACTCAGTTGGTGGACGCACGATATCCTGAGTACCGTACCATGCAGGTTCCACGTCGTCGACGTCGACCAGCAGCCCCCTTAGTGTGAGGGGAGTCTTGTGCCTTGTTTTTCCTTTTGTCGTGACACTTTTCGTATCAGTTTTGATGTCATAGCTGAGTTCGAAATGGAGACAACAGAGCTCTGGGCACCCGTCGTCCGTCGTCGCTGTCCACGTCGCATTCGCCTGCTCGCCTCTGCTTGTGTCCTCTCCTTTCCACTGTCTTTCCTTCCCCAAACCGCTCTCAGCGGACGCTCTTTACTTCACACTAGGCGGGTTTTGGCCCCGAGATAACAACAACAACAACAAAAATATCAACCGCGCTTATCTGTCCATATGTCTAAGAGAGGTTTCGCTCATGTTCGCGTCGGGCACGCTGGTGCCTGCCCACAACATCAACAAGCGTGACTGTATGTGTTCCTTGGTCGCAGGAGCAGTCTAGGGGGCGTCTCATCCAGGTTTTTTTTTAGCATGCACGACTGGTGGTTTCTATACGAATCCCACTACGGGCATGACCGTGTCCAGCAGTGACAACTTCAACATATCCTGGGACACCTCTTGCTTGGCCGGTACATCGGCTGTAGATATATACCTCATCGCCCCGTCTCTGACCAACAGCCGCATCCACGAGTGGCAAAATGTCAACTTCGGTCTAGGCAGCTACCAGACTCAGTTAGAACCCAAGTGGTGGAACGACTCTTCCTCCATCCAGCTCCAGCTGTCCATCGTAACGTCCGGAACGCAACCTTTCCTCAGCCCTCTTCCAGCAGGCCCCGTTTTCACTGCAACTTATACCGCACCAACCTCAGGCTCTACTCCAGCGAGTGCTGATTTGTCCACCCCAAATACCGTCACTTATGTCAACAACTTCCCTACTCCCAGTTCTCTCACCAGTGGAAAGATCGCTGCTGGCGTGCTCATTCCCCTCTTATTTATCGGTCTTGGCGTCGCATATTACATCAAGATGAGTCGTATCAAAGCGAAAGAGAAGAGCCATCGCTTCTCTCAGGCAATCGACACGCGCATGTCGACCATCTCGTCAGACTGGAAATCCATGTCTGCAGCTGGTGCATCCGCTGCTATACGGAACAGCATCGCCGTCCCCGGCGGTGCCCGTACTTCCTCCGCGTTCTCGTTCGGATCTATCCGCCCAATTAGCACTGTCGCGATCGAGGGCGAAACAGGCGCTGAAAGGACGAGTGCGGATGGCGACACTGCTGTTCCTAACATGTCACAGCTTCGTCCGGGGCTTCGTACCTCCGCGTTCGGCGAACGGGTATCCAGGGTTTCGTTCGCCGCAGATGTTCGCCCGTCTATCGAGTCCCGTCGTACAGTCGCCAGTCGTGCCTTCCACGTCGGACATGTCCCTCCTGTGCCTACGCGTCAGGATTCCGATGATTTGTCTCCGGTACAGACCCAGGGTGCATTCTCTCTGACTCCGGAAGATATTACGGCTCGTATATCTGGTGAGACTTCTTCACAGGCTCGCCCCAGCATGGACGAAGTGTGGCCGTCCCTTTCGAGTAAGTATATCTCTTCATTTACTAGCTATCCTGAGTTGCTTATTCTTATTTCGTTGCCAGTGATGCGCACGGGCAATGACGATACGGATGCAGGTGACGATTACCTCCTCCCTTCTCAAGCGCCGGTCGAGATGCCACTACCCCCCACGCCTGTTCATGCGGCACCGACATCGCCTATTGGGATGGTACCCATGTCTGCCAGCGTCATGTCACCCGATGAGATGTTGCGCGCCTATGCCGAACGCAAGATGGCGTCTCCTCCCGGAAGTCCTGTTGCGTTCCCTGCAGCCACTCTCAGCTATAATTCGCGGGGACCGAGGTCTCTTTACTCTCCAAGTAGGGCAGAGCCAGCTTTCCCTAGCCCTACCCACATCAAGCAAGGTAGCGGCGAGAGTGTCATGCAGACGGCCTACAGCGGCCTACGTTGAGAACGAGGCCCCATCGGTTGGCTCGGCCAACTAGAGTCCTTGTCCAGTGATTCGGTTTCTGTCCACGATGGTTTTTTTTCTTGGTTACGTTTGCGATTACAACACAAAAGTGCCGTGTACTTTTTAGGGCTACCCGTATTCATTGCCGTCTTTTCCTTTTCTTTTTTTCTTTTCTGACTAATGTGTTTCTGAATGCACTGATATCCTTCAGTGGATAACTTATTTACAGGCAGGTGCTGCCTCCACACATACCCCACCTGTTACGCTGCGTTACCCGCCATTGGCAATGAACCCGTGCCTACGTCCCCTCCGCTCGATCGATAGTCGTAACATGTGTATCGGTACCTTTCCGCTTTTTGGGTTACCATAATTTTTTTTTCTCCTCCCTTGCTCTTCTCGGGGTAGCCTGGAGCTGTTTTGGCCGGTTCACATGACGCCTTTTTTTTATTACTGAATCTTGTTTGCACGACGGTCCATATACATATATGATCGGTGGTGTCCACGATTAAGCGCTACGTGCGCCACGACCGTTCGATATGAAGTCGTGTAAAACGTGTTTATTAGTATCTAATTCCTTCTGAGCAACCCAGGCACCCCCTGTCGACTGACAATCAGATGTTCTTTTGATTAGTATGTAAACTGCTGCCTTGCAGCTCCAAATAGGGAAATGCTCCAAAATGTCATCATCAGATGCAACTTGCTCGAGACACGCGTTGGCACTTGATTTTGTTTTTTTGTTTTTCCAGTCACTGCCTTTGCACAGCGACCAACCCAGACACGCGTTGGCGAGGTCTTTCAAACTGACCGCGGTGACTGCTAAATGGTCGTCCACAGACCGCCAGACTCGCGTCTCTTGAGCAACCTGATTGCACACGAGAAAGAATACACTAAACACTTTGCCTCTCTTTTCCCTCTCTCACATGCTGCCCTCGCTTCTCTCTCGGCGTACAGCGCCGCCTCTCCCTCAGAAAACCCGTACTCCTCCACCTCGGCTGGCTCTCCGGCCCAAGTCCTTGCTGCCATCGTCGACGTACTCGCGGGCGCAGACGATGCACTCCAACGGTACCTCCATGTAGTGGAGAAATGGCGAGAACAGCTCGTCTTGCTGAAAGAACTCGAGGACGACGTCGGTGCCATTCTCCGTGACAGAGAGATCCTGTGAGCAACCTCATACCTTCATTTATTGACCCGACTTCATCATGAGCACATTCTAGCGTCACGCGTGTCATAAAGTTATCTAAAGCACAAAAATCAGGTCGGGATTCCCGATCGTCTTTCATTCTACACCCCGGCGGAAGCTCCGCTTCTTTCTCGTCCCTACCGTCGACGACGAACTCCGTCACTATTGGCTCCGCAGGTAGCAAACTAGCTCATGCACAGGCAGAGCTACAGGCATGCGAGAGCCATCTTGCGGAGAAGGAGCGAGAGCTCGCGGTCAGACGAATTAGCGTTGTCCGAGAAGCTCTCGGAGCACGTTGTCGTGCACTCGTAGATTGTGGATGGGTGTGGGGCGAGATGGGTAAACAAGGTCTTCGTACGCTCCAGTCCCTTAGTGGCGGCTTATCCGAGTCCCGTGGTATGTTCTACGATTGATCCTTCCTACCGTTATGCATATATGCGCATGCTAACGAGCAATTATGGTTTGGCTGCAGACCCCGGAATCTCATTCTCTAGAACCCATTCCCTGTCGCCCCCACATTCGGCTGGGTACCAAAGACTCGATCCATCTTCTGCGAATAATGCCCCTCAAGTGCCCATCTCCTACGCCTCTGACCTGTCGTCCCTCACACCCTCGCAAAGCGCCTCTCAACGTGCCAGCACTTCTGTAGAACGTGGCCAGGACGAACGTACTACACACGATCATCGGACCGAATCGTCTCCCACACCCCCAAAAGCGGCAGAAGAAGAAATCTTTTATCAAGGTCACGTAGTGGTCTCTATCCCCCCTGCTCACGCTATCTCAGAACTTGACCTACCCACCGGCGTACCAATTCCGAAGCCAGCATCGCCCACACCAGCATCAACATCCGCAGTTTCGGCATCGCAATCTTCTACTTCTAATAGTCATGTCACTGGGACGGGTCTGCGCTATACCCGGAGCAGACAACGCCGACCTATATCGAGGCACATCTCTGAAGCTTCTGACGAAGATGTACAGGAAGATCGAAGCGCCGGTGTCCCTCCCAACGTTCCCCTTCCCGTGTCCGGCCCTTCTAGAACCGGTTCGGATACAAATATCCCGAATCCAGTCGTCATGCGGAGAAGCAACAGTAGCGATGAGTTCCCTCATGGTCCCCTCGAAGTCGTCGAAAACGATCCATTCGCGAGCGTCCGATCTAAGTCGTTACGTCCTCTTCCAACGACAGGTGATGACAGGGACCAGACGCCCAGTCCGGAGTTGAGAAGGGGAAAACTCCGCGAACGTAAAACTTCCGTGACGTTCCTCAGTTCGTTACGTGGCTTGTTCTCGCATCGTGCACGGACCAAGGGAGCGGGTGGGCCCGCTGCAGTATGGGAGGGACCTTTGACGGCTGAACCTACTTCATTCAAATCTACGGGTGGCTGGTCTACCCGCATAGATGGACATCTACGGAATGGGCGCAATAGCACGGATTCGGAGGCGGGTCCCAAACCGGGCATCAGACAATCCTTATCCGGGGTCTCGCCGAAGTCGAAGTTGCGCAAAGTCCGTGGGCAATCGATGGTTAAATCGTCCAGTAGCCCGGGAAGTCCGCGTGTGCATGCAGGTAATGCGAATGGGTGGGTAACGGACGGCGAGAGTGCACGAGGAATGGTGAGGGGGAGAAGCAAACGCCGGAAAAAGTCTATTGCGGCGTTGAAGGGACCTGATGGTGGTTTTACGGACGGAGAGGTGGACAACGACACCGACCAGGGGATGCATCGCAATCGTTCACACTCGGTTCAGACAGAGAGGCCATACGTTCCTCCTGCAGGTGATGCTGCCACTTCCAAACGTACCAGACGCGCTACAACCGATTTTGCTGACGCGAATTCCGTAGCGTTAAGCGGGAGCTCGCTCGATGCCAATGCACGAACTCCTCGCCCAGGTCGTTTGTCCGCTGGGCCACCCGGAAGCTCAAGTGCGCTGGCAGAGTCTCCCTCAAGCCCATCCAGCCAGAAGGTTTCCGCTCAAGTTCAAGCACATCCTTCCTCGCTTACTCCAGGAGCTTCATCGCCAGGGCGCCGAGGTGCGAAATCGGGTACACTCCATACTCCTAACGGAAGTGCGGACCAGAGTTTGATGAGCATCGTTGAAGACGTCGCGCGTCAGAACAGGGAAAGAAACATCGCGTCCGCTCTAGCTACTCTGAATGGGCGTGCCAGCTCGTCAAACGGCAACTTGCCCGTGCTAGAAGTGCCCCGCGCGCCGCCGCCCCAAGCCCCACACACGCCCAGTACTACCACTCAACGCGGCCCTGCTCGTGAAGGGCTTGGCCAGCAGCCTCCAAATGGGAAGGCGCGGTCCCTAGATCTCCAGCGTCGTGGCTCGGTGACGTCGACCTCACGTGTCAATGCGGCTTCGACTTCCCCAAAAATGCGGAGTACCCCCTCGAGTGAAGTGAAGAGTGCTCCTCCTGCCGGCAGTGTTGTCAGTGGCAGTAGCGGCACCAATCCTAGTACGTCGTCACAGCTTGCGAAGACTCCGCTACGTTCTGCCTTGCGTAACGCGAGCCGTACGCCATCTCCGAATCCCGTGACGTTCACGACCCCCGCTATTCCCTTCCAGGGACAACCCGCATATGTTACCGAGGCTGATCAAGTAGGCAGACGTTCGCTGGAGCAGATACTCTCTGCGACACGGGGTTCCTCCGTACCTGACCTACGTGATTCGATGTCCATCTCCTCATACGAAACTGGACGTGAGAGCCCAATAGGTTCACCGTCGTCACCATCACCTGTACCATTACCTCCACTGTCCCCGGCACCACAGCCCCACCTCTCATTGCAGGCCCCGCCTCTCTTGCACGACCAGGATTCTCGAGACCAGGGCGGTGCTTCATCGACCGTGTCAACAGAGACCCCGCCAGCGGTCCGCCGCAAGAGCGTGCGCATGTCTTTGCATCCGACATTCTCACCTCCCCCTCCTTCTGCAGCCTATGATCAATTTGACGAGGACGAGGCAGAAGCTACGTGGTCAGATCGACCTCGACCTGTAGAAGGTTGGAAGACTAGGGCTGCGTTGCATGCCGCTGCTGCTGCTTCTCCCATTGATGTGTGGCAAGACTCGAGCGAGGAGGATGAGGAGTATAGTCGTGCGCGACGACTTCTTAGCCGCGTTGCTAAGGGCAAGGGCAAGGGCAAGGTTTGAAGTTTTCCCCATTCTCGTCGCTATATATTTTAAAAAACCTTTGTGTATTACGCTCTATTCCTCCGTCATCATCCTTGTATTCTCCTCTCCCTCTCTTATCCACGGTTTGGAGATACGAAGTTATTCGTTATTCTATGGTTTCCTTCTGGTGCTTTCTTTTTCGTCTTCGTCTTCGTCTTCATCTTCGTCCTGGTTTTCGTTCGTTCTTCATGGGCACTGTGTTTTGTGTGCGTCGTTCGTTCAGGCAAGCAGTGCAGTCTAATACTTGCCTCCCTTGCCTTCCTCCCCCCCCCCCCCCCCTTTTTTTTTTACAGAAGTTATTTATCTGCGCGCTACTGTGCTGGGCAATGCAATGTGCTTTTTCTAATCTGGCAATGCAGTAATGGGTGGAGTTGTGCCCCTTCTGTAAGAAGAACTGACTTGGAGAGGGCTAGTTTCCAGTCCCTGGGGCTTGAGTACATATATACTGATTACCTGGAGTCAGGTGGGCAGTGTGCTTTCAGCCTCTTGCTGCTCGTGGAAGATCCCCTGTCTTCAAGCACTGCCACCACTACATATGTACATCAATATTGCCTCACGTTTCTGCACATCGTGCTACATTCCCATTGCTCCGTTTCAAATCTTGTATGGTTGCACCCGCAAGTCGCTTGGCCGACGTATATTCTTCACTCACGTTCTTGTAAATTGGCAAGCGCCTTTCTAACCTTTGTCTCAATCTTTGTCTTCTGACCCGTTTCATTACCAGCGTGCTTTGAAAACTTTGTTCAAACTTCAAAAACTGTCTGGCCAGTGTGCGCCTACTAATTTAACATAACTGCGTCGTCATGGAACTATTCTCTCCTGGGCGGTGTGCCAACCAGATTCGCGCATAATTGCCCGAGTTTTACTTACGCAATGTGAAGCTCTGGGTCTGGCTACAATATAAATTTCGTTCCTGTCACTAGCCGTCGGCGTCACCCGACTCGACTAAGTTGAACTACTGAACGTACATGTGCACTCTCACCTCCTTGATTTTATCCAAACAGGCATGAGCGGAAACAGCATAAAGGAACGTAAACCCACACCATGGCCCGGGCGTGCAAGGTTAAGGTTCAGTTCGACGAGCAAAATGCATGGCACCGAGGTAGGCGGTGAAGAGCGTTACGGAGTGTCCTGGATCTCTATGTCCTCACCTACTAAATAGGATGTGAACCCACCACCTGCATGTAATGCCTGCCGCGAAGGTGGCAGGATCTGCATAGCCACTACAGCCGCAGGTAACAGAATTCGGCCCTGTGATCAGTGTCGCCGCCGCCACAAGAAATGTATCTTTGAGGAAACCGAAGCAGATCAGGGACCTGCTAATTCCGGGAAGAGACGGCAATGCATAGACGGTGGGAGTTCAGATGATCCAAAGGGAAAACGGCCTCGGAGGCAATCCAGCGACTCGGAGGAGACCGATATTCAGGACGGACGGTGGGTGGGAGAGGCGCACAGCAGCTCTTCACATATCATTCCATATGTCAAGAAAGAAATGGACAAAGCAGTTGCGAACGAGGTCGCGCATTTGGAGGCCATACCCATCACACCTGCTGTCAAGGAAGCGGCTGAGAAAGCAGTCCGGAATGAGGATAGGGGGAACGTGCGGGATGCAGATGCGGACAGGCTCGCGCGTGTGGAGACCACATTGCAGGAGCTGACGGAGACAATGACGCGGACCATGACAGCTGTTGCGGAGGAGCGGCGTGATCGCGCGGTGTGCGACCGCACGGCCTCGGAAACGATAAACATAATCTCGAAGGTTATGTTAAAGATTGTTGATTCCGGAACCCTGCCATCTGGTTGCAAATCAGAAATTTAAGAGGTGAGTCAGGCAGTTGTAAATCGGTTCTCTTTGCAGCTTATCGAGGTGCCTACGTGGAATGTAGACACCAATCCCAAGTCACACAATGGAGCCGTTTCGTTCAATGGAGGTATTCAATTATAGATGGCTGAATCATGCACATCCTAGTGTCGCGCGTGTAATAAAGTTATCTGAAGTACGAAAGTCAGGCCGGGATCCCCGATTGTCTTTCATTCTACACCCGGGCGGAAGTTGTAGTTTTCCCCTGTCTCCAAGTACTGCCATCAAGAATCCGTCCTGCATGTCTTCAGCGCTTGTGTGCGGCCAGTACATCGTGTTACACTGGAGTACTGGCATCCCTTTGGTGTACCCACTCCATTTCAATTCTCGTACGATTGCCATCTGCTACTCACTTGGTTTTGAACATATACTTGTCATTCACGTTCAAGCCCGCTCCTGAAGCACAGTGATTCATGGCCCCTGTATTATTGTTGGTAATGCTCTAACACGGACCAAAACGAAGTGCCGGATATCTATTTTGGCATGCCATCCTGTTTCATTGGTAGGTCACATCTGCTAGTTTGCTGGCTAATTATACTCATCACTCGTATTCTTGACAAGCCCTCTCGTTACATCTGTCGACTCCGTCTTGTGCGCCACTTGAATCACCTATTTGATAGTAATAGCCTGCGTCCTAAGCAAGTCCAACTGGCCGCAATTATACAGTAACATGGTTTCATTTACTATAATTGTCATCATCCGACTTAACTGACACCGTCCTCCTTCACCTTGATTCTCCGGGACGATATGATCGATCGCATGATACAGAGCGGCCGGTTGATGGGCGGAACGAATGTCACAATGGTATGTGCCAAAGAGCGGCGTCCGGTACGTTTGGATCACTTACATCTCACCTTGGTACGACGATAGGCCCCATCATCCAAGGAGTCATTACCAAAACGCCCTCATCTTCTTGTTCCCGCATGTTATGCATGCCACAAAAAGAAGAAAAGCTGTGTAGTCACCGCAAATGCGGGTAATAGAAACCGGTCCTGTAATCACTGTCGTCGTCTTCATATCAAGTGCATCGCTGATGAGGCAGAGGCGAGTGTTAGCAATGGAAAGAAACGGCGACACACCGATGATGGGGTGGATGAGGTGAGGAAAAAGCAATCTCTGGGGCGTTCCGGCGATGTAGTCAGGATTCAGGGTGCGGAGAAAGGTACTCAAAAAGGACGGGTCAAGGTTGAGGATCGAAGAGACGTACTGGAGGTGGCGGATGTGGACAAATCCACACGTTTGGAGACAACATTGCAGGAATTGACGCAGGTGATAACGCGGAATATGACAGTCATCTCGGAGGAGCGGCGTGAGCGTGCGGAGTGTGACCGCAAGACCTCGGAAACAATGAACATGATGTTGAAGGTGATGTGCAAGATTATCGACGCAAGTCCCTTGCCATCCGGTTCTGAAGACACTTAAGAAGTAAGTAGGACAGTTGTAAATCAGATCCCTTGCAGCTTATTGAGGCGCCGGCGTTGGGATGCAGGCACCGATCCCAAGTTGTACAAATTTCTTCTTGCGAAGAGGTTGCAAAAAAACAAAACAACAGAAGGGAACCACTTCGTCCAATGGAGGAGTTTGATTATTGGCACGGTGTCCAAAAAGCATATGTCAAGTACTAAAAACAAAAATACAACTATTGGCAGCGACGATACTGATACACATGCAATCTCGATCCTCCAACCTCTGCAAATATTCGTTAGCGACCGAGAAAGATGATTTAGAATATTGAAAATCTTACGTTCTACCATAACGTCGATTGTGTCTGTTATGATAGGGGTCATTTCGGAGTCCCAAAATTCGAAAGAGATAACGCTCTCACCGTTGTCTTCCATGTCCAGGCTGGCTGGCGTATCATCTTCGTTTATCCTGCTACCATCGTACAGGAAACTACACGGTTTGACATCAGTCCGATGCCGAAGAAACCGAACACAAAACAAAAGTAGAACAAAAAGAAAGGAAATCTGGAGTACCTGCATCCTCACAGATGGCCGATGTACGCTGATGGTATATCGTGAAGGAAACAGCGAACTTACCGGATACTAGCCACATCCTTGCCTACTTTATTTGCATAGGCGCCTTGCAGTTTGCTCAATTTCGTGTTACGCTTGATTTTGAAGAAGACTTCGTCTCCCGTAGAGCTAACAACCTACAAATCGCATGAGAGAGAGTCCAAGGGAATGTCAAACGCACGCGATATTTTTATGTAATGTAAGAGGGGTGTGGCTTCACCAGAGTACACTCCGTACCTTCACGTTGATGGGGGAATTGTCACCCTCTGGCTTGACCTCTGATTGAGCTTGAGACTGAGTCGGGGGAATATCTTCCGCCATGGTTGGTTTTACGTGGATCAGGGATAAAGACAGACGATTGACGTGTTAGAAGGCAGCTCGGGGACAGAAAAACTGCTCAAGCTATTAGCAAAATAAGGCGACGGAGACGTTCTTCGATATCTGAAGCTGGGGTATGGCGATGTTTGTGCTCGATTACATAATCAGTCACTAGTGGCCAGGAAAGATGATCACCTTTCTGGGCGGTGTATTCTGATGCCATCAGCGAGCGCCAATAACTCCAGATTGGAAGACTTGCAGGGGGGGCGAAGATAAACGACTAACGCAAGACACACAAAAAAACATCCCAATAAAGGTCATGGCAAGTCGTAAATCGCGTAGGTGGTAGGGGGTAGGTAGAACAACAGTATAAACGGGTTAGTATGATTAGAAAAAAGGTATCGCACGCAGACGTCTCTGGGGTTGAATGAAATACGGATCCAGGTGATGAGTAGATTATGAAGGGGGTGCTGAATGCAGGATATGTGAATGGTAATAACGGTACCAGTAGAAATGCAGGGTGTAGACACGTCTTGGGTGAATGTGTAGGAATGAAAGAAGGGATGAAGAAAGATGTGCCTTGTAAAATACGTGCTGATACGGTTCAATAGTGAACGCATGGCCCACCAACAATGATACAGATCAAGAAGCATCAGCGGTGACCAGAGGGGAAAAAACAGCCGAAGGACATGTACAGAGCTGTCATCGATGAGGCCGGATGAAACCTCAGTCATATTCTTCAATTTGTGGCTTGTCCACCATGGTTTCTGGCCAGCTGGGTGCCTGGTCACTGATCACAGTACCTGCCAGTGTCGTCGGAGCCGTAACGAAAGACTGGGCTGCTGTGCTGATATCTGGTCGGCTCTCGCCTCTTCCGGCTGGAATAGCGATTCCACTCCTCTCCCCACTATGTTCCCGTGGGCCAGCGTCAGGGCGAGCAGTGAATGCCGAAGTCGTGGCTATTGATGGCGTAGAAGATGCTGGCCGCAGTCGACTCGATGACAGTGGCCTGTGCATTGGCAAACGAATTGGCTGACCAAACGTATACTCTCCAGTGGCGCTCCGCGCGCTGCCCGAACCACTTCCGGCACTTCCGGAATGCGAACGAGAGTCCGAAATGTGTCCAGGATCTTCCTCAAGACGTGCCATCGAACTTGTCCGTGATCGTATGGCTTGCACGACATCGAGTGAGGACCGAGATGCAGCACTCAAGCTCTGAATGAGAGACTGTGTCCGTGACCGCACAGCCGAGCCCGCACGCGAGCGTGATGACGCTGAACGGGACTGAGAATCCGATTGTGAAGAGTGCGAATTAGAACGTGAGTCACGGCGACCCCGTCTCCGTCTAGCTGCTGATGTTGGATGACCTAGGGACTGCGGGGCATAACGCCGAGTAGACCAACACTGTCTTCGCCTTCTGCAGCCTCATGGGGACCTTCAGGTTCAGGTTGCTCCATCATCTTGGGGTTCAGGCTTCCTCTTCCTCTTCGTCATCTTGGTCGTCATATTGCTCGCTCATGAAAGACTCGTAACCACTCCCCAAATTATCGGTGTTCTGGCTGTCCGTGCGCAAGCGAGTGAGGACACGACCGGAGGATATAACAGGGGAAGGCGACGTAGGGTACAGGTACGACGTGGGCACCGTCCCAGCGCGAGCACGTCCTCTACCAGGTTGAGGGTGCCGTGGAGGCATGGGTATCGGACTACCACTTGCGTGTCCGGAGGCTGGACTCGACATGACAGAACTGCCGACCCCGTGCGACATTGGGGATTCAGAGGACGTCTCTTGGTTACCTGTTGAACGGGTAGACTGGGAATGCGAGGACCGTGTATTCGACGACGGCATCTCATCAGATTGCGGGGTGGAACGGGTTGCAGGGCCAGAGGACACGGATCCTCCGCGACCGTGAGGCCGACGGAACTGGAACGGATACCGAGACATGATCGGCTGACCAAGACTCGACAAAGAACCAGAGGTGCGCGGCTGTGCGTCGCTGCCCTCCCCCACCTCACCTACGTCTTCCTCTTCCTCATCTTCCTCACCCTCCTCTTCCTCTGCATCCTCTTCGCTTTCCGCTTCATCCATCATCGTCTACCTGTTCAGGTGTCGACTGCTGACGGCCGGCACTACTGGAAGTCGGTGAGCGGCGTTTCTCCTTTCTTGACCCTGGTGAAGGCGGGAAGGGAATCTGATCCTTCGGTGAGGCTTGCGCTCCATAGCCCGTAAATGGATAAGGTAGCTTCATTAATGGTGCTGAAGGACCCGCAACGGGCCGCTCTGTCGACGACTTTCTGACGACCTTCGGAATGATGTCGGACAGTTCCGGTGGGGGTGTGGGGGCCATCCCAATTCCTCCTTTCTTTGGTTCAAAGAAGTCACCGGAGATTGGCGCACGTCGTGCAGGTGTCGGGGCCGACGGCAAGCCAATAGCTGCCAACACTTGTTCCACATCGAATGCTGGGGTGGTGGAGACGCCCAACATCCCTTCATCCCCGCCTTCTTCCTTCTTGGAGATATTCCACCGAGCGGGACGGTTTCACGGTAAGACAGAAGTTGTACGCCTCTTGGATACGTAGCCTCGTACACATTCTCCAAACCCAGGGTAAGGCATCGCCATCGGAGACACTATCACTGATTGTTGACATGGTCTTTTCGTGTTCTTCCTCCTCCCATCGGTAACGCGGTCCACAGATTCCTGCGCAGCCCTGGCCACTCAGGATCCACAGGCCGGTCCTTAAGATAACTTTAAAGACTAACCAATAGACAAGTGCACGCAACATACCAGCTGATAATCAAGACGAGAATACGCCAAGCTGTCCAAGCAGCGTTGGCGATAAGGACGCCGCGGGCGTAACTTGTCAGCGTTCCATCTGACGCGCGGAAGAAAGTCCTATCTCGAGGACTGAAGCCAGCTTCGGCCATAGCGACATATTCGGGATTTGGGTACGAGAACACGAATAGCAAGGTAAGGACAAGACCAGCTCGTGGCAGGAGGAGTGCAACGGTAGGTAAGTTTTGGGAGTAGAACCAAAACGTTTCCGCAAGACCGTCGCGAAGACTGCCGTTTTCACCGAAAAAGGCAGAGAAACGAATGTACTGCATGAAGCAGAAGTTGGTGTATGAGGTCATGCTGACGAAATTGAAACCGGACGAGGAAAGGTAAAGTGGGACGATAAGCGGACGCCCTGATGAACTGTCTTGAAAATGGGGAACTCCAAGGCATCGAACTGTACTTACTGACACGCCAACGACGGTAGAAGGAGTAGACGAGCTCATATAGCACAAAAACGACCATAATCCAAACCAGCCAGCAAGCTATGTACGCTGCTGCACCAAGGGCCCAATTCTTGCCAGAGCCTGACACGCCGGGTGCTACTGGATTTGGGTACTTCGCTACTCTGTGGGACTCCATCAGCAACGAGAGGTGAACATGGCGGCATCGCACTTACTGCAACAACATATATACAGCATTGAAGTCAAAAAATGTTTGAAGCGGCAAGTGGTAGAAAGCGAGGAGAGGAAGTAGATAGAAGTAAATCCGACCGAAGATAGATGGGTTCCGTAGCAGTTCCGGATGGAGGCCGACGGAGCGAAACCTGGGACGAGGTATACGACCATGTGCATCAACGGCAGCAGATACGAGAGTTGGATCCAGCCCAGCAGTGGTGGCGCGAGACCAAACGCGAGCTTGGCGGGAGTTGCTCGCGCGCGCTCGATCTGCAGGCTCGCTGCGGTCCCGACCGGTCTGGGGGGCATCCTGAAGGCTTACTACACGAATTGAGCGTGGAGTAGGCTTGCGACCACCAGCAAAAGGCTCGGTAGGGGTCAACCCTGTTTCAGGCATTCCGATGGATGAGTGAAGCGTCGAACCGGGGTCTGGTGGGGGTGGCCTCGTGGGAAGCCAGGATGGGTAAGCCCTCTGACCCCTCCGACATCCTTGTGGGCTCGGGCGACGATGGATGTTCGAAAATATACCCGCGCTGGCCTGTCGGGGAGTACTCGCCCTGGGCAGAACCTCCGCCGCTCAACGGTGAACCGGAAGAAGAGCTGGGCTGCAGTCGTGACATTTCGTTAATAAAAGGAAACTAGCATGCAAGAGAGTGGTAAATAAGCGGGCGCCGAAGACGTGAACGAAGATACGAATTTTTCGGTTTTCTCGTGGCGTCGAGATAACTGAGCGCCTCTCCACGACGACGAGGGCTGGTCAAGATAACAAGACAAAGGAAAATATCCGGAAGCGTCTGCCTCGTGTATCGCAATGAGCCAGCCTCGTGTTTTTCACTTCCTGACAGACAGAAAGATTTTTGTGCGGGGGGAGGAGAAAAAAGAAAGCCGGCGCTCAGTCGCATCAAAACACGCGTCCGCCCTGAAAAACCTCAACCACCTGGCTGCCAAATTAGGAAACAAGACTAGAATTCCATCCGCTTACCATAAGACGTTTTTCCACAGGATAAGGGGAGATGACAAGACGAGTGCAGCTGCCTGAGCTAGTCGAAAAGAGCGGGGTGGGGGCAGAATAACAGCTCAGAGGAATCTTATCTTTCGTGCGACCATGGTTACTATTATCGTGAGTACAGGCAACAAGAATCAAGGAAAGTACGTGTTTATTCTTCCTTCGAACTCTAAATAACTGACCACGCGGTCGGGCACCATCAAAATATCAACGTAAAGGACCCTTGTCGAGATCATATCAGTCCCGCGGGGCAATCTGGTTCCCCTTGCCGCCCCAACACCCCTTAGAACTAAATGTTCCGGAGAGCTCGGTGCGTCCCCCTCTCTGGCTACCGGTGGTGGCTGCTTCCAAAGAAAAACGCGGGATACGAGGAGGAAGGAGTCCCGACTTTGCGGGTAAGTTACGCCATCCGCTCAACTTTTACTAAACACCCTTCTTTGCGACCATATATTCACGGTTGATCATGCGCTACTACTCTTCTGAAACTTTGCGAGCCGAATTCGACGGCGATAACCACCGATCCACTACGAGATCACGCCTTGTCGGGATAATCACAAGACATTCTGTGCCTCTAATTAAAACAGTGAAATCAGAAAAACGATTGAGAAAACAATTAAAAATCGGAATATTTCTCATACGCTCTCAAATTAGACCGCCGTCAACGAAACCGGTCATAGAGCGGGAGGTCCGTCGGTCGGGCGTCGGGAGAGATGAAAAAGGATTACAGATGCACAGAAAGCGGACCGCAGAAATGAACATTCCTTACCTCCCACGCGCACCGACTCCGCCGTCTTACGACCACCGATCTCGACGAACCCGCCTCCCCTGGAGACCTACGAAACAAATATATTGCGACCGGTATGAACTTCGACCGTGAATCAATCCCCAGTGGGACATATGTAGAACAATTTGAAACCGGTTTGACAGCAGGGCAAGCAGCTGGGATGTACAAGTACGGGCTAGTACACTTTGGAATAATTAACTCACCCCAAATATGCAGCTGCTAAGGGACGCTGTCGTCAGGCAAAGAAGTGTTTCCACCTGTCTGAATGCATGCAGTTATGCAGAGGATGGGTTTCCGATTTCAAATTCAAGATAGCCTGGGAGCCGACTTGGATTGCAAGGTCGAGAGGGCACCCTGTCTATTGTGCTGAGTTCCTTTGTAGTCGAACTCGGGACTATCGTCAAGGATTCAGGTCGAACACAACTAGAAGGAGTGAATAAAAGACGAAGGAAAAGTCGTGTCAACCAAAATAGGGCAGACTCGATATATTGGTGCGGAAACATGGCGCAAGGCTGCAGGCGAGCTTCATATCACACGAAGATGAGCGTAGAGTACGGTGAACCACGTGATATTACACATATTACGTAACCAACAACCTTCCAGCTGGCGAAGGCTGTTAGACGGAAGACAGTCATTCCCTCTCGACTTCCTGCGCCCAGGGGTACGTGTGATGGCCTCTAATTATTGATGTAAAATTGAACCTGGAAATTCCCCTTGGGAAGATGAAGTTATTAAACGTAGAAGCTGTTCTCGCCCGGGATAAGGGCATCGCATACGCCAGGCCCGAAATCATAACGGAGCTCGATGATCAGACTACAAGATACGCCATACTTTCACATCGCTGGGGAGCCGAGGTCAGTTACGAAGAGATGATTGGGTTGATGAAGATGGAGGAACACGAGAGGGAAGAAATCAGGCAGCGCCAGGGCTATCGGAAGATCATTAAGAGTTGCGAGCAAGCCCTGAAAGATGGCTACAAATGGCTGTGGAACGATACGTGTTGCATTGACAAGAGGAGCAGCTCAGAATTATCGGAGGCCATTGACTCGATGTTTCGATGGTACCGGAATGCTCAGGTGTGCTATACATACCTCCACGACCTTGACAGGCCAACCTTGCCTCGTGGACGACATCTTAGCAAATTCAGCCGGTCCAATGGTTGGCCAGAGTGGTTTATACGGGGCTGGACACTCCAGGAACTCATCGCACCGAAGCACCTTGAATTCTTCGACAAGGACTGGAGGTATATTGGCAACAAACGACGACTTGCACCCATGTTGGAGAGAATTACAAGAATTCCGCGTGAAGTTTTGAAAGACGGCATGGCCGCAAAACGTCTTAGTGTCGGCCAAATTATGTCGTGGGCAGCCGACCGGAAAACGACGCGAGTAGAGGATCGAGCGTACTCGTTGTTGGGCTTATTTGGCGTGAATATGCCGATGCTGTACGGGGAAGGGAAGAAAGCATTCCAAAGGCTACAGCTGGAAATCATTCGCGTATCGAACGATCACAGCATATTCGCATGGAAACCACACTCGGAGGCACGACCGGGCAGTGTCCTAGCAGACGATCCGAGTGACTTTTGGAATTGTAGTCGCGCCAGGAAGGTCGAATCTGACGAGTTCGCCAACAAACTAGTGAAGTACGTGGGCAATGTTCATCTGGGCAGCCCGCGGTCCATTTTCGGGACCAACAAAGGGGCTCATCGGCGCAAACTTGCGGCACTGCGTGACACCGCGCTCAGCCATCAGCATTGCACATTCTCTGTTAGCAACGCGGGCATCCAGGTGTGGTTACCAATCTTACCCTCTCGCGAGTCTCCGTGTCACTTCGAGGCTATATTGGCATGCACATACTCTGATCAGGATCTGGTCACCATCGACTTGGTATCTTCTGGGTCCAGTTTTGAAAGGTCCTTCCGCATTACTCGTACCCGCAAGACGTATCCAGAGTTCAAGACGCTCTATTTCGCTCATTACCAAGATGTTAATGAGATGCACCGTGATTTTGCACTCGATGATAGGAACACTTCACATTGTGGTTTCGCCCGCTGCGGCACCTTCCCGCGCGAGTTCACGGGCGACTCTGTCACACTTACGTCCCTCACAGATGATCTCATAGTCATAGTCTATGCCAATGGTGATATCAGATCTCGCTTTGCGGTTGGCCTCGGATACTACCTGGGCAAAGGATGGGTGCACGTCATTCACGATGAACCCACTGCAACTAAAGAGATGAACTGGGCACCATGGTCTGATTTCGCCAAAGAGGCGTGTCAACGAATGTGGAATGTGCGTGCAGAACTTGCTCAGGCTATGCCCACGTACTCTGGAGCAGACAACAAAGAGCACCACTGCGACACCTTCATCAAGCGTGCCCACCTACCCCGATCAATCTGGGACGCAAGGGTAGTATGGGGTAGGTGGGACACAGACAACTTCAATGTCATGGTTGATGTCGAGCAATGCCCTGGTTGTTGTAGTGGCCCGTGTGAGTGGGCGGAAACATCTGTTGGTGCTTTCCGTCTTGTATGCATACGGATCTAACGATACATATTATCATAGAACGATGGAGATGGTCTTGATATGCCAGGGCTGATGCAAACAGTGTGTCACTCATACCAATTGGTACTGGACGGGTGGCCAGTACAGCTTGAAGAATGCTCTAGTCCCCAGACTATGGTGCGTCATGACATGCATCCCCATATCTGTCCTGAGGTCGATATAAACAGCTGGGTGATTATGGCAGCTATTCCAATGATGATTTTACACGTGATGGAAATATATTTGAAGATATGCAGGCAATTGGCATTGACTCTACAGATTTAGCTTATCTCCCGGTGGCCCCTTGTGTGTCCAGCATCGAGCACTGTTGGCCTAATTTACAGGATCGAGATGACATTGTCATGGTATATCATGATGGAAAAAAACACCTGGCGCTGCATCAACCGAAAGGCCTCTCTCTTCCCGCCAACGATCGTTTCGTGCTGCTATTGAAGGCTTTATCTACTCGTCTTGCCGGAAAATGTTTGGTGACGTCAGTCGTACAATGCTCAGATGTCTATGGGGTTGATGATGAGGGAGAACGAAGGGATCTGGGAGGTGGTGAGCTTTCCGCGAACGATCGCGTCCTGCCCACCTTTTGACCTTGAGTCTTAGACTCGGTATCGGACAGCGTCAATCACTCAACAGAACCAATGACTTTCACTCCGTTATGCACGATCGCAAGTCCACAAGTTTGGCGAAGAGGGCCAGCTTGTCCAGAGAGGAGGGAACGGCTCAAATGTATTCGGTAAGTCCAATGTGGATTACTTTGCCTGGTATTACTGATGTTCTGTTTGGGAGTGTAGGGAACACTTTTTCGCCCTGGTGAATCTGGTAACTAGTTATATTATGCTTAGGGTTTGTATGTGCTGATCACATTATTCGTAGCGGACTGAAGCTCGTCACAAGCCTGTGGTGCGTTAGGGCAGCTATCCGAAACTAGTGGACACTCACCTACGATGGCAACAGAATAGACAGGAGAAAGACACAGCTATCAAGTTCTTTTCAGCCATTTTCGGTCTCGAGTACCTGAGAAATTATGTGCGTATCATTTAACCTTTGAATATCTCATCGGTTCGTGTTATGTTCACAAACTCAAAATGCAGGTCGGCGAGATAACATTCTTCAAAAGGCTCCCCTCGATGATGAAAACCGAGTTACGCAGTGAGGTTTCCATAGGCAACATGCAGGATCAGCCTGTCACACTAAGTACGTTCTTCCACAAACTTAGATGAAGCTTTAATAGATGGTCTGCTAGCACCCCAATCGACATTGTCGTTCACCAGTTGGACAATGACACGTAATGCATTCAAGGGCAGGCGCCAATCTGAGGCTGGGCAGGACCCGCGTCTCGAAGCAGTATTACCTCTTCTTCACAAGCGGTGCCAAGTTTTTGATGTACCAGGTGGTGCATTCCCTCCGAATGAGAAACAAAAAGTGGAGTGCGAAGTCAAGTCCATATCCCAAGTTCTGAGTGTTAGCGTCAGTGTTACCATCGACTAAATGAAACTCGGGCTGACTTTAGTCACCAAAAGCTACTCAGACATATCAATTTTGCTTTCAGCGGTGCATACGTTGCTGATGAAGACTCGTGAGTGCCTTTTCCATCTGGAGTTTTTTCTCTTTCTATCATCCATTGTGTTCTGGTTCCAGACTACCAGCAAAGCGTCCTGATTATGACAGGTTAGCACCATGCCTACTAACGTGTAGTAGTCCACCCTCTAACTATCATACGTGCAGGCTGACCAATACTTGCACCGTAGTGGAAGAGATAAGGGTACTGCAAATGAAACTCAGTGCAACAGAGGATGATGATGAACAGCGAGCACTAGAGGAGGACATCACAGGAAAGGTATATGGACATTATTGAGTTGTTACCTTCTGAAGCTCATGGCCTGTTCGTTACCAGATACTGTGGCTTTTTTGGTGTGGGATCTGCACAGAAGCGGAACAACTGTTACCAGAGGTATGCCAGCGTTATCATCTCTATAGTTTTCATTTGACAGGGTTCAGGTTGCGAGTTATATCCGGCGAGAAGGAAATATGAAGGTAGGTATCACGACACACTTGCATGTCATTGTAACCGCTATCATCAGGGTTTACGGATGCTTCAGTTCCTCATTATTGCTCGGAAAGAGTACGTAGAGCTGGACGATGATCAAGCCAACATGCAACGGTAGGCATTATTGTTCCGTGATATAAGCTACTGAATACACTTGGCACAGGATCATGCTCGATGCAGGAGCAGGCACCTCAAAACACCAATTATTGCTTGCTGCGAGGGCTGCAGAGCAAATCAAGTGGCCGGGTACAACTTGTTTCGAGAGATATCCCAGGCCTCGATACTCAAGGTACCATCCCTGTTGTAGATTCTCAAATACCTTCCCCATCAGTGCTTTAGCAAGTGTGGGTATTGCCAGGTAGGTCCTCGACTTCGTTGGATAAATTCAACCCGTCGATAATGATACCGGTGTAACTGTAGAGTTTACCGATGTTTCTCTGACCCTGAGGTGCCCGATCAACCTGCCGGTAAAGGGGTCGCAAAAGCATTCCGTACTCTACTTACCAATGGCTGCTCGTCCTGTATCAGGATATTTTTTCTTCGCATTTCCTCGATGTAGTCTCCTTGGAGTCAGAGCTGATAAAAGAGCCCTTCAAAAGACTCGTGTTGATCACACCATCGGATGCTGGGTCGAAAGCGGTCATCGCGCAAAGCGTAAGTGCCGACATACATGCTACTCGAGAAGAAACCTCTGTAAGTCTCTTCTACGAGACAATCCGGATGAGCAGGATAGCAGTCCGCCTCAAGGGCAATGACGAACATCAGCATACTAACCAGAGATTCGAATGCAGAAAGGCGCAGGAGTGTGCGCACACGCACACATAGTAGATTCATTTTAAGATAACTCCGTGGATCTCTATTTTGGATTGGAGAATGCAAAGCGGCTGTAAGTGAGGAGTTGCGTACTTTAGCGATCGATTCGACGACTAGACTGTGCTGCAATACATAGAATATACGACGATAACCTCGGGAGAGAGGGGTTGCCCATGATTTTGATTTTGGCACTCCAATCATGGTCGTAAATTACATAAATTTTGTCACGTTGCCGAATAGCCCTCGGGCCATGGGACCACGACAAAGGCATCAGGCCGTGTCTTCCATTTGCTCTTCGCCCCACACTGGATGCTAGCTGCCTAAAGATTCACATTGTAGGCTCAGGACCTCTGAGGAGTATGTGCAGCGACTAGTAATTATCGATACTGAGCTTTACATTGATCTTCTAGTAAGATGAAGTTTTTGAACGTAGAAGTCGTTCTCGAGTTAGAAAAGGGCGTCCCACGAGCTGGACTCAAAACCGAAGTCATGAAGGAGCTTGATGACCATACTACAAGATATGCCATAGTGTCACATCGCTGGGGGAGCGAGATCAGGTACGAAGAGATGGTTGGGCTCACGAAGATGGAGAAACACGAGTGGGAAGAAATTAGGCAGTGCGATGGCTTCCGGAAGATCATCAAGGGATGCGAACAGGCGATGAGGGATGGCTACGAGTGGTTGTGGATCGATACATGCTGCCTCGATAAGAGGAGCAGCTCGGAACTATCAGAAGCCATGAATTCGATGTATCGATGGTACCGGAACGCGCAAGTGTGCTATGCATACCTTCACGATGTTGACAAGCCAACCTTCCCCACCAAGCAAGATGATGGCAAGTTTCACAAGTCCAATGGTTGGCCAGAGTGGTTCATACGAGGCTGGACACTTCAGGAACTCATTGCACCGAAACGTCTCGAGTTCTTCGACAGGGACTGGACATACATTGGTAACAAACGACGGCTTGCACCCACGCTGGAGAGAATCACACAAATTCCACGCGAAGTTTTGAGGGGTGGTCTGGCTGCTAAGCGCCTCAGTGTTGCTCAAATCATGTCTTGGGCCGCCGACAGGAGGACGACACGAGTGGAGGATCGGGCATATTCGTTGATGGGGCTGTTTGGCGTGAATATGCCGATGTTGTATGGCGAGGGGGAGAAGGCATTTCAGCGACTACAGCTGGAAATAATTCGGGTGTCCAGCGATCACAGCATATTTGCATGGAGCCCGGCGATGCCACGCCCAGGCAGTGTGCTGGCCGAAGATCCCAGTGACTTTCGGCACTGTGGCCGCATCAGGAGGGTCGACTTTGACGAGTTTGCCGATAAACTCGTGAAGTACGTGGATGACAATCATCTGGACAGACCGCGGTCCATTCTCGGGACCAACAGAAGAGCACATCGACGTAAACTTGCGGCCCTGCGTGATACTGCGCTTAGCCAACAACATTGCACATTCTCTGTCAGCAATGCGGGTATCCAAGTGCAACCACCCATCCACCCCCTTCGCGACTCCCCATTCCACTTTAGGGCAATATTGGCGTGTAGCAGTACTGACGAAAACCTGGTTACCATCGATTTGGTATCATCTGGGTCTAGCTTTGATAGGACCTTTGCCACTACTGGCATTCCCAATGCATATCCAGAGTTCAGAACTCTCCATTTCGCGCATCATCAAGATGCCAATGAGATGCACCGCGATTTTGCACTTGACGACAAGAACACTTCACACTATGGTTTCACTCGCTGTGGCACCTTCCCGCGCCAATTCACAGGCGATGCCGTCTCACTCATGTCCTTTACAGATGATCTCATCATCATAGTCTATGCTAACGACAATGCAGGATCTCGCTTTGCAGTTGGCCTCGGATACTACCTTGGCCAGGGATGGGTGCATGTTACCCACGATGAACGCCTTGCAACTCAAGAGGTGAACTGGACACCATGGTCAGACTATGCCACAGAAGCATATCGACGAATGTGGAATGCACGCTCAGAACATGCACAGAGTATGCCCAAGTACCCTGGAGCAGACAAGCACCATTGTATCAACTTTGTCAAGCATGCCCATCTGCCCCGATCAATCTGGGCTGCAAAGGTGGTATGGGGTCGATGGGACACAGACAACTTCAAAGTGATGGTTGATGTCGTACAATGTCCTGGTTGCTGTGATGGTCCCCACCGATGGACGGCTACATCTGTTGGTAATTTTTGGCTCCTATGTGGGCGGACCTGACCATTTGTATTACATCAGAATGATGCGGATGGCCTTGATATGCCAGGGCTATTGAAGACACTTCCCCACGCATATCAGTTGGAGCTGGATGGATGGTTGGTGCGGCTCGGCAAGTTCTCTGGTCAACCTATTACAGTGCGTCATAATCGTGCATCTCCGTACTTGTCTTGAGGTTGATATAAACAGCTGGGTGATTATGGCAACTATTCCAATGGCAGTTTTAAACGTGATGGGAATATCTTTGAAGATATGGAGGCACTTGGCATCGATCTTACGCACTTAGCTTATCACCCAGTGGTCTCTAGCGTGTCCAGCATCCAACGTCGTTGGTGGTCTGATTTACGGTATCAGAATGATGTCGTGGCATGTCACGACAAGCACAAACACCTGGCTCTGCGTCAACCGAAGGGCCTCTCGCTTCCTGCCAACGATAATTTTGCGCTGCTGCTAAAAGCCTTTTCTTCTCGTCTTGCAGAGAAGCATTTGGTGGTGATAGTCATACAATGCTTAGATGTCTATTGGGTTGACGATAGAGGAAAGCGAAGAAATTCTGGAGGTGGTGAGCTTTCCGCAAATGTTCGTGTCCTAACCACAGTTTGATCCTGCCTGTCAGACTCCGCACCGGACGGCAGCAAACAATTCACGGTGCCGGGCACCCTAACCCCCTTATGCACCCTCGCGAACCCACAGGTTTGGCGACGAGAGTTAGCCTGTACGCAGAGAAGGAACCAGCTCAAAAGTATCCAGTGAGTACATTGCGGCCCTTTTCTGTCACTAACGTGATGTTTCAAAATTTAGGGAACACTTTTACTCCATAGCGAGCTTACATCAGCCCGCAGTGCGTTTGTCAACTATGTGCAATATACGGAAACCTTCTTACGATAGCAGCAGAGCAAACAGAAGAAGGATGTAGCGATTGAGTTCCTTTCGGACATGTTCGGTCTCAAGTACCTGAGGAATTACGTGCGTGTTTAGCCTTTCAATACCCTGTCCTGTTTATGCCCTCGAAATGCAGGTCGGAGAGATATCTTGGTTCGAGAGGCTCCCCTCGATGACAGAAACCGAGTTGCATAGCGAGGTTTCTGTAGGCACGACGGAAGGTCGGTCCGTCTCACCAGCAGCGTCAGAGGATGGTTTATTAGCACATCAACCGAATTTGTCGTTCGTCACTTGGGCGATAAGGCGTAACCCATTCAAGAGCAAGCACCAATCCAAGGCTAGACGGGACCCACGCCTTGAATCAGTGTTACCTATGTTGCGCAAGAAATGCCAGGCTCTTTGCACGGGGAATGGCGCGACACGTCGGTATGTCGACGAGATGCGAGAAACGGAGCGTGAGGTGAAGTGCATATCACGAACACTGACTGCTGGGGTAAATATTGTGTTCTGTCAGAAAGCATTGAAGCTAATTCTAATCACAAACAGTTATTCCAACACATTGGTGCTACTTTCTTCAATGCATACATGGGGCACGAGTACTCGTGGGTGCTCGAATTGTTTCCTCTTTCTATGATTCACCATGTCTTGGTTTCAGAGACACAAATCAATCGAGCCATGTTGATTACGACAGGTCAGCACTATTACCTACTAACGTTCGGTAGCCCACCCCCTGAATATCGTATGTAGACAGGTTAATACCCGTGCTATGATGGAAGAGCTAAGGGTTCTACGAGCGAAGTTCGATGTAACAGAGGACGATGATGAACAGCGAGCACTGGAGGAGGACGTCGCAGGAAAGGTAAGGGCGGCATCAAGTTTGTTTCCCTTCGACGCTGACTGTCCGCTAATAGATCCTGTGGCTTTGTTGGTGCGGTATCTGTGCGGAAGTGGACCAAATATTGCCAGAGGCAAGCCCAGTCCCTTGTTCCTTTAAATGTCATTTGACATGGATTAGGTCGTGAGTTACATTCGGGAAGAAGGAAATTTATTGGTAGGTGGTACTGCGTTTACCGGAAGGTCATCGTAATTGCCGTCACCAGGGTTTGTCTGAGATTAGAAATATTATTGAGAGAACATCTACAAACGTGGACGATAATCAAGCTCACTTGCGACGGTAGATGAGCCATTCGGTACGAGGCTACGGCATGAATTACTGATCGTACATTACCCAGGATCATGCTTGACGCAGGAGCGGGCACATCAAAGCATCAGTTGTTGCTTGCTTCCCAGGCCACAGAGCAGGTCAAGTGGTCAGCTACGACTATGTCGCGGGGCACCCCCACTCTCGACACCCAAGCGACCATCCGAGGTACAAACCATCAAATGCCTTCCATATCAGTAGTATGTCCTTTGCCTGGATGAATTGAACGGACCAGTAACAATCGTGATGTTAGTAGGAATGCAGTCAACATGTATTGGCTAGTTCCTCGAAGTAACACAGCCTCCTAATGATAGATGTCCATTTCCTATAATATGAGACGCGTTCCAAGCTAAGCCTCAGACAATAGTGCAATAGAATTGACCAGGTTTACATACCTACCCTTGATGATACCTCGTCTATTGAAATCACCTCCTATCGCAAAGTTACCCCGGTACTCATTGCACACTGGTTTCACGCAACCCGATAGGCTCCTGTTCCGTCCGGTAAGACGTTCCTCCCGGGCGTCATCGCACATTTACCACTGCAGTCTCGTCCTAGATTGTCCCGAGACCTGATTAGTGAGTGACGATGGATTGTCGTGGCTTGCGATTCTTGAGAACACTGTTCGCGAGAAAATCGATAGTTTGGCTGGGTGGCGTGACTCGAGAACGCGAGCTCGTGCCTCAACCACTGCCACTTAATTCCGTCGAACAACTCGTTCTTCTCTGAGCTGCCCCGTCGGCCGTTCTTGTTACTACCACCAGCGCCTTTCCTCTCCTTACTACGTACTTTGACGCTTATCGTTCCAGTAAGTGTCCCAGGTGTTGGTCTTTCTTGATTCATGCACCGGTCACAGCTGGAAGATGCGACTTATTATCCACGCTCCTCCTTCGGACGAAAGAATATACTATATTATCGCACTGCTGTGGTAAAGCGAAACAAGAACTTGAAGTGTCGATTCAAGAGATGGCGCAGCTCCTGAGTATGAGTGAGGACTACAGGGACGACGCGCCGGATACAAGGGAATAATTGACACTGACTGCATCGACAAGAGTGGTTCTAAATTCTGAACTGTCAGAAGCGGTCAACACCATGTAACAGTAGCACGCAAAGTGTATTTGCGGCACCACGCGACTTTTTAAGTAACTGGATGTGATAGGTAACAGTCAACTTCCCATCGTCGTGATTCAATCGATGAATTTATAAGTGAGAGGAGATCCTTTAAAGGCGCAGAATCAAGCCCTTCCAGTGCAGACTTCGCCTCATGCAAATTCTCTCTGAGGGGCAGTATCATTGGTGTGGGGTAAAATGTAAAACATCCGACCCCTCCCCGTAGACAGCCTCCCAATCGAAATCATTCCGCTGGTTCTCCTTGCCAAAGGCTTCGATAAGCTTCACCGCTTCTTCCGTCCCATTTATGATCGGCTGCGCGGTCTCCCTTGTCTTTCCCTTGGCGCCCTGTCCATAAATGTGTGACTTGTCCGCAGTGAGGAACGTCCCGATATACCGAAAAGTCAAACTAATACGCTCTTCATTCATGAATCGCTCTTCTGGTGACTTCTGATACAGCGGGCGTTTGTCGTGGTTAATGGCGTGCAACCATTTCGCATTGGTTTCGAGACCAAGAACAAACATGGAATTGTGCGGAAGGTGAAGTTTCCGGGATGGCCGACGTGTACCTTTTCCTAGACCGTCTATTCCGTCTCGTTTGAGCCGCAGAGTCATGACACGCTGTGCGCCGAGGCTAACATTGACGATCTTGGAACCGCGAACGACATCGATCGTCTTATCTGAGTGCTCGGAAATATAGTCCGCTCCGCTCCGATAATGCTGGATCAGAACGTGGTTAACGGGGTGCTTCAAGAATTTCTGCACATGTTCGCGAATGCGTGACACGGTTGGTGAGAACGGGCGCAGGGCGGGAGACTCGTCAGCAGGATGCCGGTACAGAGGGAAACTGTCGTAATGTTCGAGCACGCGTTTGATAAGAAACGGAGACGGATATTCCTACCTTCCGTCCGCGGCAACCTCCCCCTCTACAGCCACTAATCTAGGCACTTCCCCTCCTGGAAAACGGTTATGATAGAAACGTTAGGACTCCTATTAGGGAAATCTGGTCGGGACATGGCATGGGGAAGAACGTGCCTCTATGGTGCATGACGTTCCAATCGACTTCTTTCCTCATACTTTCGAAAGCGCCTTCTGCCAGATCGGGCGGGAGTATGTTTAGCACGAGCTCTGAGTCACCCTCTCCGATCTTGTCGCCTGGACCAAGCCTGGACGGTGATGCGGACTGGTACGGCCTGCGTAAAAGGGCTTAGGCAGTGTCATCAACCACTGAACCAATGCAGCGCACATATGGAACCAGATGAGTCTATATCGTTTAGGGGTGTCTGTGAACGTCGGCCAAGCGTAAGCCGTGCTTTATTCTTGTCGAAAGGTACGATCCGGTACTCGGAAACTCGATATGGCCTTAAGAAACGAGGTGCGGGTGTCAAAGCAGCTGCGGTGGTGAGTCGGATCATAACATGAACATCGAAGTCCTAGTCATGTGTGGCGCGAGACTCAAATCGACTGATTCCCCTACACGATCAACGCAGTCACGCCAGGTCACGCCCCGAAGTTTTCTTTCCGAAATTTAGGGGGCCGAAGGATTTCGAACCTCCATCTGATATTTTTTAAACGTTGAAACACGTCAGGTTGAACGCGGATTACAAGGACACTGTAAAGAAGCAATAAAAAAGACCCGATACAACGCCGCCCGTCCACCGATAAGACAAACGAGACCGTGAAGTGTACAAACTGTGCAATATATGTTAAATAAACACTATTGGCACAATTCATGTCCAATGACAAGAATATTGCTGCGAAAAACAAATGTGATCGATTAGGACTTGGGGCTCTCAGTACAAACAGTCCGTGAGTCCGAGTGCGTGAGATCAGTAGGGTAGAGAGGGCATGGTTTGCTGACGCTGCAAAGGTCGACCAACGGGTGAACCCTTGGTGAGTGAAGAACAAGGAGAACCGTCTGATGAGTATCCTGCTGGATATTGTTTCGGCGGTTCTGCGCTAGCTGGCGTACTGAGTGGTCGCTGGATACGAGAGTCGGATGATGGTGTTTCTGACGACTGCCTTGGGGTACCCAGATTGGATGCAACGGGTGTGCTTGCTGGTCGTAACGGAGGGGAAGAATTTTCGGGTAGGCGGCCAGCAGGGAATTGTTGGGGAGCTTTACCATTTACCAGAGCGAGTGGGGTGTATTGCCCAGACATCGACTGTACTTGGGTTCCTGCGGGAGTGTCACCCAGCGAGCGCAATTTCTTTGACGGAGGACCTTCAGATTGTGGCTCTGTGTCCGCAATGTCGGCGGGACGTTTTCCCGAAGACGTATCCTGAGGAAGAAAGCCACCTATCCGCGCCAAGCCACGCGCCAACACTTCGGGTGGCCACTGGCCACCGTGAACGAATTGCAACCGAGCTCGTGCTACTTCCTTGAGCTTATCTTTCGTCGGCATCAATAACTTGTAGGCCTCCCATGGATAATGTGGTCGACTATCAAATGCCTCCAACGCCTCTGCGTCCTTTTTCTGCCACCGTGGACGGTCGGCAGCCTCGGAAACCCAGCCAAGGTCAATTAATCTCCGCAAGTTCCGACCGCTGCATGGTGGTCGCTGCGGGTCGGGGTTCGCCACCGCGTCTTCATAATAATTATAAGCCATGATCGGGTCAAAGAGTTCAGGGGCCAGCTGCGCCAGCGATACAGGCTCGTACGCAAAATCGCGCACTTTGATACCCATACGCTGAATGTCTTCAACGATATCTTCTGAGGTGAGATCCGTTGGTATTATTTCTGTCGGTACGGGAGATGGCGCCGTGGCGCGATGGATCTCTGCCTAGGCGAGTCACTTGAGTACGATGCCAGATGGTCGGAAGGTGGAGCGTACTTACAAGGTTATCTGTGCCCGCGGGTGGGTAGATAGGGGTGGGTACGTAGAGAGATACCTCGCTTTGAGTCCTGCGGCCAAACGAGGGACCTTGGCTGGACTCCGCGGTCGGCTCTGAGCACGAGCGAGCAGGAACGGTCATGCTCTCCTCTTCTCCTGATGCGTAAATTATAGATAGAACGCCCGGGACGCGGGTTTGTAAGTTGAACTTGAGGCCGAATGGGCCGTGTATTTCGTAGGCTGGCATGGATGGCGACGTGGGTGAGCGCTCTGTCGCGACGGAAAGGGATGGAGATGGTACAAACGAGTCGTCGAGTGCCACAGAAACGAGGTTTTATAGGGTGGTCCTATTGTTCTTGATGAAGCCTAAAGGCGGTTCCACACCTCCACCACGCTGCACCAAATCAGGGATATGAGGACACGAGACCCAATTGACCCAGTTAATCCAAGCTTATACCCAAACTAAGACTGGTTTCCGACGACCAAAAGTGTTGCACGAAGACGTGCACACCAAAAAAAAGCCCCTTCAACGTCGAGTCAAACAACAACGGAAAAAATGGTTGTCGTCGGGCCCGCCAGGCGATCGGGGCAAGCCGAAAAAAAATCTATCAAGAATATTTCCCGATTGGGAAATGCACAGTATTGCCTGATATGAGGCAGATCCGAAGTCTGCAAGGACCATGACACAGGACTTGAAGTTGCTAGTACCACTCCACGTATCGTACATTCAGAACTTGGGAAAGGTAAGCGAAGGTGGTCTCTCATAGGTATGCACGACTGATGCTGGTACAGAGCCAAGATGAACTGGCTTATCATCTTACCGCCCATCTGCGAATGAATGCGATATATTGGGGTCTGACAGCCCTGTATATTATGGGTCATAAGGATGCACTCGATCGCGAAGAAATGATAGAGTTCGTGATGAGTTGTTGGGACGAAGAGGCAGGTTTGTTTCATCCTTGGCATGTGTAACTGCAGCTGATAGGTGCGCTCGTGATTTAGGGGGGTTTGGGGCTCACCCAGATCACGACGCCCATATCCTGTCCACATTGAGCGCGATCCAAATTTTGATAATGCAGGACGCTCTCGATAGGCTCGATGTTGATCGCGTCGTCAAGTGTCGGTGTCTATTTCATCTTTGCCATACCAACTAACGTGCTGCGGAATAGTTATACTTTCTTTACAACAGCCCTCAGGCGTATTTGCAGGCGACTCGTTTGGAGAGGTGGATACCCGCTTCCTCTATTGTGCAGTCAACGCCCTGTCTCTGCTCGGACGTCTTTCTGAACTGGACGTTGAGAGAACTGTGTTGTACATCTGCGAGTGCAAAAATTATGATGGTGGATTTGGTGCCACAGCTGGCGCAGAAAGTCACGCTGCGCAAGGTGAGGTCGTTGAATTATTCTGTGCATTCTGCTCTGGATCTGAGCCCGCCCAGTTTTTGTTTGTGTTGCTGCACTCGCGATCCTCGATAGGTTAGACGTGGTTGACCAGCAGACTCTATGTTGGTGGCTGTCCGAACGACAGTTGCCTAATGGCGGCTTGAATGGCCGTCCGGAGAAGCTAGAGGACGTAAGTTGGCGGGTCCTTTATTTACGGCTTGACTAAACATAGTATTGTAGGTGTGTTACTCTTTTTGGGTTCTGTCCGCGCTGTCGATCCTTAACAAAATGACCTGGATCGATTCCGAGAAACTTGTTTCTTTCATCCTCTCAGCACAAGACCCCGAGTCGGGTGGCATAGCTGACCGTCCCGGTGATATGGCTGATGTATTCCACACTCAGTTCGGCGTAGCCGGTAGGATGTCTGGCTGAGCTTGATGATGTCCTCATACTAACTTTCCGTTTAGGTCTCTCGCTTTTGGGATACCCTGGTCTAGTGGATTTAGATCCAGTTTATTGTATGCCTGCCAGCATCATTGAAGCTAGAGGTCTCAGGAAGGGATGGAAATCCTTGCCTCGTAAGTCGGTCTGAACAACACCCCACGAATGGTACACAAGATAGTTTGTTCCGGCCAATTCACCGATTTTGTCGGTATGTTACTAGTGAATAACAATCACTTGCGGGGGGTCGTTTTTCAGCATTTTAGTGTCGTTTGGTTCGCGGCCTGAAGTTATTTTCTGAGCATGTTGGAGAATAATCCATTGCATACATCACTAGCGATACCGCAAACAACTAACTGGACCCTGTCAAACTGTGAATTAGGTGAAGCGTCTCTTCGGGAACGACAGAACAGTAGCCTGGCTTCTAGCTCAAACTACCCCGCGTCATCCTTATGCTTGGTCCTGCTTATGGTCTTATTTGATCCAGGCGGTAATGGTAACAGAATCATATCTGTGCCGCTGCTTCAGTTGAGGCAGCGGTAAGCACGGAAATATGGGTACATCTTTTGTGGCCTTCACGCCGTCCATTTTTCATTGCAAGCTGACAGGGAAGTTATCGATCCTGCTTCGTTCTATCAGTCCGGCACTGCATTCTCTTTGCCTGTCCACTGGGACTTCCGATGAGGTTAGCACCGCCAAAAGCATACCACAGCCATGGCACCTGCAGGCCACGGCCGTTGTGTGGACCCTTGAAGATCCCATAACCACCGCTGACCACAGGATACGATGTTAGGATCAACGCTGACGACACTGAGACTTTGTGGGCGTCTGAAATTCCCGGTCTGACTTGACACCAGGTCCAACCTCTCAGTGCCTTCGGTTCTACCTCGTCTGGCTGCACTTACACTCCAGTCTCGGGGAACAGAAACTGTATGCCTTCAATCCGTAAGAAGGATAGTAATCATCTTTGAGTGTTATGCTGTGTCCCTTCTTCCAGTGTTCTTCTAGCAGTGCACGCGCAGTAGATACTGAACTTGAAATTAGCATGTGGGCCGATCATTCTTCAGAGCTGTGGTACGGTAAACTCGCTTTTCGCCTTCTTGCACAGCGTGTAGAATACTCATGGACCCCTGAGGTGTGCACCACCTTGGTCTAAGAGCTGAATTGCTTGAACCGTCGATACACAGGCTGAGTACTACCACTAGCGGTGACGGCCACTCTCTACACCGGGACAACCCTCACAGTCAAGAATTGACTTGCAGACTGTGGTCCACTGCGATGTCACTCAGATCTCTCAGCATTGTCCGTGAATAGATTGGCACACACGTGTTGACGTGTCCGTTGGTCTGGGTCGACGACCGTCACGGAGCGCTCCAGCGCTTGCGAGCCGTGGACCGGTTGGGAAAGCGGCGCCATTCCGATAAAAGCTCACTTTCTTTCAGCTTGACGAGAGCAGAGGCTGCATCACTCAACCTTCCATTGCCTTGAGAACGCTTCCCTGCTCGTCGTGAGGGTAGGGAATGCTGCATTTACTATTAACCAACACGTGTCGGCACGCGTACCTCGCGTGACCCCCCTTCAGTTCCAACATTCCAACACGTCGCCATGCTTCCTGCGCATGCCCCCCCGTGGGCCGACTGATCTGTAATTTTCCAGAGATTACAATTGATTCTTTTCCCAAATTCTTCGTGGCCATGCACGCTAATTGACGTGATCCTCAGGTGATTTCGATTTCCCGGTGGCCACGAACCTCACAGGTGTTGAACGCGAGGCGAATGTGATGTATCGCCCCCCATTTCATGTCATTTCCTCCTTGTTCGTGGGTCGCATGGCGGAGAATTCCTACATGCATCGCCATTAGTCGGTTCTCTAGACAGTGTTGGCGATGAGTCTGCCTCGTGTCCGAAGATATCAAAAGGCGGCACCTATCGTCTTTTTTCTAGCACCAAAGCCCTCCCTTCTGTGCTCATCCGAGCCTTCCCGAGCACTTCACTTCCTGAACCGACCTGACGTATATACTCTAACGACCTTGTTAACGACTTATCATGCAACCCCAAGTCCTTGGTGTTCTCGTCCTCGCCCGTAATGGGGACCGTACTGGTTTCTACCAGGATCCTTACACCTATGAGCCATCGTTTACCGAATCCACCCCACTTGGTGCTGTACGTGTTTCGCTCGTCCAGCATACCAGTCGAGAATCATGTTTAAGTTGACCCCCGTTCGCAGGTCGAGTCTTTCCAGCTCGGGTCCTATCTCAAGTCCACCTACCTCGACTCATCCTCTCCCCTCCACATCCTAGACATGCCTCTTGATCCCACTCACCCAATCCCACCCAACCAAGTTCATGTCCATGCCAAGGCAGGAGGTGAAGGTGCAACCGTTTTTGACTCTAGCATCGCACTTCTTCAGGGAATGTTCCCACCGACCCAACGGAACAAGATCACGTTGGCCAATGGAACTACCATAACATCGCCACTGGGTGGTTATCAGTACGTCCCTGTCGAAATGGTTCCCGACAGCAGCGATAGCGTGCTTGAATCTTGGGTCGACTGCGCGGTAAGTGTTGCTTGTTGTTGCACGTGATCCCATTATTAAGTGGTCGGACACGCAGGCATTCAAGAAGCACATCACTAAGGTCTACAACTCGGAAGAATTCAAGGAAAAGGCGCGGGACGCAAAGCACTTCTTTGGTTCCGTCCACGATTACGTGTTCGGGCGCCCGACGACGTTGGAAAATATCGTAAGTTATTGTTTGCTATTTCTGACGATTCGATGCTAACCATGTTGCTGTATTAGTGGAACGTCAGTCGGTTTTACAGCATATTGTGTTGGTCCGGTAGCCTAACCTCCACGCACACAGGTATACGATTATCTGAACACGGAGCTCACTTACAACCAGACGTTCGCTTTCCGCCTTCCCCCGACGTTGATTGAGCAGGCGCGTGCTCTGGCCAACTATCACGAGGATGCAGTATTCTCAGACAAGGAAGTTGGGGGCATTGGGAACAGTACGTTGTCCCCGTGGTTAGGTGGAGTGCGCATGTGACTGATCTCCACCATGCAGTTGCTGGACGAACGATCTTGCACCCTATCTTGAGGTCCTTTGAACGCATTGCTTTTGATGACGACCCACTCCGCATCTTTCTTATCGAAACCAGCTACCAACCCTTCATTTCCCTTTTCCATATGCTCGATGTTCTGAGTTCAAGACCTGATCTTGCTGGCATCCGTGGGTATACCCTCCTTTAACTACCCGTGTCCACATTCCGTCAGTGTGTGCCTGTCTGACAACGGCCTTTTTCCTGCACACAGCTAACTATGCATCTGCCCTGTCCTTTGAGCTCCTCCGCGGTCCTGCACCTGAGTTCCGGGACTTTGTTCGTATCAAATTCAAAAACGGTACCGACGACAGCGAGTTCCAGACGCTCCGCGTGTTGGGGCATGAGGACGATGCTATCCCTGTCACTGAGTTCATCTACCGTCTGGAGGTGCGTGTGCTACACGAGGCGGTCTGATATGGTCGCTCACATTCTCACCATTTACAAAATAACACCAGCACTATGCCATCCCAGACACGAAGCAATGGAACTCGGCATGTGGTAACAACCGGTGGTTCCCATTCGAAAACACCCTCAGCACTGCAACTGAACAAACCTCGATGATGGCTGTGATACTCGGCACTCTGTCCCTGTTTGCGTTTGCCATGTTTGCGCTTACAACGTTCATCAAGCACACCATCACTGCCAAACGTGCGAGGCGAAACGAGGGGATGGTAGAGCAACATGGAGTGAGTGTTTTACGCCAGTTAGATCTCTATTCGCTTACTAACAGCGTAATGATACCACCTTTCAGAGCTATGCTACATTCGTGATCAACGAGAAGGCTGGATTGCTTCCTTAAAATGGATACCCAACAGCAACCCTGCTTACTTTTGTGTGCGAATGTTCTTAAGCATTTTCGCTTGTGGTGTGTAATTATTGAGCTGTTTCCCTCGCATCGATCATGCTTCCGCATTTGTGCTTTCTCTTTTCTTTTCCCCATCGTCATACCCCCTCGCGCGCCTCAACTGCTGGTCCGACGTTGTGATATGTATGTAGTAGGGTTTGATTGGACAACTTAAGCAATGCATTTCTTGAGCCCGTGATTTGGATATAACGAAGCATACAAGTCTCGGATTTATGACCAGATGGAGATCTCTCAAGACTTGCGTTGAATGATTCCACAAGCAAAAAGAAAAGGTCCGTGTTACTATGCAATTCTGATCGAGAGACAGTGATAAATATACGTGTACTTGGTTTTCCAGTCGCCTTAAAGATAAAAGTGACGCCGCTTTGGGATACGAGAGTGAGTGAACGGGGGAGTCCGAAAAGCACCCGACCCTACTGCAGATGTAAGTACTCAGACCAGGAATTGACTACCTTGACAGACATAGGAGGCCACCCCCTACAAGTACTCTGGCAGCGGTGCCACGACGTGGTTGCGCACATGTACAACGCATCAACCAAAATGTGTTGCATTGGTCATCGTCGCAGCAAACGAGAGAAAGAAAAGACAAAAGAAAACAGAAGAAAGGAAAGGAATAGTGAATGATCCACTGGGGCAAATCACGAACATGAAAAACTACTATCGCGCCCCAAGTAGCCTGCCCAAGAGCCCAGTGGAACTCTGCTGGGGCCGAAGTGCTGGAGGTGCTGTTGCTGGGGGCTGAGGCGGTGGTGCATTTGTGGGATAACCGTACCAACCACCATACATCGACTGACGATGTGCAGGCTGAGACTGTGGGTTGGGAAGGCGAGCGTGACGTGGTGGGAGCGGAGGGGGCGTTCCAAATGAGTTATTTCCATGAGAATAGGCACGAGTATGCGGAGAGGGATATGTTTGAAAGTGCTGCGATTGCGGACGAACGAGTCGGGCAGGTGAATTTCCTCCCGGTGGGCTGTTCCTGTGTGGTACTGGGGAGGATGATTTATCCTTCTTGACTCTTTCGTTGTCGCTGTCCTTGCCTTTCTCTTTTTTCTTTTTTCTGTCCTTCTCTTTCTCCTTTGCCTTTTCTTTACCCTTGCTTCTTCCGGAATCAGCTTCCTTAGCACGACTAGGAGGGAATCCCACACTGCGTGGTCTTAGCTCAGGCATATCGATCTTGCTCAAATGCACAATCAGACTGCTCGGAGGGGTATAATCCTTCGCTTTCGACTTGCTAGGCTCATCGTCAAGTTTAATAATCCTTGGTCCTTTCTGGGGTGTCTCCCTTTGAGTATCATAGAGAACATACTGGTGTAACTCCGAGTCGCCTGCATAATGCAATGTAAGTGGAGGGGATGTTTGCACCAATGATAGGAAGAAGGGAGCAAATCACCAACCAGCTTTGTACCGCTTCCGCTTAGTTTCTTCAACGACTTGCAAGACTTTCGGAACCTGAGCTGCTTCTGTAGAGCAGACGCTGATAAATAGCATAGCGTCGTCCTGGGTATGGGTCCGTCAGAGAGATGCTGCGTGCGCAGGAACGAAAACATGAATAGCTAAGGAGCTTACCGAAAGCAACTGTAAGCAGTACTTGGCGTAATCCTTCACATCTCCCTCCTCCATAACGGAGACCTCATTCACCAGACCGCGGCCGCGTTGTAGTTCGGCGATCCTCTCAACACCCGTCTTTGGCGCCGGTTTTGGAGGGAGAGGTGGTGGCGCTGTTGCCGTAGGTATGACTTTAGTACTGCTGGAATTCGCTGGTGTGGGAGAAGTGGAGGCGGCAGTATCTGGTTCATGGTATGCGTCGCTCGAATCTTGAAACGTAAGGAGGGCGAAGAGAATGACGATTTCCAGACCTTTACGGTCTTCGATATCAAATCTAAGGGTGAGGAACGAAGTATAAATTTCATGCCCTGAGTAAGTAAGCAGGGACACACCGATGCAAGTTGTAATCGAGGATCTGAACGGACGACGTTTTAATCCTTCCTGGGGGTTCCTTGGTCAAGGCAACGAGTACTGGTGGGTCGGGCTTGCGAACGATGAAGCACTCTTCGCGCCTCCATTCGAACTCGTGACTATCCATTCACATACAGGGTTGCGATAGAATGAACCCGTCGAATAGACGATCGGTAAATGATGGTTGACCTGACCAAGAAGGGAAGAATACTGTAAGAGGTGACACTCACTCCTCCCACTTGAACGACCACTTGAAGCTTAGAGTGCCTGTGAACTTGAGCTCGACGACCTTTGTGGGATTATAGAGTTCCATCGTTTTATGCTTGCTCGTAGCACTTGGCGCTGTTACTGTCGCTAACAACGTGTTCGATATGGGTTCTATGATTTACGGTACGAAGGCGGTCGTTCAGAATTGCGAGAGACCAAAGTGACATGGATTAGTGCGTTCGGAACTCACCGCATAGTTCAGCCTTGTATACTCCTCCGCCGATACGTCGCTTTCGATAATACACTGTCCCAGACGGGTCAATGAGATCGACGACGGAGACACCCTGGTCTACACGTGAAGCGGCAGCATTGGGTGTCAGGAGGAGCGTGAAGAGGTTACGATCTAAACTCATGGAGGCAGTGACTTTGCTCCTCAGATTGAAGACCACGGTTTCGGGCGTCGGCGGGCTAAGGTGAGAGGGGTGTCAACTGGATCCAGAGATGTCTCGCACAGACCCATGCACACTACCAAGGTCAGTGACCAGCTGAGCGGCAAAACTCTAGGTGTTAGATTTGGCAAGTCGTGCGTAGTCCGAACGCGTCCGCTCCGAGGCGTGAGAACTACTTTCCGTTCGAAGGCTTTCATACTTTACACTCACTAGTGAGCGCGCAATTAACTTACGCGCCCTTGTGCTTATTGTGTTTACAGTGTTTCGCACTTATGTGCGTGTTTTTCTTATTACTTACGAAGAATGTAGCACGTCTCACTTTGAGACAATCCTTGTTGTGTATAGACGGGTTCAACACCCGATGTCTCATGTCCTTTGTTACAACTACAGTATTTAGTCTAGCACTGTAAACTCCATCACCTCAGACGTTATCGCTGTCTGCGCGCGACTGAGGTGAGTACAATACTTTCTCATTTACTTTACCATACTTACCGTGCACCTAGTTATCTGCTTAGGTGAATATATTAGATGTTGTTGCTGTCTGTGTGTGACTGAGTTATCTGCTTAGATATATCTGTGACTAGGCCCTGTGTTCCTGGTGGACATCAAATATGCAAGCTGCCCCTGTAACAAGGGCCATGGAGGGAATTCCCACAAGGCACAGCAGGGTCCAAATTGATAGACCAGAATTGACCAACACACACATAAGTGCTTTCCTTTAGTCCTGGAATGCAGCCAAACAATTGTGCACACTATATGTACCTTGTTTGTGATGCTCACATGAGCACTTTTTGTTTGGTGGCCAAACATTGGCACGAGCTATGCCTTGTTTGTATGGCTTGGACATACTGCTATGGTGTCAAATCATACTAGTAGCACTGCACCTGCATGAGTCCTCATAAACCATCCCCCTCCTTGAGTTGCCATCACAAGCAAGTGAAATGCCTGGAAATTGATGCCATATCCCAGAGACCATGAAGGAGCAATGGGTCAAAATATCCACCCACATGAGCTCAAGAGAAATTGCAAAGGTCACTGGTTACAGTCAATGGACTGTCAACCATGTCCTTCACTTCTCACACCAGACAGGCTCTGTAGTGAAGAAACCTCTTGAAAGTGGACATCCTCACTTACTGACAGTGCATGATGTCCATGTAGGTCATCATCTCTGATGAGACAGAACTGATACATAACATTGCTATTTACTATAGTATCTCATCTCATGTATTGAGTGCACACCAGACTCCTACCTCAATGAGCTACATACAATATTATCTCAACAAACCAAGAGGTGTTGAGGTTTCAAGGCAGACAATCAGTCATACTCTACATAGGCATGGATTCTCTCACAAAAAAGTACAAGTGGTGTATGCTGCATGTGCTGATGACTTAATAGGCTTATGGGTCTGTTCTAGGTCTCACAGGTCACACTGGAAAGAAATGAGGATGCACGAGACTAGTATCAAGTCTATATTGTGGAGAACTTTCATCTGTCACAACTTGTCTTTGTTGATGAGTCAGCATGTAATTGAATGACAACAAAGTGACAATCAGCATGGTCACCACTTGGAACCTGTGCACAGTGACAAGACTATGTTGTGTGTGGCCATTGGTAAGTTACAACTCAATTTCAAGAGCTTCTTTTCTATTTCATTTCCTCCAGATACTTGGTTCTCCCTGCAATGTCACTTGATGGGATCCTTCACCTTGACATTCAGGATTGTGCCTATACTGGTGCTATGTTCAACCAATTTATTGATCTTTTACTCAACAACATGAATCCTTATCCACAGAAGAACTCAGTCATTGTCATGGATAATGCTAGTATCCATAAATCCCCTCAGCTTCAAGGTATGATTGAGGGAAGGTGCATTATCACAGTGCCTATGTTTTCTCACACAGGTCCTGATGACTCCTTGTAGAGGGATGAGACTTTTATACTTACCCCCATATTCTTCTGACTTCAACCCAATAGAGGAGGCTTTTTCTGCCATGAAGGCTTGGATTTGGTGGAACTCTGATAATGCAAGAAGTGAATTGTCAGGTGAAGCCACTTGTGACCCCTATCAGTTTCTCATTGATGCTGCATTCAATGCAATTACTTTGGAAAAGATTCATGGATGGTACACTGACTGTGGTTACTAAGGTGTAGTAGAATTACAAGTGTATGACTAATGGTAGATATATTATGAGCCTTGAAACCCTTGGAAGTCTGTACTCAGACTCTACACTTCATGTACTGCTAAAAGTACTATAGTATCTAAGATACAACATTTCTGATAATGATGAAGTCAATAAATTTCTGGAGAGTGTCTATACAATGATGAGCTGTTTGGGTCCTCATTCTTGTCACTATCACTAGAATTAGCCATTCTTGCTGAACCTTTCCTTGCATGATGGGCAAGGTGATGAGCTACAGCAATAAAAGGCATAACAGCACCCAGTGGCATACCAACAATGTCAATGAAAAAGTCTTCCAAAATTCCATCAACAGTGTTGATGTAGGCAACACCATGTGAGATAAGGTTGTCCTCATACTGAGGCATGTTTAGAAGAGGCATCAACCTGTGCATCTCAGTGAGCACCTCTGAGATTGAAGGGTAGACAATGAAGACATCGCATTCATCTAGATCAGGCCCAGTTAAGTATTGCCTCGAAAGACTTGTGTCAAGTTTCCCTGCATGGCTGCTGGCAAGTTGGCCCATGTCTGACAGGAGGTGGACATGAATAGTTGGAAGGTTTTGTGTCACAGTGGATGATAGCTGATGGCACTTAGTAGTAGGGGCATCTGCAGATGAAACTGTAGTTTCAGGTGGTTTGTCATATGTCACACTTTGTTGAAACTGGATCAAAAAAATCAGTTCATGTTTTTCTCAGGGTTTGTGGCTTCTCACAATGGTCTTTGCCTAAGATGTCAATTTGTGGATGTCTTGAGCTTCATGGTCACCCTGAGTAGTAACATAACAGTATTTGCCAACATGTTTTGCACACAGGGTTCCCTTTAACTTCTGGAACTCAGCAACAAAGCTTGACATTTCTGGTTCCTGGACACTGTCCTTCTCAGATGGCCAGACAGGGGTCACCTGTGTTACTTCATCCTGGCAGTGACAAGTGACTGGCAATGCCACTTTTTGGTTTGCACTGGCAAACCCATCAGTCTATTTAGGCCATGACCACATACAAACAAAAAACTGACAAGATTATGAATCTCAAGAACAACATCTCATCCTTGGCCATGCTTCAAAAGCTGATCAGCATTGGAGAGCTGATGTGGAGGATCACATGCCTGGTCTGCATGGTACTTATACCCAAGTTCCACCTTGTTAGGGTCAAGGTCCATCTTTGCACAGATACAAGAGAAAAAGTCTTCAGAACTTGTGTCCACTGGGAACTGGAGTTGGACATGGCTAATTGGTCCCCCAACAACACCAGTATCAAGTAGAACAGAGACTGTGACCTGAACATTCAGGTCTGATGCACAACAAATTTTAGATTGTCACACTTCAATCAAATGTCATATTTTGCTCACCTTCTCCATTGTCTGGCTGTCCATTACCACTTGCAGACCCAAAAGATGGTGGCTGGACAGGGCCATCCATCCATGCAGAGGACTGATATGGCTGTACAATTTGGCTTGTTTGGGAAAGCACAGGGTCCAAGGGCAAGTAAGGTAGTGGAGGTATGCCACTTCTGGCACTAATATCAGGCAGTCCATCTGGCCCATGGACAAATGGATGTGTCAGTAGTAAATTGAGCCAATATCTAGCATGTGGAAAGTGATGCTGGAGCAGATCATGGTACTCATCAGTAGAAGGGGTGTCCTGAGAGCTGCTGCTCAAGTGCAACATGTTGACAATAGAGATTGCTCACCACAACCTGTAGCTTTATACTGTTGCACTGGCAGGATCATAGGTCCCAATCACCAACACACAGTCCAAGAAGATGTACACACTGTCGCATGGCCTTCCTCTACTTGTACCTTGTCTTACTTAGGTTCTGGGTTTTCCTGGACTATAAAGTCCTGTACTTAGGTACAGAATGATACCTTTTGGCACTCAGAAGGTCACCACAAGTTTCTTTTTCACTTTGTCTACACCACATGTTTCACATGCCACAGCACACAATCTACACACACTGCTCACACCACTTGCATCACCAGTACTACTCCATGGACCATGCTGTGCATGTCACGAATCACTACTGCTACAAAGCACAGGGTCTCACCTTCTAGTCTCAGCAGTCCAGAATCCCTTGGGATGAGCAATTCATTCCCTTCATTTTTAATTGTTGTTATCTAAGCCATCTAGCTTGTATTATATGGCTACTTGGACCTTTCCTACAACTGGAGCCCACTGTGAGGGATTCTGCTGTTGCTTCCAGAAGGTCACTCAGGCACACTGCTGATTGCACTGAACTAGAAGATTTATGCCTGCACTTTTGCAACCTCAACCTGTCAGAAGACTCTGACCTCTTCTGCCCTGTTTCACCAGATCATGCACAATTACCTGCTGACATTCTGTGGGTACTACCTGCAATCACTCCTCCTGATATTTCAGCAGATTGGATATCCATTGTGCTGGATCACCTAGATCTCACTGCCCCTGACCTTCCCAGTGGCTTTATCCACTCAACTCCCTGCCATCACCTTTAACACCTGTCACATCATCTGATTCATCATCACTGATGCCCTCTCTTTCCTGTCTCTTTGATGCCTCCAAATCTATACCCAGACTCTCAGATCCATCCACCACACTGCTGCAACCACTCACTCAGTTGCAGACCACCCATCAGCCAATTAGTAACCCACCAACACTTCTGCCAGTCCACTTGCACACTATACCAACTGCTCCACATCCACAACCAATACCCATTCCACCCATTACCAATCTGGCACCACCACCACCACAGGTTAACCCACCAATGGCTAATCCTCAGTTTCAGATGCCACTCCATGGTACACAAAACTCACCTAAATTTAGTGGAGATTCCCCTGCACAACTCCTGCAATACCTCAAAGACATCAACTTCCTCAGTACTCTTGCTGCCCTTGATGACCATGGCAAGATCAGAGCTGTGATCTGCTATGCTGACCTGGGAGAAGCCAAGATTTGGCAAACACTTCTGGAAACTGCACCCACAGCTGATGACTGGGATGCCTTCATAGTTGCTGTTAAGGGCTTGTACCCTGGCTGCAAAGGTGACAACTGCTACTGCTGCACAGACTTGCAGTACCTCATCAAAGAATACCAGTCCAAGCCTATGTGAAACCAGGATGACCTCAGAGAATACCAGCAGAAATCCACTAAGATCTCTGCCCTCCTCATTAAAACTAAAAAGTATGCAGAGACAGAATGGGATTCCATGTTCCTTAATGGCTTCCCAAGGGCCATCGCAGATTGAATTCATCATTGACTCTCCATAGTCTGCACCAACCTCCACCCAGATGACCCATACCCACTTGCAGAAGTCATCAAAGCTGCCAAGTTCCTTCTGACAGGATCTGCCCTTTGTAGCACACTACTGATGTTGGCAACTGTGGCCTTGCCAGCTGCACCTCCCTTGCCAGCCTACATGCCACAGGTGCCACCTGCTGGTACTGTTGTCAAACAAGAATACAACTTCCAGACACAGTGCCCACCACAGCAACACAGACCTGGCTGTGGCTTCTGTGCAGACCCCAATCACTGGATGAGGATGTGTGTGCTCATCAAAGTCTATATCTGTGCTGGTAAGATCACAAGGGGTATGGACAACTGTCTCTACCTTGCAGGTGGAAGCCAAATTCCACACTTCCCTGAATGCGACTCACTGAAAGAAGCTGTTGACCATGTCATGGCTGACAGAGACCAGGCCAGTGCATGTGCTGCAACACCTGCTGCTCTGTGCAACACAGCCATGCAAGGCACTGCTAACCTCTTTTGTGTTGCTCACCCTGAAGTTGATGTGCAGTTGGAGATCCAGCCATCCACCTTTCTGAACACCATCCAGGATGTAGACAAATCAGCCACTGACTTAGATGACCCTGACTTTCAGGCATATGTCACCCAAGCTTGGGCTACATATCAGGCAGACAAAGGTAACAAGGGCACAGTTGTGTCCCATGGAAAGAAAGCCTGCTTCAATGGGGTTGAGATTACAGCTTGACCCACAGCATGTCTGGCCAACCCTCCATGAGTAGATCCTTGCACAGCCACTGTCAAAGAGGAAATCATTTCCCCTGGTGTTCAGAGTTCATGTGCTGCTTGCCAGGCATCCAAGCCATCTGCACCTGCACCAATCTAGAGAACCTGAAACTTGACTTCAGAGCTGGACTGGTCATGCTCCAGGTTCAAGTAATTGAACACACCAACTTCAACATGCTTCTTGGTCATCCATTCATCTGCCTTATGAGCATGGTAACAAATGACTCTCCCAATGGCAGACAGCAGATCACTCTCCATGACCTGAATGATGGCCATGAGTATGCTCTGCCCACATGCCCATGGCACAAGGGCTGTCCATGCTGTAAGTGCAGCAAGCACTGCCATAGTCACCAGAGTATTGTCAAATGGGGTTTTTGAGTATCAATGATCCACCAAATGGTTGGGGAGAGCCTACTAAGATGTCCTGTTTCCTGTTTAGCTGCTGTTATCCATTCCTCAGTCCCACAGTCTCATCTCTAGCCTTCACTTCAATGAACTTCCCTTTGCCTGTGGCATGAGTGCCACAGAACATACCTGCAGGAATACCCTTGCCTGCTTTCACTTTCCTCTCCTCCACTCAGACCATACTAAACCCCTCTGCTATAGCCACTTTTGGCAGTGTTTACCAATTAGATCCTTCAGTTTGCACTTTTGTTTACAAGCCAGTTGCCAAGAAGGTTTGGATGGTACCTGCCCTGATGGTGGAAGAATACTGCATCATGCACAGCCTGCCTGACAATCTGCTTGCTGGTCTCCAACCACTTCCTACACACCCACCAGACTTTGCTCCAGGCATCTGCTTCACTGCCAAACAGGCCATGGAGCTTGACCTTGATCCTGCAGATTGGCTTTGGCCAGAAGAACTCAAACTCATGACTTGGCTCATCTTGGTCCACAAGCCTGCATTCACTTGGGACATCACAGAGTGTGGACACTTAGACAAACACTATTTCCCACCTGTAAAGATCCCCACAATCCTGCACATGCCTTGGGTCCAATGCAATATCCCTATTCTGAGTGCAATACATGCCCAAGTCATAGACATGATTAAAGATCACATCAAGTCTGGCATGTATGAACCTTCTACAGTGGCTTACCACTCCCACTGGTTCAGCATAGTAAAGAAAGATGGAAAGTCTCTTTGCCTTGTGCATGACTTACAGCCCCTAAATGCAGTAACCATCCATGACATGTCCATCCCACCCTTCATAGAACATCTTGTGGAATCCTTTGCTGGATATGTGGTGTATGCAATGATGGACTCTACTCTGGGTATGACCAGTGCACACTTCATGTTGATTCCTATGACCTCACGACCTTTGGTACCCTGCTTGGACTGCATCAGCTTACTACTCTGCTGCAAGGTCATGCAAATGCAGTCCAGGTATACCAGGGAGATACTGCATTTGTCCTCCAAGATGAGATCCTGCATCATACCTTGCCTTTCATAGATGACATCCCTATAAAATCCAAGACCACCCACTATCAGCATGCAGATGGGTCCTATGAGATTATCCCAGAGAATCCTGGGATTCAGAAATTTATCTGGAATCACTGTATAGTCATTAACCACATCCTTCAGCATTTGCAGAACATCAGAGCCACTGTCTTGGCAAAGAAGTTCGTGCTAGCTGCTCCATCTGCTGTAATTGTTGGCCACAAGTACACCTTTGAAGGTTGTGTCCCTGAGGAAAGCAAAGTACAAAAGATCTGTGACTGGCCCAAGTGCCACAACCTGACACAGGTTTGCAGTTTCCTCAGTGTTTGCAGTGTGCTCCACATCTTCATCAAAGACTTTGCCAAGATTGTGCAGCCACTAGTTGCACTCACACAGAAAGACATACTGTTCACATGGGATGAGCTGCAATGTGCTGCCATGCAATGGCTCAAGGATGAAATCGTAAAGTCCCCTGCACTCTGAAGGATTGACTATGAGTGCAGTTGCAAAGTAATTTTAGCAGTTGACACTTCAGTCATTGCAGTTGGCTACATTCTTTATCAGCTTGGGGAAGACAGAACATGATACCCTAGTCACTTTGGATTCATTACCCTCAATGAAGTGGAAAGCTGTTACTGTCAAGTCCATGATGTCCAGGTTCAAGACTGGACCAGAGGCTGATGTGGGCACATGAGGCTGAAGGGTTGGGAGTATGAGGGGGGGGGGGGGAAAGGTACAGGGGTGGACTGATTGGACTTAGTGACTGAGGATGCAGCACTATTCCCTTGCATGGGTTGCAGTCTGAGTCCAAGGCCAAGACAGAAGATTTCAGGGGAGACTTGTTTGATTTCAGACTGGAGAAGTACAAGCTGAGTATCTATGGGTTTATATACTGGAGACAAGCTATAGTATGGAGACCAGTAATACTGGTCTTGCAAGGATTGCTAAGACAATTGGTAAGAATAGCATTAGTAAGGTATGACAAAGATGACTGGAGACTGGGACAGAGACAGGGCAGGCTGGGGACAAGACCAAGGCAGGCTCAACTGAGATGATGCTTAGTAATAACACTGCAAAGCAGTGCTAACTGTGCTAGGCCAACTGGGGGTAGAGTTTGGTGAGGCCAAGGCTGGACTGAATGAGTGCAAGGCCAAGTCTCACCAGGGTCAAGGCACAGCTATGACAGTTACTCCCAGGCTAAGCTCAAGTTGTACAGCCTCTTCTGTGCATTGCACATGGTGCACATATACATCTTCAGTCTCACTAACTTCACTGTGGAGGTAGATGTGAAGTATATCAAGGGCATGATAACCCAGATCTGCAGCCTAACATGATGATCAATCAGTGGATCACTGGCATCCTCCTCTTCTCGTTCAAACTCATGCATGTTCCTGCAGACAGGCATGCTGGCCCTGATGGCTTGTCCTGCCATCCACAGTTGGAACTTGACCTGCCTGAGGATGACAACCATGAGGATTGGCTAGACCATTTTTATTCTTTCTCTACAGAGGCTGTCAATGACCGCCCACCTCCTATGTCCCTTTCCAATCAAGATCATCATTCCTTACTGCCACCACTTACCATCAGGCGAGCCTCCCACTGCCTGCATCCTTCTAACTTGCATTCTCTGTGACTGCCCATGCTGATAACCCTTCTGATACCCCTGATGACCATGCCATTCCACAGTCCATGAAAGCTTGGGCATGTGAGGCAAAGATAGAAATGATCTGCACATTCCTTGTGACCTCTGAGTGACCTCCTGACCTTACTGATGCACAGTACTCACCTTTCTTTAATTTGGCCAGCCACTTCTTTCTCCTAGATGGTAACTTGTGGTGTAGGGAACTGCATGGATGGCACCAGCTAGTTGTCAATGAGTCCAAGCAGTATTGTCTCATCAAAGAAGTGCATGATGACCTCAGACACAAAGGTGTCTTCACAGTCTGCACCCACCTTCTCCTTCACTTTTGGTGGCCTCTGCTTGTTGAGGACATGAAGTGGTATGTTTGCACTTGTCATGAATGCCAGATCCACCAGATGCAGAAGCTTCATATCCCTCCCACTGTGCCCATGATAGGGGGCCTGTTTCATAAAGCTCACATTGACATGATGCTAATGCCCAAAGCCAGCAGCTGCTGCTACATAGTACAGGCTTGATGCATGCTCACCTCATATCCTGAGTGGCACATGTTGCATGCAGAAAATAGTACTGCACTCACATCCTTCATCTTTGAGGACACTCTATGCTGCTGGGGTCCACTTGCCAAGATTGTCACTGACAATGGTCCCACATTTGTTCAAGCTTTAGATGCCCTAGCCATGCAATATCATATCTGTCACATCCATATCTCTCCTTACAACTCTCAGGCTAATGGCATTGTAGAGCATTGCCACTATGATGTGCACAAGGCTATCATGAAGAGCTGCAAGAACAATGACTGCCACTGGCACACCATTATGCACTCTGTGTTCTGGGCCAAGTGAGTCACCATCTTGAAGTCCATGGGTCTATCCCCCTATTTCATGGTACATGGTGTTGAACCACTGTTCCCATTCGACCTTGCTGAGGCTACTTTCCTTTTGCCCCTATCCCACAATGACACAACACTGCTGACTACCACAGAACTGATTTCTTGGTGTGTGCACCAGTTACAGAAGTGTCAGGATGACCTAGACCAGGTCTGTGATAATGTCCTCCATGCATGCTTCCAGTCTATCCAGCAGTTTGAAGCCACCTTTCAGCATTGTGTTAAAGACCATAACTTTGCTCCTGGCACCCTCATGCTTGTTTGCAACTCCCATGTAGAGAAAGAACTGAACTGGAAGACAAAGCCACAGCACACTGGCCCCATGGTTGTCCTTTGTCAGACCACTGGGGGCTTGTACCTGCTGGCTGAGTTGGATGGCTCCATCTCCAGACTCCACTTCACTGCATTCCACCTACTTCCCTACCACCCATGGTCTCAAACCCATGTGACCATGACTTGCATTACTGGGTTAGATGATGAAGAACTAGACTGCCTTCTCAAGGAGGCTGAGGATGACCCCACTGATGACAAGGTAGAGGCTTTTGCCTTGGACAGCTGACTATCTGCCCTTTCCAGTACCCATATCAGTGTTCAAAGTCCCCTGCAGGGGTGACCTGCATACCACTCACTCTGTCCAATATTAAACATAGTTCATTTCTCCTTATCTGTTTTATCCTGGGTTTTGTCCAGAGACCTCTGTTCCACCCTGGGTTTCATCCAGTGATCCTACTGATAGCTAGTCCTCACTCAAAAAACATACAAACTGCTGACACAAAGTCCAAAACTGTCCAGAAAAATAACAAAACACCAAATAAGTACATAACTCCAACAATGTCTCTCCTATGTCTCTTACTAGTCTCACTGACACAATCCTCAGCTGCTGTATACTGCAAATGCCCACAGCTACCCCATGCATTTCCTCTTCAAACACACAGTCAGCATGTGCCCCTTGATCTATTTTCCTTCCAATCCCCTTTCTGTCTCCTTACACCTGATACCTCAAAACCATCCCAGCTACCCAATAAAAAGTCCCTTCACCCTCTCTTCAAGACATCATCACATCTGTCCATCAACACCATACTACAAGGACTCACTGCTGAGAGAAGTCGGAAGTTGCATGAAGAAGACAAGCCAGGTGGTACCCTGCACAGTGTATCTTACCACAGCCAAACTGTCCCACAGAGAGTGTTCAAGCACTTCAGGTCATTTTGCATCACAGCCTCACATAGAAGGGAAAGTGGTGAATTATGTGTGATGTGCACTGACATGCAGATGGGCCAATGTAACAAGTCTAAACTAAATATAGTTGTCCCTACTCCACCCCAATCTTTTCCAGTGCCTCAGTGAGCTGATTGATGTGTACCTGAAGTTGAAGATATGTGGCCTGGGAAGCTGTGGCTTCAGTGTGCAACAACCTCAGTGATTGCAACAGGTTGGCAGTGACCTTGCTGTCTAGCCCACCTCGCACTGGCCCCTTTCCCTTTGCATGCATTTGGCTCTTGACCACCTTGACTTTGTTGTCATTGTCATCATCATCAATGACTCTCTTGGATGGGCTGGCCTTGGATGCCTTCAAGGGTTGCACTACGAACTGTTAGCCTTGAAACACCTCAGACAAGGTCACTACTTACCAGCTGAAGTGCCCACCTGCACTTTCTTCCCCATGGCCTTCATTGACTTCTTGCACATCAGTAAATCACTTTGAGCTGTGGAGCTCTCCACAGTGCTCCATAATACACAGAGTCCCCTAGCTAGGTCCAGGCTGGACAGATGCTCCCAACAGCACTTTTTGCTATGGCTAGTTGCCTGTTACTATGGAATGGTCACATTGTCATGGAACTTTGTCCAGTATCTTACTTACTATGGATTGCTATGGAACTTTCATGCTTAGATATCACTGTACAAAACTGGCCAGACTGTATTCTCCTTGGGGTGTTGTCCAGTACTCCCCATCTCAATGTTTACTTTGCAAACATGTGATCACTCCACAACTAGGAACAGTTCACAGCAGGTATGACAGGAACAGGAGCATTGGCATCAATTGCATACTACATGTAATGACAGGTATGACAGGACTAGGTATTATGAAATCAATCAAGGACTGCCTGAATGTGCTGGTACCTCTCTACATTTGAATCAACCTCTTGCAGTGCAGCCCTGATACAAGGAGTCAGTGTGAGCATGTCAGCCACCCCAGTACTTACCATCCTTCCTTCACCCACTGAGAAAGCTGATCACACAACCTTGTGCTGTGATAGGGATTACAAAGGATGTCATTCAGCACCTTCATCATGCCATGGAAAATGGAATTGTAAGCCTTGACAGAGAATTGAGGCATCATTTTTCCTGTGGCATTCTGCGCAAATCTGTCCAACACACAATGATACTGCAAGAAAAGTTTGAGTTGCAGTGACTCAGAGTGTAAAATAACTCACTGCAGCTGTGACAAGAGCCAGACAGGAAAGGGGAACTGAATTGTTGAAGGACTCAGGATGCTTATCCACAATTCAATAGGTCCCAGTATAGTAGAATTGTATGACAGCTTCCTCAAGGGTGGGGTGAGTGAAATTCCTGGTTTTTCCCTGATAAACCAATCCATTAGTAGTGCAGACAATGAACCATGTGAATGTACATTCTCATTGAAACTGTCTTGCAGGAAAAGTGAGTTGTCAAGGAGCTTTGTGGCAGCGGTCTCTATCCATTGTACATGAACCCATGGTGCAACATCAGAAGGAGGGATAAGGTTGAATGTGGATGGTGTGGTTGCCAGTGTAACCAACTTTGATTCCAAATGCCAGGTAGATATATCACCAAGGAGCTACCAGCAGTATGTCAGTAGCTGTAACTGAAAGATGGGACTACTTACAAGGCATGCCATATCTTGCTTGTGGTCAGGCCAGTAACCTATAAAGTTAGGATAATGAGACATGTATAAAGCAAAAATATTGTTACTCACCATCTTCAAATTGTACACCATGTTGATTCCACTCAACAATGACAGTGACGAGTGCCTCTGTTATGGAGAGGTTGAGGTCATGAGATTTTGATGGGAATGGGTTAGAAAGTGCATGTGCAGCCCTGCATTCTTGCTTAGCATCTTTGAGACAGTCCTTCCATACTGCCTTGTAAAATCTCAGTTGTGAAGGCAATGGGTCCTCATCCTTAGCTTTCTTGGAGTTATGAGGGGCTCTGGCACACTGAAATATTTTGTTGACCGAGTCATGTGCAAGGGTCAGAAGATCATGATTGGGAACAGGATGGCCATTAGTGTGATGGTGGCATTCAAGAATGTCAACGACAGTGCCACATTGGGAACCCTAAAATAACAATCTGAATAAATAAAGCTAGCAGGAATGGTATTTTCATACCTCTGGCTGAGCCTTGTCCTTGGATTGTAAGCTTTGCAGAGCTGCATTGTCATCCTTGTTGTGTGAGTACTGAAACTCATGGTCAGGGGGTAAGGAATTGTGGCAAATAGGATTGCTTGTCATCATTTCTTGGGAGAAGCCTAACAAAGAACATTGAGCCAATACCATAATAACCTCTGATGCATACCAGGATGAGTTGATTGCCTAAGATTTGTTGCACCCCATCCAAATGCATCATCCTCATCTTTGTCAAACTCACTGCTGGAGACCTTGCCAACCTCTGTGTCCAAGGGGTTATTACTCAAGGACTCCAACTCCTCTTCTGAGGAGCCCTCTGATGACAGCTTCTCCAAACTCTTGTGGTGAACATCAGTGGTTGCCAAAGTTTGTCTTGATGAGAGTGAGCTATCAAGGGAGGGGTCAATACAAGAGTTGGGGACAGTAGCAGGCAGCTGGTGGGGGATAAACTGAGACTGGTAGTTGGGCTGCAGTGTTGGTGGATGAGATGTATTATTGGGAACTTGGTCTCCCCAAATCGTGGCAATATAAGGATTATTGAGCACTTGAAGGTCAGGTTCCATCCCAGGAGGCATGATATGACCTCGCTGTTGAGCTGGAACACTGAAACCAAAGTGATGGGAGTCTGTGGGGTGCTGATGGAAGACAGGTGTTGCTACTGCTGTTGAAGACTGAGGGATGGGATTCTGAAATGAACATTGTATATCAGTATGAAAAGACACTCACTGGAGGCATATCAGCTGGGATAGGACCATTCACAATGGGAGGCATGTAGGGTGGTGGGGCGACATTGGACTTTGCAAGTGGTTAGCTTGATATTTGCAAATAACTAGAACTGACCTTTGGTTTTGCATTCTGGCCAGCACTGCAGCCCCCACCCTTTTCCCACTGAGTGGGTGGAGGTGCAAGAGGATTTACAATGGAATTGTTGGGGAGATCCATCGACTTTTGCAGCCATGTAGCTCAGCCTTCAAGGGCAGTACCAATCTGCTCCAATTGCTTGGCCCTTCCACCTGAACCCACCCCTGCCCTTCCACTATGACAGAGTCCCACTGTAGCAACAGACTGAGACTCTTCAAGATTGATGGGTGGGCTTCCTAGACACTTGTTTTTTGTGGGTCGAGTGCTTCCATTGGCCTCTGGTTGTCATTTGGCTTTTTTGCTATCCTTCTTTTTCAGCAGGATTGTTCCAGATTGGGTGGACATCTGAAGGTACAAGCAGTCAAACAGAGAACAGTATAAGATGGAAGCCTGGGGACCATGACAAAATGACATCTTGTGAATCCATATAAACATTGACAGGTTCATCATGAGACATAAAACAAAACAACATGCAGAGACAGTTACCTGCTGCAAATGAATTGAAACACTTTACAGATAATGTACAGAACATGAACTAAACATAAAATTCATGCTAAGACTACACACCTTTGAAGCATTTATTGGGTATAGGAGGGTTATCCATGTTCCTTACCTCTTCACAAAGGCATTTAGAAGACATAATTGCCAAAGACATAACATCCATATCGTTCTCCTGACTCAGATGCATGCTTGAATTAAGCACTTTGTGCTGGGTGATGATCTGCTGGAATGCATTTGTCATCTCCAGTGGTTTCTCATATGGCATGCTGGCCAAGAAATGATCAAAAAGGGAGATAACATCAGAGAACTGTACTGCAGTTCCACTTAGCAGGGACCGCCCAAGCAATACGCACCACTCATTAGCCAGAGGGATTAGATCTTGAAAATATTGTGAGACCTTGGAATCCAGCCTTGATTCAGATGGGTCATTAAGGAATGTGAACTTGGTGCATCTGGCAATTTTGAGATCTTTGGCTGCCTTTTCACTCCACAAGCCAAGAAGTGTCTTTTCATGGCTGATATCTTGATGCTTGTGGCCAAGTGGCCCATCATAAAGGATGAGGATCCAGATGAAAACATAGAACAGGGATTCGATATTGTCCACAAATGTATGGTGTATAGTAGTAGGGTGATTGATGAATACATGGGTGAGAGAGGCGCTTTTCCAGATCAATGGGACATTAGTCTTTCCACTTTTAGTGATGGCTTCCTTGAGTTGGCAAAGGATATTCACTGAAAGGAAGGGGACCGTCCCCTTTGCATACTATCAGCTTCGAGTTCCAAAATGTTTTGCATAGTACTTACTGTGCCACCCAAGTCATATTCCCCCTGTAACATGACCTGCACAGCAAATTCCCAGTCAAGGAGAAAGCCACATGACCCATTTGTGAAGTCCTTGATCATCATATTGTTGATGCTACAATCTTGATGGAGGACACCCCTCTCAAGAGCCTGCTGTTGGACTGTTAAAGCAATTAGTATTGATTTTACAAGTGGAAGAGGATATGTACTTCATAAAATATCTCAGATGCATGAAATGAGTTCCTTTTTTGTCTTGAACATTACCATTGGCCTTGCACATGGCTTCATAGCCAATTGCATGTGAGTTCTCTGAGACTTCATGCACAATCACCACTTCTCATTATGATATCATTCAGTTTTATCAACAATGTCTGGCTTGACCTCGATGACCCAGTAGTGTTGCAACTTGGGAACTCCATTGATGTCCTGGACCAGCTTCATCATGTTGACTTTGTGCAGGGCTGTCCTCTGCTCTGACTCCTCCACCCAATAATCCTTGATGATGTAGTATTCCCCATTGTAGCATGTGAGGTAACAAACAGTACCCCTTCCTAGAAAGCTTGTGCTCAAGAATAATACATTGAGCACCTCATAGAAGGTCTTGTTTACTTGGATCCTCCTGATTGCTGGGATGTGTTTGGGTGATGTGGGAGTCTGGAGTGAGTTTGCACTGGGGAGGATGCCCAACTCCAAGTGAGGAGAAGGCATTGCAGGAGAGGGGAAAGGGGAGAGAGGCATCGCAAGTACTGTGCATTTGCGGCTGTGTGCAGGATGGGGGGATATCTCTATGGTTGAATCAAAGCCAAGGGTTGAGTAGAAGCCAAATGCAATGGCACATACAATGTATATGAAGACTCCTGCATCAGTGTGGATATTGATAGAGGGTGAGATTGCACCACCAGAGTGGTTGTAAAAGTGAAGTCAAAGAAGTTTGCTATCAGTAATTGATAATCCAAGGACATAGCACCTCCAGGGCTGGTTGACAAGGGTTAGATATGCCTTAGTGTCCATTGTCTTCCCAAGGTGGGATGCTGGCTTGAAAGACTCCTTTGAGTACTCAGTGATGACTTTGGGACTTAACCACATAATCTCATTGAGTGATACTGGGGTGTTATCGACAAGGATGAGGTCAGGCTTTCAGGAATAACCTGTAAAACCTTGCAAGCTGGTTCTGCTCCAGTCTGCCATCCATTGACACTGGGGTTTTCTGGATAGACTGGGCATCATGGATTTGGCAGCAGTTCTGATAGCATTGAGAAACAGAGCAACTTGCTTTTCAAAGCAGAGCTTTTCCAATTCTACTGGCAGTTCTGAGGCAAGTGGCCTGGGTTGCTTGGGAGGTGAATCAGAGCCTGGGGGTGGACAAAGCTCCCAGTTCCAGCACTTTCTATCATCATTGTATAGGCTGACCAGGCTGTCCTCTGACAAGCCACCCTGGTTGGAGGAGGTGGGATAGCTACAGACACATGTGGGAATTGTTTTCAGAGGGACAATCAGGGACCTGGGGGCTATGGAGGTAAATGTATCTCTGAAGGACTCGAAGATAATATTTGTAACATAACCAAGGCTCTGAGGAGAGCTAACTTGTATCTGTGGTTCACGGATGATGGTGCCCTCAAGTTCTGAAGCAGTGAACTTGTCCATAACATGAACCATGCGGCCATGTTTGGGCAGGGGGAGAGAACCAATCAGCTTGTAGGTACCATCTATTGTTCAATATCTGTTTTTGTTTGAGTCTTTGGACATTTCTGAGGGTTGTTGACAAGTAGGGTCACACATTTGAAAATGGTGCCACCACTCAAAATACTGATGTATTTCAACATTAACATGTAATAAGCTCTGGTATATGGTAAGGTAATGTGTATGTTGACTAGATGGGAGGAGAGTCTGAATGACTTAGGGCAAAGTACATATTTTTGTTGAAGTATTTGTTGAGATAGAATTCAGTAGAATGCTCAAAGGAGTTGTATGCCATCAATCGATTATCTGCAGTTTGCCCAAAGCAAGGTATGAGATGTGCGAACACCCAGACCTGACTGAGCAGGATGTCATCGCCAAGACATTGGCCATTTGCTCTCTTTGCATGCCTAAGGATATGTAGGTGTGTTGCATCTTCAGCTGCTATGTCAAAACGTTGTATGTAGACCAAAAAATGGTCTGTCCACAACCATCTTACCCCCCTCTTGCCAAAAGGGTGCATCAGGAGATGGAGCTGGCCAACAACATGACCTAAGATACTCTTGTGAGTGACACAGAAAAGTAGTGTGGACCATGAACCTTTCAGGCTGCTCTCTGGCCATTTGAAACAGGGGTCCACATTGATGATAGCTGCATCATAGTGGCCAAGGGTCCAGGTCTCACAAGGTGGAGAACAGAAGAGTGTCTGGGCAGGGAGGATGTCCATGATATCATGTATTGCCATGTTCTGCAGCTGCATCTTGTACCAAACCTGCAGATTGGTAAAAGGCAGGGTTGAAGAGCTTGATCCCCAACATTGCCCACTTATAGTGTGCACAGAGCTTGGTCCATACACCTTCTCATGATTTAGAAAATCAACAAGGGCAGCTTGGAGGTCAAGTAGTCCAAACTTCTCAGCAGCACCATCAACACTAATGCATCACAAGGGTGGGTCATAGGAAAGGTTGATCGCTGTACCATCTGTGATAAAACTATGCAAGGGGAAGGGAATGGAGTCTGGATCCTGGGTCCTGAGGCGCACAGGGATGGCGAAGTAATTGGTGACAGGCCACATGGGACCTGGCATCTTGGAAACTAGATTCACCTCCTCATGATCACTGATCTCACTGTTGCCATCATCAGAACTCCCATCCTCAACCTCCAAGGACTTTTCTTCCACACGACCATGGGATTGAGTCTTCAATTCATATAATGATGTTGCGAGTTCAAACATCCTACATTTTTCAGTGTGATCGAGGTACCAGCAAATTTGAGGATTGTAGTTATTGTTATTGCTAGCTGATGCAGGTGTCTTGATCTCCAATACATGGGCATGTTCAGTTACATCGGCAGTCCATTGGATGGTGACCCTGACATGCTTCACACTTGGTACAATGCTCTGCATGAGTTCTAACTTGGGGATGTGCCAATTGTCAATGGGCTTGTTTCCCTTACTGTGTCATGCACCATGATCAAGTATTGACTGCTTGTGCACATGAAACTTGTCCAGTACAGAAGATATTATACAAAGATCATCGTTGTCAATGTGGTAAGCTTGGACTTGGTATCGGAAGTCCATGAGCACATGAATAGCAGTAATAATTTTGGGAGGGGCTGCTCCAGCAATAACACTGATGATGTAATGTTGGACATCACGGTGCACACATCCAGTCACCTGCTTCAGCTTAGCAACACCACCCTTAAAGTGATGGAACCCCACAGTAGGCTGTAAAACTGAGAAGTGAAAGTCAATTTCAGCTTCACCAACTGCATTTATGCACCACTTCATGTCATGGTCCCAAAATTCCTTGTGCAGGTGGTGAAGGAGCTCTGGAGTTATAAAAGTGCTTGGACAAGAAAGCAGAATGTCCCTCCAAAATGGGTCACTAACTCTGCTAAGGCAAAAGTGCTGTGCTTCACAAAAGAAGACTTGGATGTTTGTAGGGTGGACCTTCAATTTCACCACTGCAAGCTGAGCCAAAGTGGTGGATGTGGTTTGTGGCTCATGTCAGAATGGGTCTCTGAACTGTTTGTACATTGCCATGGTGATCAGGGAAGTCTTTCCCCCAACAGCTGTGAGCATGGCAGCCTCAGGAGTGTCAGAGATATAATCGCAGGTGACTGGGGTATGTCAATTGAATAAAAGGATCTATAACTTGCAGTGGAAACATACCTGCATATGCCAAGCATCGTCAGCAGTCATCCACTCTGTATACACCCTACAAAGCTTCTCAGGCATTTTGTATACATGCCTTGGAATGAAATTGAGCTGGTCAGAGAACAAAGGGTGGTTGAGGAGCCATACAATGCATTCCAGGGGATTGTGCCAGTACAAGTGCACAGGGTGTTTGGTTGGCTGCAAAGAAGTAATCTCCATTGAGCACCAGCACAGCCTGCCAGGGAGTAACTCAGCCAGCCCACAAAGTGCTCTGGCTGTATGAAAGGAAATATTTAGTAGCTGTATCTAGTGCATGTCAATAATGATCTTCGGAGAGAATAGGGACAGGCTTATGATTGACAATGACAAGAAAGAGTCTATAGCTCTCATGCTCAGGCCTGAATGAAGTAACCACAATGCCAGCTCCCATTCATTGTGGGAGTTGAAGGGGTAGTACAGATTTGATGCCTGTAGGTTGCTGAACTGGTCACCATTAAATTTGTCCATAAACATTGGGCCAAGTCCAAACATTTTAGCTGCACCCTTGAAGTCATCTGTGGTTGGCCCCCATGTGTCAAATGCTGTATGATCAAAATCCAGGCAATCATGAGTTGCATAGTCATCAGGGTCAGTGCTCATTGGGACATCTTCTAAGTGTGTTGGGTGTTGAGAGTTATGAATGTTCAAGCTTGAAGGTTGGAGAGACTCATGAAGGCAGACTAAGTTATTGACCTAGGTATTGCACCCAGAGGATAGCTGGCTCATGTGCATTGCAACAGCGCTGTGACTCTGGAAGCTGCCTTTACCACAACTTGGACAGCAGGGCATACTCTAGATGGTCAGGCAGGCCAATTCTGTGTTACATGATTATCACTTCAGTGTGAATCAGGATGTTGTTTGGATTGCTACGGAGTGTATTTCTCATATACTACCCAATCACATCCCATTTGCAAACATAGTCACTCATGTCCATTTATAACCTCAATCACACACACCTTCATGCTGGATCAACCATGCCCATGGTCAAGCATTGCCCAGGCAGCAAAGGACTGCCCCATAAGCCTCATGATGGCAGGTCTCTTCCTGCAACAGTCCCTCTAGCAATGCTGAGGTCAAAGCAGAGACAACTGGTGTCTTAGCTGAGATGTATGGAATATTGGAGTCATCCACTCACACAATAAGTTCTTTTTTTCCTTCCTAATAACCACTCATTGATAGGTTTTCAATCTGCAGCATGAATCAAAGAGTCAGCTGAATCATGAGGCACTTCTCCTTCTTGATGTAGCACATGCACAATGTGAAGTCTTTCGTGTGGAACAAGCTCTGGCTGCATGCATTGCCCATGAATATGAATCAATGGCCAAGTTGTACAAGTACAAGGTGGGCAGCAGTGAGGTGAGAGTCCATGAAAAAGATATGGAGGTCAGCTCATTATGTGTAGCAATGAAAAAATGCGGACTGGAGGAGCCTATTTTCAGTGTTAGTGTTCTGGCCAGTGAGCTGCAGCCATCTCTCAAGTCCAATGGTATGCTATGCTTGCTCTTTTCTTTTGGGCCACTATTTTACTTATGCTGGATCTTGATAGGCACAGTTATTGAGCATGCTGGTAGTTGAATGCTTGCCATTCGTCTAGACTAGTACTATCCATTACTTTCCTGTACTTATTGAAAAATGCTGTATGTTATGTCTCTGTGTTGTTGCCTTCATGCATAGGAACAAAGTTAGATCTACCAAGTTCTCTACTACAGTGGGAATCTAGGTTGCTGTATTAGCTAGGTGTGTCTGTTCCCTTGTATGCTAGGTAGCTATTGGTCTTTGGATTGCTGGTATCACTGGTGTGGCTTACTCAGGTGCTATGAGTTGCTTGGATGCTGGCCACTACTTTGGGCAAGTCTGGTGTAGTCTACTCTGGCACTATGAGTTGCTAGGATGCTTGACATTGCTTTGGACTAATATGGAATTGTGCAAATACTATGGGCAGCTATGAGTTACTAACACATTTTTGTGTTTTGCTGATGCACCCTGCTTCATACATGTGCAGCCATCACATGTTCATCTTATGGGTCCAGTGCACATGATCTTCTTCACCATGCAATGTGCACAGGGTTCCTTGTGGAGGATTGATCTGGAAGGTACAATGACCCTTGGTTCAGCCTCATCCTCACTTTCCACAACTGTCTGTTGGGAGTACTATGGCACTTGGCATTAGATGCTACTGAGCCACACACCAAGTACTCTCACCTTCTGCACTGGGCGAGTACTCACTTCAACATGCAACATCTTCGCAGTTGCCATTGATCCCTCCACCACTTCTTGCTGCTCCCTGACATCCTGCAGGGCAGCTTCTCCCATCTACATGTCCTCATCGATCTTGTTCTGTGCAACCTCCTCAGCCACCCACTGTTCATATGCCCCATCTGCATCCACTATTGCTGGTCTGTCTGCCATGTCTATCTTGGTATCAACATTGAGCTCCCTACTGCACTCAACAATAGGGACAACCTCACCCTGGAAGATAGTCAGTGCTGTGAGTCCCAGATGCATTGGGCACTTACTGTTTTCTGCTCCCATCAGCACATCCACATCACCTTCTCTTCCCATATGTCATCCCTATCATCCAGCATGCACTTGGCCTCAGCAACCAGGGCCATGGATGCAGCAGACATGATTAGAGTGTTAGAGGGGATTGATGATGAGGGGGAAAGAATCAAGTTGATGTGAAGGTTTGAGCTGCACACTGACAGTTATATACTTAGCAGCCATGAGGCACTTATGTCATTGGTCTGGACACCTATATGTGGCATTCAATGGTCTTCTCATGTTCCTGAGCTCCATGCTTCCTTCACTACTATGCAGAATCCTCTGGTGTTCTTGAACCCTCAGCACCACACCTTTGCTATCACCATGCAGCAAAGCTGTTTACATCCTCCATGCCACAAGGCTGACTGGGGACAGTCAGCATCTAAGTCCCCTGCAGGTGTAGGGAATCCACATTCCCTGTATGCATATGTCCCTATCATTGACTGTTCCATGACTACCATTATGTCCCCTTGCCACTCACATCCACCATTGTTCACATGCTACCTTCCTACACCCTTGCTCCTCTTGTGCAGTGCTGTACATGTGGCCACTATGCTTCAATCGCTTCCCTTCCTTCAGACTCTTTCTTTTAACACAGTCTCTGTTCCCTTTTCATTAGTAGTATACCCATGGCCTCTGTTCAGGCCTGTCTTGTATGTACATGCTGTCATGTGGCCTTCCTCTACTTGTATCTTGTCTTACTTAGGTTCTGGGTTTGCCTGGACTATAAAGCCCTGTACTTAGGTACAGAATGATACCTTTTGGCACTCAGAAGATCACCATGAGGTTCTTTTTCACTTTGTCTACACTGCACATTTCACATACCACAGTGCACAATCTACACACACTGCTCACACCACTTGCATCACCAGTACTACTCCACAGACCATGCTGCACACATCATGAATCACTACTGCTACAAAGTGCAGGGTCTCACCTTCTAGTCTCAGCAGTCTAGAATCCCTTGGGACAAGCAATTTGTTCCCTTCATTTTTAATTGTTGTTATCTAAGCCATCTAGCTTGTATTATATGGCTAGTTGGACCTTTCCTACAGTGGACCTGGTCTAGGTCATCCTGATGCTTCTGTAACTGGCGCATGCACCAAGCAATCAGTTCTGAGGTAGTCAGCAGTGTTGCATCATTGCAGGATAGGGGAAAACAGAAAGTAGCCTCAGCAAGGTTGAATGGGAACAGTGGTTTGACACCATGAACCATGAAATAGGGGGATAGACCTGTGGACTTCAAGATGGTGACCTGCTTGGCCCAGAACACAGAGTGTGCAATGGTGTGCCAGCAGCAGTCATTGTTCTCACAGCTCTTCATGATAGCCTCATGCACATCATAGTGGTGATGCTCTACAATGCTGTTAGCCTGAGAGTTGTAAGGAGAGATATGGATGTGACAGATATGATATTGTGCAGCTAGGGAATCTAGGGCTTGAATGAATGTGGGACCATTTTCAGTGACAATCTTGGTGAGTGGACCCCAGCAGTGTAGAATGTCCTTGAAGACAAAGGATGTGAGCATGGTACTATTTTCTGTGTGCAACATGCACCATTTGGGATATGAGGTTAGCATACATTGAGCCTATACTATGTACCAGTAGCTGCCAGCCTTGGGCATCAGCATTGTGTCAATGTGAGCTTTATGAAACAGGCCCCCAATCATGGGCACAGTGGGAGGGATATGAAGCTTCTGTGTCTGGCAGATCTGACATTTGTGACAAGTGCAAACATACCACTTTACATCCTTGACAAGCAGAGGCCACCAAAAGTGGAGGAGAAGGCAGGTGCAGATGGTGAAGACACCTTTGTGTCTGAGGTTGTTGTGTGCTTCTTTGATGAGGCAATACTGCTTGGGCTCATTGACAACTAGCTGGTGCTGTCCATGCAGTTCCCTATGCCATAAGTTGCCATCTAGGAGGAAGTGGCTGGCTGAATTAAAGAAAGATGAGTACTGCACATCAGTAAGGTCAGGAGGTTGCTTGTGGGTTGCAAGGAATGCACAGATCATTTCTATCTTTGCCTCATGTGCCCAAGCTTTTGTGGACCATGGAATGGCAGGGTTGTCAGGGGTATCAGAAGGGTTATTAGCATCAGCAGTTACAGAGAAGGTGAGATAGAAGGATGCAGGTGGTGGGAGGCTCACCTGATGGTAAGCAGGTGGCAGTAAGGAATGATGGTCTTGATTGGAAAGAGATGTAGGAGGTGGACAGTCATTGACAGCTTCTGTATAGAAAGAGTAAAAACAGTCTAGCCAATCCTCATGGTCATCATCCTCAGGTGGGTCAAGTTCTGACTGTGGATGGTGGGACAAGCCATCAGGGCTGGCATGCCTGTCTGCAGGAATGTGCATGAGTTTGAATGAGAAGAGGAGGATGCCAGTGATCCAGCAATTGATCGTCATGTTAGGCTGCAGATCTGGGTTATTTATCATGCCCTGAATATACTTCACATCTACCTCCACAGTGAAGTTAGTGAGACTGAAGATGTATATGCATACCATGCAGAAGAGGCCATACAACTCAAGCTTAGCCTGGGAGTAATGGCTTTCCACTTCATTGAGGGTAATGGATCCAAAGGGACTAGGGTATCATTTTCCATCTTCACCAAGCTGTATTGAAGTGTCAACTGCTAAAATTACTTCACAACCACACTCATAGTCAATCCTTTGGAGTGCAGGGGACTTTACAATTTTGTCCTTGAGTCATTGCATGGCAGTGCATTGTGGCTTGTCCCATGTGAATGGTACCTCTTTCCATGTGAGTGTGACTAGTGGCCATGTGATCTTGGCAAAGTCTTTGATGAAGATGCAGAGCACACCACAGACACCAAGGAAATTGTGAACCTGTGTCAGGTTGCAGCACTTGGGCCAGTTGTGGATCTTCTGCACTTTGCTTTCTTCAGGAACATGACCTTTGAAGGTGCACTTGTGGCTAACAATCATGGTGGATGGAGCAGTTAGGATGAACTTCTTTGCTGAGACAGTGGCTCTGATGTTCTGCAAATGCTGAAGGATGTGGTTAATGACTATACAGTGATTCCAGATGAACTTCTGGATCCCAGGGTTTTCTGGGATAGTCTCATAGGAACTGTCTGTGCACTGATAGTGGGTGGTCTCAGATTTTATGGGGACATCATCTATGAAGGGCAAGGTATGATGTGGGATCTCATTTTGGAGGACACAGTATCTCCCTGGTATACCTGTACCACATTCACATGACCTTGCAACAGAGTAGTAAGCCAATGTGGTCTGAGCAGAGTACCAAAGGTGGTGAGGTCACAGGAATCAATGTGAAGTGCACACTGGTCATACCCAGAGTAGAGGTCCATCATCACATACACCACATATCCAGTGAAGGATTCCACAAGATGTGCTACAAAGGGTGGGACAGATGCATCATGGATGGTCACTGCATTCAGGGGCTGTAAGTCATGCACAAGGCAAAGAGACTTTCCATCTTTCTTTACTATGCTGAACCAGTGGGAGTGGTAAGCCACTGTAGAAGGTTCATACATGCTGGACTTGATGTGATCTTTAATCATGTCTATGACTTGGGTATGTATTGTGCTCAGGATAGGGATATTGCATTGGACCCAAGGCATGTGCAGGATTGTGGGGATCTTTACAGGTGGGAAATAGCATTTGTCTAGGTGTCCATGCTCTGTAATGTCCCAAGTGAATGCAGGCTCATGGACCAAAACAAGCCAAGTCATGAGTTTGAGTTCTTCTGGCCAAAGCCAATCTGTGGGATCAAGGTCAAGCTCTGTGGCCCATTCAGCAGTGAAGTGGATACCTGGAGCAAAGTCTGGTGGATGTGTAGGAAGTGGTTGGAGACCAGTGAGTGGATTGTCAGGCAGGTTGTGCATGATGCAGTATTCTTCCACCATCAGGGCAGGTACTGTCCAAACCTTCTTGGAAACTGGCTTGTAAATGAGAGTGTGAACTGCAGGATCTAATTGGTAAATGCTGTTGAAAGTGGCTATAGCAGAGGGGTTTAGTATTGTCTGAGTGGAAGAGAGGAAAGTGAAAGTGGGCAAGGGTATTCTGGTGGGTATGTTCCATGGTATGAGTGCCATGGGTGAAGGGAAGTTCATTGAAGTGAAGGCTAGAGATGAGACTGTGGGACTGAGGAATGGATAGTAGTGGCTGAATAGGACACAGGATGTCTTAGTAGGCTCTCCCTGACTGTTTGGTGGATCATTGATACTCAAAAACCCCATTCAACAATACTCTGGTGACTATGGCAGTGCTTGCTGCACTTACAGCATGGACAGCCCTCACACCATGGGCATGTGGGCAGAGCATACTCATGGCCATCATTTGGGTCACAGAGAGTGATCTGCTGTCTGCCATCAGGATAGTCATTTGTTACTGCACTCATAAGGCAGATGAATGGATGCCTGAGAAGCATGTCAAAGTTGGTGTGTTCAATTACTTGAACCTGGAGCATGACTGGTCCAGCTCTGAAGTTGAGTTTCAGGTCTTCTAGAATGCCTACAGTAGTGTCTTTAGACATGTTAGCAGAGGTCATGGTCATGAGATGGTTGCTGCACAATGGCAGCCCAATCTTTTCCCAAATGTGCCTAGGCATTGCAATGATTTCTGAACTGGAATCTAGTATGCAGTTAATTGTAATGTCAGTCCTGGGGACCTTGGCTTTGATGCAGCAGAGCAGCAGAGTGTGGTGAGCCACAATGGAACTGTCATCACTGCAGATGATGTGGTCTCTGTATTCACACACAGTTCATTGAGGGTCACAGCTGGTCAGTTCATTTACATGTGCCCCCTCTTCATCATTGCTATGAACTACCTCAATCTTGTTGGTGGTGATGCATTTCACCATGGTGATGTCCCTGAACTGTTTGCAAAACTCAGGAGCTACTGTGAATAATTCTTTGACAGGCAAGGCAATGCTGGTTTTGAGTACATGCTCCACAATATGTTTGGGTGCAGCTTTGTCTTCGAGAGGGAATGAGTAATGATACTGGTTCTGGTTGTGAGCTGCTGGGTATGGTGTTTGTGACAGGACAACTGCTGTGGGTGTGGGATCCTTGCATGTGGCTGCCAGAACAGGATTAGTAA